GGGAAGGGCTTGGTTTTGCCAGCGGCTGTAGTCGAAAGTGATCCTGTGGTCAGAGGTCGGCCAAGGGCTGCAGGCTAGTGACAGGGTATGAGGTTGGAGGTGGTCAGGCCATTTCTGAGGTGCCAATAAAGCTAGGACCACCTTGGAGGAGGTAGAAACAATTCCCTGGCCCCAAATCATTACTCTGGGTCAGGGACAAAGTCTGTTTTAAAGAAATTTTTACGTAAAGTGCCCAACAGCACGTTGGTGATGAGTGCAGCCATATAAATTTAATGCCTGGTTTTGGTCATGTTTAGTGCATAGTGCATAGGCCCTGCACTATGGCGGCCAAGCGCCACCCAGCCTCAAGCTTGCAGCCAGACATTCGGCTTTCTTAAAAGTTTAGGTGCTTACAATGTTGACTGAAAGTAAGGTCAGTTTCCTTTGTGCGCAATATTCAGGGCATTGTTTTCCTTGTTTTTGATGAACAAAACTTAGTGTATGAATGCAGTGTTTGGATTAATCCACTGCGAACATTTTAGGCCTTTTCATGGCAGAGCATCTGAAAAAATAGGTTGGATTTGTTTTGTTTTTCTAGTAACCCAGATAAAATGTTGGAATGACTAGTAACTTGTTGAATTAGGCAAAATAAATTTTGCATCTATGAAAATGCAACTCAACCATAAAATATGGATGCGATCAACTGTTGGTTTTCAGAATTTTGGTAATTTGCAAATACCTTATTTGCAAAATCAGTTTGTCGGGGTGTTTTTAGTGTACATAGGATCAGGTGACATGGCCTTAGGAAGCTTCCCACCCTGCAGGAACCTGGCCCTCCTCCCTGGTGTGCGCCATGGAGACAGGCAGAGGGACAATGTCGGCCGCAGCGTGGGCGAAATGGCGGCTTTGCCTCGAAGACACGTAGCTCCAACCGACACTAAGAAATAGCCTGAATGTAGACAAGCCAAGCCTTCGCCGCCCCCGCCCCTTGCAGCCTCTGGCGTCTAGGTTTGGCTGATCTGCTGCAGGAGAGGTTGGATTTCAGTGCTTTGTTCTCTGTTGCCTTGTCATTGATTAAGGCCTGTTGGGGAGGTTAACCAGAGACTTACTTTTTCACGCTGGGATTGCATTCCTTGGCCAGATTCACCCACCCTCAGGCTTCACAGGTGGGGCCCCGTTAGACCTGGGTGGGGGGTGTTTGCTCTGCAGAGGACCCTGGGGGCCTTTGGGCGTCTTAAGCCTCCTTGCTTTTCCCAGGCCAAGAGTGGTACAAGCTGATGATTAACCAGCTGTGGGGACTGTGATGCTGGTCTCTCTTCCCAGTCACAGCTAACCAGGTGGGCACCACACAGGGCTCCCAACAAATCTGTATTTTTACTTCTAATTTCTTAAATCTATGGCCAAAGTAAGGCTCAGTTGATTTTTGGCTCTCCCTCACCCCTACATCAGGTGAAGCCCAGTACCCCTCACATTGAGCTGGCTCCTGACCAACAGTGGTGGGTCTTTCTTGGAGGAGTTTTGCTTAAGGATTTACAGACTCTGAGCTCAGGATTGTCCCCCACTTGCCCACCTGTAGGACTAGACACCTGTCCGTGTACCTCAGCCTGCTAGGTGCAAATGTGATTCCTACACATTTGGTGTTGGTACACAGAGGGTGGCCTGTCCCTCTGGTTTGTGGCCAGACCAGCTTTGGGCCTTATAGAGTCCCCCAGCCCTCAGTGCTCCCTGAGAAGTTCTGGCCCTGAGTGGCCAAGGGCACTGGGGACACCAAGGGCTCTGGTGGTGGGAGGCCAGCCTGTCTGCCCAGTGTGCTGGGGAATGTCTTTGACCCAACCAGGAGAGACAGATGCCAGGCTTCCTACACCCTCACCCAGCCCCCACTGCCTTATCCCTGGGACCTGGCAGCCAGGAAAGAGGCTGACATTTCACTCAGTTCTGAAAGGGAAGTCTTAGTTTTCCCCTAGTTCAGAAAAAAAGCTCTGATTTTACCAGTCGGTGGGATAGACTTGAGCAGGCATGGAAGAGGGAAGTACATCCAGGTGGTATCTGAAGGCACAGGGCAGGGAGCCTGACGGTGGGATTGACTCTAAGCCAGGACGGGCTGCTGAGGGAGTCCAGGTACCTGCAGAGCCCCACCTGCTGGATCTGTGCTAGGGTCAGGTACTCAAAGAAATGTTGGCTGTAGAGAAGACCATGAGGCTGGAAAACCAGGTGGACAGAGCAGCACCAAGGGCAACGAGACTTTTGTTGTGTTGGCTATGGCCTGGGGGAAATCAGCACGGGGCCTGAGACCCCTATGAGGCCTCTGTGGGTGGAAGGCCAGAAAACTAGAGGATCTGCTCTGGCCAGCTGTCTAGGCCCAGGCAATACCTGTGCAGGGACCTCCCTCAGCCCTGAGTGGCCCTAGGGCAGGCACCTGGGATATCTTTACTCCATGTGGGGGATACAGACTAGGCCTGAGCAGTGAGGGGGATGAAGAAATCCCACCCCCCTCATTCCTAGCACTCCTGTGCAGAGATGGCTGGGCCTTGCAGGGACCTGAGTGTGGATATTTAGCATTCTGTTGGGGACTACTGTTCCCATCTGCTCTGGGATGGAACTCCAGACCAATAGGTAACAAACCCTGCCACACTGTTCCTCATCCCAGTACCTTTCCTGGGCCCTGAGAAGGGCAGGTGGGGGCTGGGCAGGGAAGCAGCCATTGTGTGGCATCCTGGAGACAGAGGCCCATTGTCCAGCAACTGCAACCCCATCAGCCTCAGATACATGCACATATGCACCTGCACCCACACACTGAAGTGCTGGCCCTGATGTTCAGGCCCTTCTGTGGGTCTACCTGGAGGAAGGGTCCAGCTATGACCTGACCCTGACCCGACCATTAGTCACCTGGCCTGCTTTACCAGTCCCTGCCCTGCCTCCCATCCCTCAGGCTACAGCCTCTGGGAGGGACACCTTGGCCCTCTCAGGTGCCTACTCGGGCTCCAAGCCAGTGGTGCCATGGGCTAGGCTGGGTTGGCTGGGCAGTGAACCTCACCTGCTGCAGCCCTCCAACTGAGCCCCATAGAGAGGCTGAGCCTCAGGGCCCATGTGACCCCCTGCTCCAGCCCCTTTGTCTCCAGTGACTGCTCTCCAACTAAATACTGCCCCAGGCTGATGACTTCCCCTAGCAAATCACCCCATGACCCTCAGCCAGGCGGCCCCCAGACCCAATTTGGGCAGCCGTGGCCATCTTACTGGGCAGCATTGGATGGTGTCTGATCTCTAATACTGCCTGGTAATGATGACGGCGGAGCCCTGCATGCAACAATGGGGCCGCCTCCCCTCCTACAGCTTGTCCACTCTGTCCTGCTCAGGTGGCTTCTGGATAGGGCTATGGGGCAGAAAGTTGACCTTGGGGACCAGGCAATCTGAGAACCTCTCTCAGCCCCCAAGGATGAAGGGCTTCCTGAAGCTGCACTGGGGTACCCCCTCCCCCACAGTGCTTTGGGGATTAGGATACTCAGGTATCCAGGCCCTGCCCACTGCACCCAGGCAGGTGCTGCTGCCACACCTGGCAGGTGTGGGCAGGGTGAAAGTGCAACAAAGGGCTCTGGAGGGCCAAAGCCCAGCCTGGGACCAGAGGGCCTCACAGTGGAAGCCACCTTACCCAGAGCTGGAGCTGCATGCTGACCTGAGGTGGGGCTGCCCCCACCTGACCTTCCTCTTCCTGCATCCAAGGTGGGCCCGTGGTACCGAACAGCAGCACCTCCAGCCTTGGTCCTGGGCCAGCAGCCCAAAGTCCCCTTGTTCTGGAGAAAGCAGGGCAGACAGACAGTGTGGCCTCAGGGTCTCGGGGCCCAAACCTCTCTGCTGACCTCACAGAGTACAAGCACAGCCCTTGGCCACTTAAGGTCTTCAGTGGGAGTCCATGGGTGCCCTGGGGGTGGAAACTGCATGTCTCTCCTGTGTCCTCACACTAAGGCACACCTGGGCCTCTGTGGGCATCTTACCGGACAGTGCTGGATTTTTCAGCTCGACTCTAACACTGTCTGGTAACGATGTTCAAAGGTGACCCACCACTCACCGGAAGCAGGCTGAGGATGCACCACCTCAACTCCTGTAACCCAGATGATCCCAGGCTGAGGCCATGCTGGGCTGGCAGGGGCCCACTGCAGCTCTGCAGCCTGGTAATCAGTGGGAGGTTAGTCTCTGCTATCACTCCAAGCTGGAGCAAGGGCTGGTTCTGCCATACTAGAGGCCCTGGGAACAGAGGCAGTCTTCTGCTCACCTATCCTGGATCCCTTGCCAGGTGAGATGGCTTCTGGAAAGACCATCAGGGCCAGGACACTGGGCCTGGAAGAAGCCCAGTGGGCTGTCAATATCATTTAGTATCCGTTCTTAAACCCCCTCTGGGATCCACTGGGGACTTAGGGGAGCAAAGGTGGGCTTAGGTGCTCTTGTCCCACACATAGGGCATTGCAGACATACCAGGCTATTTCCTGATCAAGTAGAAGGAGTCTCCGTTCCCTCCCACACTGGCTAGAACAGAACTTTGCCCAAAATCACAATTCAGGATTACGTATTGTTTTATCTTTTTGATCTGAAGCCAGGACACAGGGGCCCAGAACCCCACACACACCCAGCATGATCCCCAGAGGCCTCTCCCTGGGGAAGGGGAGAGGGCGAGGGTCTTCTCCTGTCCTTGCTGTCACTCATTAACCTGACTTGGTTAATTCAGAAAACTAGGGAGGTGGTGCCACCAGTGAGGCCAGAGACTGGGATGGGGCCTGGGGAGAAAGTCCTTAGAGCAGCTCTGGGTCCTGGGAGGCTTTAGCCCAACCCAGGGACAGCTCCAGAGCTGGCTCTTCACATGCACAAGGGTTGGGGGCCAGCGCAGAACCAAGGGGCGGAGGAGCTGCCCACACCTTCCCTCCACAGGCACCAGGATACGCTGACCAGAAGGCCCCTGCACTGCCGCCTGCCGATGGGCGTCTTACCAGGCACGGTTAGATCTGGATGTCTCTGTCTAATACTGTCTGGTAATGCCGTCCATCCACGGCCTGATCGCCACTGGAGGACAGCACCCTCGCCACCCCATGGGGTCACCGCTAGATACCAGGTGCAGAGCGAGGCTCACGGTCCATGTGGTACATGGACCTCATGCCCCCACCCAGACATAAATAAGCCTCAACCCAAGCCCACTGGGACCCCCGTCCCCCAGGACCTGACTGCCTCTCTGAACCCACAGAGGGTTTTTGTCATGACCACAGTGAATATTGGTGTGACAAAGGTTTGAGGCACTCAGGCCCCTGCATCTGCCCATCTCAGGAGCACAGGCTTCCTTGTGCTGCTGGCTCCACGGCCAAGTGGGTCCCACACCCAGGGGCCTTGAGCTTCTGAGAGCTGCAAGTGCGGATTCTGAAGCCCCAACATTGTTGGCACTGCTATGGGTCTAGAAGGGACCTGAAACCCCACCTAGAAACTTGGCACTCAGCCTCTCCCTACCTGTCTCAGACCAGGAGGCTGAGGAGGACCGGGAAGAAGCAAGCCTGGTCAGGGGGACATATGGGCAGTGCAGGAGCAGCACAACCTCTCACAGTACAACCTCAGGGCCGAGTCAGACCACCTCTCCCTCCATAAGCCTCAGCTCCCCGGTCCACAGGCCCATGTCTGGGGCTTGGGTTGTCAGGGGACACTGCCCAGGTGCCAGGCTAGTGACCCACGCCCCGGAAGGCAGATGCTTAGAAGGATATGCAGCCCCTGCACCCTCACCTGCCCCTGGGCTCTCTCTCTGAGGTGTCCCAGCTTCACCCTATTGAGGCCTAGGGAGCTGTCCCCAAAACCAAGCTCTAGATTCTGAACCCCCCCACTCCTGGCCTCAAGGCTGGCCTCAAAGCCTTTCTCCCCTGAGAATTTGAAATGACCCTTTGCAAGGCTGTTAGGCAGCTTTGAAATGATTCCAACTCTTAAAGGGTTTTGCTTCGATGAGAGCTTGGAGTGGACCCCCTTCACTTGGGAATGTTATGATGTCTCACTTCTCAGACCATGGATGTGAGCCCTTCGCCTCAACCAATGAACTCCAAAATACATATAAACCTGGGTTTGGCAGTCATCTTGACTGTGCCCAGCAAGCACACACCTATAACCTTGGCACTGAACCCCACCCCTTCTCCGCACCTCTAGTGTTAAGGGACCTCATATGTCCTTCAGGGTCTACCCTGGGGTGGTCAGGCCAGTCTCTCCTAAGAACCACTCAATAAAGTTACACCTGGATCTCTAGTTAGACTTTACTTTTCACAGAGACCTGCTTCCACCCCAGGTGAGCAATGGGAGTTGAATAACTGACCCAGAGTTGGAGCTGCTTTGAGCAGCTGAACAGAGGATGCATCTGTCATGCCCCCTCTGAGCTGTGTTCCCCTCAACATCCCCCTGTGAGCATTATGAACAAAGAAGAGGAACATCTCTGTATGGCAATAAACTCTGTGATTGGTGAAATCATACCTTGATCACCTCCTTATTTCAACTGTACAAAATACACTGGCAGCTTTACAGAGGACTCAGCTAAGAACAGCACCCAGGATGAAACTAGCTCCTCCCCCTCTTCTCAGATTCCCTTCCTCCCTTATCCCCTTCCTGCTCCCTCCCTTCCTTACCAAGTCTTCCCTGATCCTTCTATGGGCAGCTTACTTCCAGATATTGGGGAAAGAAGGAAAGTGTCTAGCAAGAACAGGAATGACAGGGCATATTGTAAGTGACCATGACAAGGCAGTTTTCCAGTTTGAACTCTGTTCATGGTGTGGGTAAAGGTACTTCCAAGAGCACGTACCTAGGAACCCAGAACCCTCTGAGCAGTCCAGGCCCCTTGAAGTGATGGGGGAAGGACAGCGAGAGGGCTCCTGAGGGTCTGTGATTCCCACCAGAAGGAAAAGACCTGCAGGAAATGAGAATGGGCCCACTGGCCCTGGCCACTGGTCACACAAGCTGACATAGGGATGCAAGGGAGTCCTTTTCAGTGTACACCTGACAACACACCAAAGGTCAGGGTGATCTGTGAAAACAAGGGTCCCCCTCCTAGCCCAGGGTCAGCACTGAAGTCAGGATTGGACATGACCTTCCTACTCCAGGGTCAATGGCTGATGGCTATCTTCCTGGGGTCTCCCCAGGCCAGAAGTGAGTGTAGCCGGGGTTCAGACCCAGGTTGGGGGAACATGAGACCCATCACTTAGTTCAGTTTGGCTGCCCCAGCCTACCTGGAACCCCTGCCCTGCCAGACCAAACCACAACTATTGGGACAGTGTCACCAGGGCCAGAACTGGACCAAGTGTAGCAGGACTGATCCCAAAGACCTCAGCCCCCAGCATAGTCAGCCACAGGAGGGGAGATGTGGCCACAGAAGTCAGCTCCCCAAAACACACCCCACAAAGAGTGGAGAACTGAGCCCTGCAGAGTATGCCTGACTCCCATTCCTAAGGGACCCTGCACAGGTGATGGATAGCACCCCTCTAGCCACACCCCAGTATGATGTTCCATCCTAGCAACTCAGATTGGGAAGGGTTGAGGGAGGAACAAATGGGATGGAGCCTGAGGGGTACAAAACCTCTGCATGAGTGAGGAAGCCCCCCAGAGTGGGTGATGCCATATGGAACCCTGGAAGATGATGGCTGGAAGTGTGTGTGAATTTCCTGGTACTCCATAAAAAACTGGGTGACCTAAAACAGCAGAAGTTTATTCTCTCACTGCTCTGGAGGCATTGGTAGGCAACACTCCCCACCAAAGCTCTACTGGGATCCCTCCTGCTTCCTACAGCTCCTAGCAGTTCAGGTGTCCCTCATTTGTGTCCAAGTCACCTATGTCTCTGCCTCCTCCTCACTCAGCTTGTACTCTTCTATGTCTCTCTCTTCCCTCTATCTCCCTTTTAGGACACCAGTTACTGGATTCAGGGTCCACCTTGTTAATCCAGGATGACCTCATCTGAAATCCTAACTTAATCACATCTGCACAGATCTTTTTTCTAAATAAGTCACATTTCTAGGCTCCAGGGCTTAGGTCATGGTTCTATCTTCTGGGGGTACCATCCAGCTCCCTGCCAGGGGACCCTCATAGGCTCTGAAGAATGGCAGGGGTACAGGGCCCATATGACCAGAGGCTCAGGATCAGAAGCAGAGGCTGACTTGTCCCAGGATCCTTAGCAGGAAACTCTCAAAAACTGAGTCATGCATGGGGTCAGCTCCTGGGGAAGCAGGCCTGGACCGAGGGGTCCCTGAGAAGGCTCAGAAGGATCCTGGGAGGATCTAGAGGAGGTTGGAGGACAGAGGGCAGTGCCCCAGCCTCAGACCCAGCAGGGGAGATTTTACATAAACACCCCTCCTGAGCCTCAGTACCCCGAGCCATTTTCCGTGCAGCTTGGCCCCCACACCCTGCTCTCCAAGCTTCCCTGAGGCTACCCCTCAGCTCACCCCATGGCTCCTTCTCCATCCACCTAAAGCCCGTGTTTACCTCTAGGCGCTGCAGGATCACAGTTGCTGGGTAACAGTTGCCAGGAGATGGTTGCCAGGTCACCACTGTTGTATGCCAGCAGAGGGCTCCCTCCACCTTGTTGGGCAGGTAAGAGGGATAAGCTAGCCAGAAGCTGGGGGTGCTGGCTGTGGCTAAAGCTTGGCCCTACCCTTCTGCACCCCTCTCAGGACCCTGCTCAGGAGTAGACAGATGGGGGAGGGGACTGGGCAGAGGCTAGGGAGCTTGGCTGAGCTGAGCCCTCTTTGTGGAGGCCACTCTCATCCCAGACGAAGAGCCTCAGCTAGGAAGGGCGTGCCTTGTGAGGTGGAGCTGGCCCCAAGCAGGCCACTCAGGCTCCAGGAAGGGCTGGGCACTCTCAGGATGAGCTCTTTGCCCAGGATCAGGTCTGTCTCCCCAGAACTGACCCCCAGAAGGGAGCCTCTTGAGATCCGCAGGTATTGCATCCCTAGACAATGAGTGCTGCCTGCGAGGCGTCAGTCCTTCAAAACACGCAAGCACTTTCTCAGAGCCCTGTGTTGCCAAACGTGTCTGGGGGGAGTCTCAGACAGGACAGTGATGTGTGGTCATTTTCTTGGTCATTTTCTTCAGGTTTAAACGCATCTCCTGCCCATCGTACCGGGGTGTGATTTCCTGCCAGTCTTTTTATCTGACCAGGTAAAACGTTTAAGTTTACTATAAAGTTGTAAAGCTTCTGCCTGGCCCCTCACTCTGGGCTTTCACTTAACTTTTGCCCAATGTCCTATCAAGAAGGTTCTTAACCATTCTGGGTGGTCTGTCTGCAGACTGCTCACTGCCCCATTGCACCATTAGAAATAGCAATTTGCAAACATCACTGATGTGAAGTTTCCTTCTGGCTTCCCAGTCGAGTCCTCAGAGAACCTGATACTCAGACAAGTATCAGGACAAGTGACAGTGATTTCTCGGAAGTCTGGAGGCTGCATCCCAGCCCTGTCCACTCCTGAGCAAACACCACACTTGCGACACACCAGCTGTGTCTTCTGAAAAAGTCTTTGTCAATTTGAATGACAAGAAATAATACACGGTTTATTTAATTCTTTGTGACAATAACAAGAACACAAAGAAAAGTCAGACAGAGGCATAAGACTTACGATGGATAACAGTGCACTACACATGACCCTTCTAAGATGTTTCTTCAGCCACAGCAGCAGAGTTGGGGAGGTTGCCAGGAGTGGAGCAGTGGGCAGGGTGGGACTGCTTGCTGGTTTTCCTTATGAGTCTTCATTTCTCTTTGACTTTTCTAACTACCACCTATTTCTAAATAGCACTTGATGGTGCTGTTGCTTACAGAAGCGATTGGAGACTCTTGCTCTTGTTCCTGTGTTTGTGCCATCCTCCACAAACAGTGCCTACAGCCGAGCCAGGCAGCTTCCCCTGATGCCCTCCACACAGAGGGTTTTCGGAGGCATTCATGGCCTTGTATGTGTATTTGTTGTGTTCCTTAATTGTCCCCAACCCCTGTACCTCCTGGCATTGTCATGTGGCCATCCTTGCCCTGCTAGGCACTCACTGGGCAGGAACTCTGTCTTCACAATACCCAGCCAGGCTCTTGTCACTGTCCATTTTGCAGGCAAAGATGAATTCTTTTTCCTGATACCTCATTCTTGTCCCACCTCCCCCTGGCTGGCCAGGTACAAAGTACCCAGAGAGCTGCACCAGCCCTGTGGCCTCCCCGAAAGGGAGGTGCCCCTTCCTCCAGTGTACAGTGACTTCCTCTTTCCCCTCGTCTCTCCAGCGCTGGGTCCCTGGTAAGTCTGTTTTTGGTTTGTTGCTCATTGTTCCTTCAAGCCCTGTCTCCAGTTCTCTTTCATGGACTTAAATTCTGCACATGCTGCTTGTTTAATTTCCATGGGCTCTTTCCTCTTCCGACAGCACTCAGCTCCCTTTTGAGAATATGCTCCCCACCCTGAGCATATTCTAGATGTAAGCTGACTTCCTTCAGCTTCCCCACTCCCCCTTCCTTTTCCTCTGTGTGTGTGTGCATGCAGCTCTAACTCATTCCTGGGAGGCCTCTCCTCAGATCCTCCTGGGGCCAGGCAGTGGACTATGCTAAATGCCAGAGTCTTGGGGTTCCATGTTCACAACAGGGTGCCTTGGCACCTATTCTCAGGTGCTGGGAACTCAGTGAGAAGGGGCTTGAGTTTTCCAGTGATCATGGACACCCTTACCCACACCCACATAATACCTGCCCCAATTCTCTGTAGATTCTCACCCAGCACCTTCCACGGAGCCCTCTTGTCTCCAGGCATTCCTAGCTTCTTACACTCATGAGGCCCACATTCTGCAGAGATGTGAGGCTCTTACTGCACCAGGCACCCAGCCTACCCTGGGCTCTGTTCCTCCTGCCCCACCTGGTTCCGTGACACTGCACAATGTCTGTTTGAGTCTCCTCTGCTTTCTCTCTTTTCTGTGGGTTTATTCCATTTTTCTTGTTTCCCACCAATTCAGTGGGGCTCGGCAGGAAGTCACAAAGCCTACCCAGGCTGTAGTCCTTGGCATTACTTTGCTGCCCAGCTGGTCTGTCCACAACTGGGTTTTCCTCTTTAGAGATGACCTGCTCCCACCCAGAGGCTTGTCCCTCCCTTCCCAGATGCAAGGCCCTGTATGCCATTTCTCTGCCCTGCCCACGCCAGCATGCTTGTCTTCCATGGCTCATGTTTCTGTAAAGTCTTCAGAAAGTCCTTGCTCCTAAACAGCCCCCAAACTGAGTTGGTTTGCTTGACGTGGAGGCAGAGGAGCTCATCCAGGAATTGGCTAACAACTCCATGAAATGCTCCAAAGTTTGCAACATGGGGAAACTAGGGCAGCGTCCATGGGCAGGGGTCCTGGGGGAAAGAACTGCTGCAGTCGCAGCTGCAGAAGGACTGTGCCAACAGGAACTTGGCTGGGCTACAGGGTAGCAGCGCAGGCTAGGAAGATCCCAGCTTGGGACTAGGAGCCTCTCTGCTGTCCAATCCTGCAGATGGGCACCCCACCCTCTGTAGGCCTGATGGCCACCCTCTTACAGCCAACACAGAGGCCAGGAAGGTCCCAGCAGTGGAGGACTTGCCCCGCAGAGGCAGGATGCAGAAATGGCCTCACGCCCACGGGCCACCAGGCCCCATGGCCACCACAGAGATGAGAACCAGCCGCAAACAGAAGCCACAGCCCGGAACACAGGGAAGCGCATATCCCCAGGCAGAGTGGGCCTAAACATGTGCCCTGTCAAAGGGCTAGGACTTCGGGCTGCCCGAAGGCCTGGCAGGGGGTTAGGAGCAGCATCTTCCCCACGGGGTCCTCGCCCTGGTGCCCCCGTCCCTGCAACCTGCAGCTGCACACGGTTCATCTACTACCGGGGTCAGCCCACTCGCATCAGCTCCAAGAGACCCAGGCGGTCCAGGATCCAGCGGTGCCACGTCCGGGCACCAGGTAAATTCTGAGCAGCCCTGGGACTGGCTCCACCCGCCCCAAGACAGGGCATCCTGGGACAGGTGCCCCCAAAGGAAGGTGTCACATGGGGAGGGGACCAAGCCTACACAAGGCCATGTCCAGCCAGTCAAATAGGTCTTGGAAGGGGCCAAGTAGGGAGCCCACGTGCTAAAGGGTCTGAGGGCTCTGCCTGTCCATGCCAGCTCCATAGGCAGCCACAGTGGGCATTGCCCACCCCACCCCACCCAGGGTAGCCTCTCATCTCTCCTGGCTGAACATGGCCCTTTGGGTCACCCATGACGTCATCATGGACATTGTGACCCCTGCCCTCTGAGGATGTCCCCACATGATGGCTGCATGGGCTCCAGCCTCACACCCCAGCCCCTTCCCTGTATGAAGCCCTGTCCTGCTGGTAAGGAGGGTGGAGTGGGGCTTCCCTCATCACCCCTGCTCCAGGATCCACCCCACCTGGACCCCGCTTACTTGAAGGCTGGCCCTGGAGGGTGGCAACTGTCTCTCCTCTTGAGTGTAATGAACCCCCAGATCCCCTGGTGAGGGATGGACTGGGCTGAGGAGGGGTTCAGAGGGGCTGGATGAGTGCCCAGCAGCTGCTGGTATGGGCTGGGCTCAGGCAGAAGGAGTGGGCACCTCCCCAACCTCCACCTGACCTCACTGGTCCCCAGGCTGGGCCCATGAGAGACAGATGGGAAGCAGTGGTGAGGAGGGGCTCCAGGCTCAACTAAGCCAGCTGGACCAAGATGCAGGTGGGGCCACAGGCATTTGGGAGGGGCAGGGACATCCCAGTCAGTCAGTTTAGGAGTCCAGGGCCTCTAACCACCATCCTGCCCACAGAGCTCACAGAAATGTAGATGCTGACAGGCCCCCAGTGGTCCTCCTGGAAGGACTCCCACTGGAGGGAGACAAGCAGTCCCCCAGCACCGGGCAGGGCCCCTTCTTCTACATCGGGGGCACCAATGGAGCTTCAATGTGAGTGTGGGCCTTGCAACCCTGGTCTACATTTTCACCCCTGCCCAGGCCCAACCCCTGGGCTCTCCTCTAGGGACCCCGTGGCCTGGGTCACCAGTGCCTTCCACCCCACAGAATCAGCTCCTACTGTGAAAGCAAGGGCTGGCAGCGTACCCAGGACAACCGCCGTGAGGACTACAAGCTGAAGTGGTGTGAGATCAAGTGCAAGGAGAGCTACATCAACTTCCGGGAAGGTGGGGTCACCCCAGGGGGTGGCTAGCAGCTGATTGCTGAAGCACCATCCCCACATATCCATCCTTGTCCTGCCAGGCCAGCAGCTGCTGTTCCAGCTCCCCAACAACAAGCTGCTGACCACCAAGATTGGGTTGCTCAGCGCCCTTCGGGAGCACGCACGCATTGTAAACAAGAGCATCAAGACACCTCCAGGCACCCAGGCCAAGTGAGCCCACCTCCCGCTGGCCCTGATCCTTCCCAGCTCCTCAGCATACACCTGCCTGCATTGCCATCTGTTCCCTGGGACCACTCTCTCTATTCCGTAAACCCACTGTGACCCCTGCACTCTCTCTATTCCGTAAACCCACTGTGGCCCCTGCACTCTCTCTATTCCGTAAACCCACTGTGACCCCTGCAGTCTTTCAGCATTCACCTTACCACCCTACCCCTCATGCCCACTTACCCATCTCCCCACTGACCCATCCATGTTCCTTCTGGCCACTAGTCTGCCTCCAACCCTAACCCCTGTCTGCCATTCACTACCCAGCGATCCTTACCCCATGCCCACCACAGTCACCCATGGATGTCCTTCGACCATTTTACCACCCACTTTCCCATCCATTCACCCCTACCCACTCCCACCTGTCCTTCAAAACAGGCATGTCTGTCCACTCTGCTTCACCCCTACTACACAGCTTTGTGACCCACTCATTGATTCACCAACTCCTTGCTCAACCACTCACTTGCCCAAACATTTACACTTCTACCCATTGATCCAACCAACTGCCCACCCTCTGCCACCTCCATGCCTGCCCATCATATAGACAGCCAGCCATGTCCACTTACCACCTGGCCATCCATACCATCCTAATCAGCATGCCCAGCTGTCCACTTCCTGCCCGTGCCTACCAACAACTTGGATCTGTTCCCCTTGAGACATCTGTCTGCCCACCAGTCCACCTGCTCACCCACCTGTCTACCTCCATACCCATTCATCTCCCTCTCTCCAGACCCCCCCATTCCTTCTCCAAACACTGTGAAGAGGTATCCATTCAGGCCAAGTCCTGTGTCCCCCTGGTGTGCAGATTTGGAAAGGATGTAGCACCAGCCCTTGAGGAGCTCACATGGACCAGCCCAGGACACCTTGGGCCACAGAGGTAGATGCATGAAGCTCAGATGAGAAGAACAATTCTGACCTGAACTGAGAACGACCTGGTGTTAGGTGAAAGGGCATAAAGGGCAAGCCTTAGGAAAAGCATGAGCCAAGGCAGAGGCTCAGTCAGAGCACTCAGATCTATACTGACCACCAACTGCATGCTAGGCAGTGTCCCGGCTCTGGGGACCCAGCTCACATAGGAGAGCAAACAGGATGGACAGATCAGGGGTGCAAGAGAGGGGGTCAGGATAGGATCCAGCAGCCAGAAGGCTGGCAGATGCAGAGAAGCCAGGAGTGTGAGGCCTGTGAAAGAGTACAAGGGCACAAAGTACGCAAAGGCCCTGCAAAGCAAATGGCTGGGAAGAGTGAGGACACAAAGGAGGGTGCCTGAGGCCCAACACAGGTGCCCAGTCGACACTCCCTCCAGCTGGTGCACAGACCAGGCCCCTAGAACATCAGCCAAGCAGGGTCAGTTCTTCCCATGTCCTCCCCACCTCCTGTCTCTCCCAGGATCCTGAAAATGGACGAGTTTTTCCCGGAGACCTACCGGCTGGATATCAGGGAAGAGAGACAGGTCTTCTTCACCTTGTTTGATGGTGAGAGGTCACTGGACCAGGCCAGGCATGCTGCAGGGAGACAGAGTCAGGGTGGGATGAGGCAAGAGTGGGCCATGCCTGGAGAAGACAGAACAGGTCATGGTTTAGACATGGTAAAGGAGGGAAAGGGTGGAGCCAGGGCTGGAGCACAGTGGTTGCTGCTGAGGGACTGGGGAGGGAAGGGCTGTGTCCAGTTGAGGTAGGGCATGGCAGGGCAGGGCCACAGCTGGAGCTCATCAAGGTAGGTGTAGTCAAGGTGAGATGTGGGTAGGGTGGGGCAAGCTGGGGCCAAGAAGTGAGACTGGGGTGAAGGCCAGGTGTGGGACCTGGTTTGGAGTGGTCAGGGCTGAGGGTGGGGAATGGGAAGAAGGTCATAAGACAGGCCTTGCCGGGCGCTAGTGGCTCATGCCTATAATCCTAGCTACTCAGGAGGTACAGATCAGGAGGATCGCAGTTCATAGCCAGCCCACACAAATAGTTCATGAGACCCTATCTTGAAAATACTTAACACAAAAAGGGCTGGTGGTGTGGCTCAAGGTGTAGGCCCTGAGTTCAAGCCCCTGTACCACAAAAAAAAAAACAAAAAGACCAGGCCTTATGAAACACGCCAGGGTTGGGGTGTGGGCAGGGCAAGGGCAGGGCCAGGGATTGATTAAGTGGATGGGGCCAGAGGCTCAGGAGGTATTCCCTGCAGAAACCCAGATATGGATCTGCAAGCCCACGGCATCCAACCAGGGAAAGGGCATCTTTCTGATCAGGACCCAAGAGGAGGCAGCCACCCTGCAGGCTAAGACTCAGAGCATCGAGGATGACCCCCTCTACCGCAAGACGCCCTTCCGGGTGCCTCAGGCTCGAGTGGTGCAGAGGTGTGGGAATGGGCAAGGGGGTGGGCATGGCGCCTATGAGTGCTGGCGGTGATCAGCAGAGCTACAGAGAAGCCTTTGGCTGTGGAGGGCTGCAGCACCCCAATGCCACCCACACTTCTTCAAGCAGGCCATGGCCAGTCCTTGGAGCCTCAGAGGGCAGTGTTGCAGGCAAGACAGCTCCCAAACATAGGTTATAGGGGGCTGGCATGAAAGGATTGGTCCACTTATTATCCTCATCCTGCAGCCGCCCCCACCTTGTTCCCCAGCCCAGTCAGTCAGCTGCTTCCCCAAGTCTGCTCCCAGGGCTGACCAGTGGCTCTTCTGCCCTGTAGGGTCCAGACCCTCAGCCTTATGTGGGACTGGGCAGGGAGAGCTCAGCCTTGCCTAAGCAAGCTCCCAGTAGACCTCACCTTCCATCAGCATGGACCCTTGTTTTGGCCACAGCTGCTATCTGCTGCCCCTCCCCTTCCACTGGGCCCTCCCAAGTAGCCACTCCTACTGTGGGTCATGAAGACCCGAGGTTCCCCCACATGGAACCCTTCTCCAAAACCATTTACCCTTCATGTCCCAATGTCAGCCTTTGTTCCTCCTCCAGGCATCCCTCCCCTGTCATGGGGGCCCAATCTATCCCCAGACCCCCAGTGAGAGTTGCGCCTTGAGACAGCAAAGACATCTGCAGTGGGCTGAGAGCCAATTCTTCTCAATTCCCCTGACCTGTTCAGGCTCAGAAATGTTCCCTGACCATGGACAATATGCTTAGCTGGGACAGCTAGGGATGAGAGGACCCAAGCCAGCTAGTTCAGCAGCTCAGCCCAGCTGCCCTGTGTGGTGTCCAGGTACATCCAGAACCCGCTGCTGCTGGAAGGGAAGAAGTTTGATGTGCGCTCATACCTGCTTGTTGCCTGCGCCATGCCCTACATGGTCTTCTTTGGCCACGGCTATGCTCGCCTCACCCTTAGCCTCTATGACCCCCATTCCAGTGACCTCAGTGGCCACTTGACCAACCAGGTAAGGACCCTTCACAGGTGAGGGCCTTCCAGATAGGTGTGGATGAGATCAGAGAAAGACTCTTACTGTGTGGGAATGCAGAGAAGGGTGCAGCTGTAGACACCTCCCAGGCAGGGAGGTGACCCAGCCTTGGAGGTGGGTGGGGCCAGTCTTGGAGATGGCCTGTCTGCATCTGCCCGCCTCTCACCATGGCAAGGTTCCTGGTGAAATGCCACAGAGCCCTGCAGCTCCCAGTCCCAGCTTAGTTCCCAGCCTGTGTACTGAGAAAGGGGCTTAATTAAGGAAGAGTCCAGGGCCGGGAACCCTGTGTGGGCTGTAGGGACTTGCTAGCTGAGAAGGTGTCAGTAGATGTAGGTGTGTACAGAAGGTTCTCCACAGGCAGACCCTCCACATACTGGAGAGTAGATGGTAGGTGAGGGTGGGGCTCTCTTCGGGGCCAGAACCCCTCAGCAAGGATGACCTCCAAGCTTTTGATGTAGTTCATGCAGAAGAAGAGCCCCCTGTACGTGATGCTCAAGGAAGACACCGTGTGGAGCATGGACCGCCTCAACTGCTACATCAACGACAAGTTCAGAAAGACCAAAGGCCTCCCCAGAGACTGGGTCTTCACCACCTTCACGGTCCGTCAACTGCTATGCCCGCTCCAGCCCTGGGGATGGGGGTGAGGGGGCAGGGCAGGGGACACTCAGGCCAGGAGCCATGAGTCAAGATCTCTATGTGTTTCCCTGGGGCTGAACTGGGCACATGGCTTGCCATGTGTCCTTGAAGTGTGTGATTGCACTGAAGCTTTGTACATGTGTGTTTTGGATACTCCTCCTTGGGGTTAGTGACTCAGTTGTTAGCTATTGTCCTCAGCAGCCATGAGCAGAAGAGCCCAGCAGGGACCCAGCTGCATGGGTCCTCCCAGGGTGACCTCACCCTCAGGGCTGAATGATCCGTGGCTTTGATGACCACCAAAAAAGGAAAGTTTAAAAGTTTTATGCTTTGTAGCCCCTCAAGCTAGGCAGGTAATCAGAGAGGGCAAACAGTAATCTGTCTCTCTGTCCCAGGTCACAGACAAGAGAGGGTTTCCCCTGTTTATGGTCAGCTGAGTGGGGTGTTCTCATTTCTTAGGGTTATTTTCTACTTAGTACTTCAGACAACTCTGGAGTTGAGCATCTGGGCCTGAGGCTGGGGCTAACCAAGGGTTGGATGAGGGACTTCTTACCTCAACCAGCAGTGGCCAGCAAGGCACTGCCAGCTGTGGTTCCTCTATCACTCCTGAGGCAAAGTGACATCAGGTGCAGAAATTGACCACTTTGAGGTGTCTCCAGTCACTCTCCCCACTGATAAATCACATAACATAAAATTCACCACTTTAAAGTATACAGTTCAGTGGTTTTTACATTCACAATTGTTACCACTATCTAACTCCAGAACATTCTTATCACCCCAAAAGTGAAATCCCATAGTCATAAGTCATCATTGCTCAAAGGCCCTCCCGCAACTTCTGGCACCATTTACCTGTCCTACGTCTCACCTCTACAGACTTCCCTATTCTAGATATTTAATTCACGTGAATGTGGAATTTCCCCGGGCAATCAGCACTTCAGACACCCACTGTTTGAGTGGACCCCATTTTATTCATCCATCAGTTTTTTCTACCTATTGTCTAATATGAACACTACAGCTATGCATACTCATGTATAAGTTTATGTATGAACATATATTTTCATTCTTTTGAGAATATTTTAGGAATGGAGTTGTGGGGGGGTCATAGGACTTTTTTGTTTTTTGCAGTACTAGGGTGTAAACCAAGGGCTTACACCTTGAGCCACTCCACTTTGTTTTTTTGTTTGTTTGTTTGTTGATGGGTTTTTAAAGATAGGGTCTCACAAACTATTTTGCCTGGGCTGATTTTGAAACCTCGATCCTCCTGATCTCTGCCTCCTGAGTATCTAGGATTACAGGCAAGAGCCACCTGCGCCTACTAGGAAAACTCTTGCGTTTAACCTTTTTTTTTTTTTTTTAGCAATACTGGAGTTTGAACTCAGGGCCTCGCGCACTCCCTAGGCAGATTCTCCATCACTTGAGCCATGCCCCCAGTGCTTTTTCGCTTTCCGGGTCAGGCCTCGTGTTTTTGCCTAGGGCAAACCTCAGACTGTGATCTTCCTACCTAAGACCTCTCACTCAGTGTAGCTGGAGCCATAGGTGTGTGCCACCATGACTGGCTTATCAGTTGAGATGGGATCTTGCTAATGTTGCCAGGCTGGCCTTGAACCATGACCTTCCCCATCTTCACCTCTGAAGTATCTGACATTATAGATGTGAACCACTATGCCCAGCCCTGTTTAACTTTTTGAGCAACCACCAATTTTTCACAGTGACTACAATATCATCTTTCTTTTTTTAATAGCTATCTGGTCAGGGTGCGGTGGTATCTCTTTGCATTTTCTTAACGACCAATGATTGTGTGGTGATCTTTTTATGTGCTTGCTGTTCATTTATGTATCTTCTTTAGAGAAATGTCTACTCCACTCCTTTGTCTGTTCTTTATTGTTTGGTTGTAACAGTTCTTTAGGTATTCTGAATACTACATCCTTGTCAGATATATAATTTGCAGACATTTTTCTCTAATTTTGTGATTATCATTTCACTTTGATGTTATACATCAAAAAGCTTTAAATTTTTGTTTTGTTTGGTACTGGGGTTAAACAGGGCCTCACACATGGTAAGCATGCACACTAACCCTTGAGCCGCAAGGCTTTTAATCTTGACAAGGCCCAATTTTTCTATATTTTTTCCTTTGGTTACTCCATTACCAAATCCAAGGACATGAAGATTTACACATATTTTCTTCTAAAAGTGTTAGACAGTTAGCTTTACATTTAGGTCCTCAGTCCATTTTGAGCTAATCTTTGCAGATGGTATGAGATAAGGATACAATTTCATTCTTTTGACTTCTTTTGTTTTTTTGCCAGTACTGGGGTTTGAATTCAGGGCCTCATACTTGCTAGGCAGGCGCTCTACCATTTGAGCTGCTGCTCCAGCCCCTAACTTCATTCTTTTGCCTGTAGCTATCCAGTTGTCCCAGCACCATTTGTTGAAGAGACTGTTCTCTCCCCAGTGGATGGCACATTGTTGAAAATCAATGGACTGTATGTATTTGAGTTCATTTCTGCACTCTTAATTCCATTCTGTTGGTTAACTTTCATACGTGAATACTGTTGCATTTCTGAGGCAAATCCCACTTGGTGATGGTATAATTTCAATATGCTGTTTAATTTTATTTTCTTGCGTTTTTATTAAGGACCTTTGTGTCTATACTCACAGTGATGGATCCAGCCACCTGTGGACTGAAGCCGCTGAAATCATGAGCTGTAAACTGATTCTCTTGGGTGGTGTCACAGCAACAGAAAGTTGCCTAACACAGCTGGTGAAGCCATTTGTGTTTGTCTTTGTGGGAAAGTGTTACTATCGGTACTGATACCACTGCTACCTCAGTCTTTGGTTGGCATAAGTCTAGTCAGGTTTTTATTCTTTAGTTTGTTAGCTTTTCTAGGAATTTATCCATTTCTTCTAGTTATATAATTTGTTTGATGTACAACTGTTCAGTGTTCTCTTATTTTACCTACATAAAGTCTTTCCTGATTTTAGTAATTTGAGCCTTCTCTCCTTTTTTTCTTGGTTTATTGATTTTGTTGATCTTTTCAATGAACAAATTTTTGGTTTCATTAATTTTCTCCACTGTTCTCTATTTTGTTTTTGTTTGACAGGACTGGGGTTTGAACTCAGGGCTTCATAATCGCAAAACAGGCACCCTACCAATTGAGACACCTCCAGTCCATTTTGCTCTGGTTATCTTGGAGATGGGGTCTCACACCAAACTATTTACCTGGGCTGGTTTGGGACCACAATCCTCCCAATGTCAGCCTCCCAAGTTGCTAGGATTACAGGTGTGAGCCACCAGCATCCAGTCACTGTTTTCTACTCTTAATCCCATTTATTCCCAATCTAGTCTTTATGATTTACTTCCTTCTGCTTGCTTTGGGTTTAATGTTCTCTTTTTTTCTAGTTTCTCAAGGTCAAAGTTTAGGTTATTGATTTGATATGTTTCTTCTTATTTGATGGAGGCTTTTATAGCTGTAACTTTTCCTCCAGTCACTGCTTTTGCTACATCCCATAAGATTTTGAATTCTGTCTTCATTTTAATATGTCTCGAAGTATCGTTTACTTTCCTTTATCAGTTCCTCTTTGACCCACTGGTTGCTTAACAGTATGTTACTGCAGACTTAGTGGTACATGCCCATAATCCCAGCACTCAGGAAGTTGAGGTACAGGAGGAACACAAGTTCCAGGCCAACTTGGGCTACTCAGTGAGCTTCAGGCCAGCTTGGGTTATGTAGCCAGACCTGTCTCAAGAAAGAGAGAGAGAGAGAGAGAGAGAAGGGAAGATATCATTTAATTTCCACTATTTATGAATTTACCAATTTCCCATCTACTACTTTTTTTTTTCAGTGTTGGGATTTTAACTCCGGGTTTCATGCTGGCTAGGCAGGCACTCTACCACTTGAGCCATACCCTCTCCCATCTACTACTGATTTCTAATTTCATTCCAGTACATCAGAGCATATACTTTATAATTTCAGCCCTTTAAAATTTTTGAGGACTGGAGTTGTAGCTCTGTGCTTAGAGCACTTGCCTGCATGCACAAGTCCTTGGGTTTCATCCCCAACACCAGAAAATCATTAATTCATGAAAACTGTTTTTTATCCCAGCCTATGATCTGTCTTGAAAACATTCTTTTTCTTTATGTTCTCTAGTAGGACATATACCTGCTTTTGCTGGGTGGAGTGTCCCATGTCCACCTCACTGGTTTATCATGTTCAAGGCTTCTGTTTACTTTCACCCTTGTACATATATAGCCTGCGGTTACTGAAACGTGAATGTGAGATGCTGGATTGCCCTTCAATTCTGTCAGGTTTTTTAAAGCTCTGTTGTAGATATGTGTATGTTTATAACTTATATCCTCTTAATTTATCATTATAAAATAACCTTTTTCCTCACTAGTAACAATTTTTGGTTTTTTTATATTAAAGTTTGTTTTCTTTGACATTAGTACTGTCACTCCAGTTCTCTTTTGGTTACTGTTCACATTATATCATTTTAATTTCTACCAATTTTTGTCTTTGAATCTAAAATGAGTCTCACCCCACCCACACTATGATTTGAACTAAGGGCCTGTGCTTGCTCAGCAGTTGCTCTATCACTTGACCCACCCCCAAACAAGTCTCTTATAGACAGAATATCATGGTTTTTTTAAATTCATTCTGCCAATATCTTTCTTTTAATTGCAAAGTTTAATCTCTTATATAATTACCAACAATGTAGGGTTTACATATGCTATTTTGCTACTCATTTTCTATATGTATTATGTCTTTTTTGTTTCTCAATTCCTCTGCCTCCTATTGTGTTAAATATCTTCTAGTGTACCATTTTAATTACTTGTCATTTCTTTTATTGTGTATATTTTTAGTTATTTTCTTAGTAGTTGTTCTGGAGATTGCCATTAACATCCTAATTATAAGTATTTAGATTAATAAAAAGTTCTTTTCTTTTGGTTGTCCTGAGGTTTGGTTCTGGGATTTGTGCTTTCCACGCAGGCACTCTACCACACCTCCAGCCCTTTTTGCTTTGGTTATTTTGGAGACAGGGTCTGGCTTTTTTGCCAGGCCAGCCTGGACTTCGATCCTCCTATTTTATATAAGGATCGCTGGAATAACAGGAATGTACCACCACGCCTTGCTTTTTTCCTTTGAGATAAGGCCTCACAAATTCTTCCCACCACTCCAGCCTATCCACTCCCTGCCCCACTGGCCTGATCTCAGCCTTCTGTGTAGCTTGGGATGACAGGCGTGTGCCACTGTGCCCAGCTGTTAGTTAAGATGGGAGCCACACAGTTTTTGCTCAGACTGGCCTTGAACTATGATCCTCCCAATCTTAGCCTCCCAAGTAGCTAGGATTATAGCTGTGCAGAAGCCACTAGCACTGGGCTTAAAGCTAATTTCCATAGTTCGCATATAGCTCCATGCTTCCTTATGTTGTTATTGTAACAAGTTGCAGCTCTGTACATTTGTGACTGACATGATACATTTATGATTTATGATTATTGTTTTCCTTTAGGAAAAAAACAATTACAAATGGAAAAGCCATGTATGCTGTCTTTCCTATCTAATTGTGTAGTTACATTCACCTGGGGCTCTTTCCCCTTATGAATTCAGGTGACTGGCTGGGTTCATTTCAGCCTGAAGGACTGCAGGGCAGCTCTACCCCTACCTTTGCTTATCTGGGAATAGCTTTGCTGGATTCAGAATTCATGGTTGGACCCATGGTGTTAATCCTATTGAAGACCCCTTGTATGTGATAAGTTGCTTCTCTCTGATTTCGACATTCTCTTTGTCTTTTGAAAATTTGCTTGTGATGCAATTAATCGTTGAATTTATCCTACTTGAAGTTCATTGAGTTTCTTGAATGTATAGATTAATATTTTATTCATCAAACTTGGGAAGTTTTCTATCTTTATTTCATCAAAGATTCTTTCTGTCCCTTTCCACTTTCTGTGACTTCCATTATGCATAAATGTCCACTTCATGTTGTCTTACCCCTGGGAATCTGAGGCTTTGTTTTCTTCATTATTTTTTCTTTCTTTTCCTCAGACTGGACAATTTCAGTTGACCTGTCTTCAAACAACTCAAATCTCTGAGCTCTTCCAGAGATTTCTTTTTTCTGTTTTTGAGAATGGGGTCTAGCTATGTTTCCCAGACTGGTCTCTGACTTGTGGACTCAAGAAATCTTCCTGCCTCAGCTTCCCAAGTACCTAGACTACAGGCATGGGCCACCACACCTGGCTCTGGTGAATTGTTTATTTCCATTATTATACTTTTCTACTCTAGAACTTTTACTTAGTTCTCTTTTATACTTTCTACCTCTTCATTGACATTCTCTATTTGGTGAGACATCATCTTCATACCTTGCTTTGGTCCTGTTAAGTGACGTCTTCCAAGGAACCACCAGACTTAGAAAAACAAACAATTGCAACTCTCTGTAAATGAGCTCTTTTTCTAGGCTACCACTGAGCTGGCAACAAGGGATGAAACTAGTGCAAGTTAGACTGTTATAAAGCTCTCCATTCTTACCAAGATTTCACATATCCCAGTTGACTGTCTTTCCTTCTGTGAGTGAGCTTCACTCTTATATCCCTAGTGCCTATCACACAGTAGGAGCTCTGTGAGTTTGTTGAATGAGTCTCTGGATGTGACTCTGAGCATGTGAAGGTGTAAGCTGGCATGGTTGTGTAGGTGAAAGTACAGCTGGGAAGTACAGGTGTGGGTAAGGTTGCAATGCAGGTGAAGGTACAGGAGAAAATGGGGTGCAGGGCCTACAGATGACAACCAGAATCCCTCCCTGCTCTGCCCACAGAAGCGGATGCAACAGATTATGGCCCATTGCTTCCTGGCTGTCAAGTCCAAGCTGGAGTGCAAGCTGGGATACTTTGACCTCATTGGCTGTGATTTTCTGATTGATGAGAACTTCAAGGTAGGCGGATGAAGCCTGGTAGACAGGTGCAAGGAGGCAGGGGCCAACTGTATATCCTGGCAACACAAACAGGCCCATGGAATGGAGTCTATCATCAGACCCCACTCTGCCTGCACCCAGCTCTGGGTCCCTAAGGCTCAGCTCCTACTGCAGCTGAGCAGCCCTCAAGGACAGACCTTCAGGGCCCCAGCGATTTGGACAAACTAGGAAAGAGAAGCAGGGGAAAGAAACAGTCTGCCAGAGTCACATGGCTTAATGGGGACAAGGGTTCCAGTTTCCTGCTGTCTAAATGGGCAATGGGTGGGTGAGGAGAGATGTTGACCAGTGTCCTGCCCAGGTGTGGCTACTGGAGATGAACTCCAACCCTGCTCTGCACACCAACTGTGAAGTCCTGAAGGAGGTGATCCCTGGAGTGGTCATGGAGACCCTGGGTGAGCTCTGGGTAGCTCCCACACCACAGCCCTCCCATATAGCCTTCTGCCTTCCAGTGCTGGGTATCCCATCTTCCCACGTTCAGACCCCTCAAGTCTGAACTTTCCAACATCCCAGGACCCTGAGTGCTGCTTACTCCCCTGTCCTAATCTCCTCACCTAAGGAAGTGCACACACACCCCTATTCCCATCTGGGTCCCACACCTCACTGCCTCTCTCTCTTCTTCCCCTACCTCCAGAACCCCCAGCCCACACATGCTGGGGAGTCGGGACCTTTGTCCCTTCTGAGTCCCCCACTCACCCTGCGCCTCCCCGCAGACCTGGCGCTGGAGACCTTCCAGAAGAGCTTGCGCAACCAGAAGATGCTTCCTCTGCTGTCGCAGCACCGCTTCGTGCTCCTGCACAACGGCGAAGGGGACCTGTGGCCGCGCTTGGGGAGCTCCCGCACCTTCCCCCGCCGGCCGCAGGCGCCCAGGTCTGCCTGCGAGGGCGCGCCCTCCACGCCACCCGCGCCGCGCGCCGCAGACAGGCCGGGCGCACGCAGGCCCGCGCCTCTCCGGGGCGCGCCTGGAAGGCCGCTGTCCTCTCCACGCCGTCCGCGGCCGCCCGGCCCCAGCTCCAGCAGCAGCCCTGGCAGGGAACCCGCGGCTCTGGACGCAGAGCGGCCGCAGACGGGCTGCAGGGACTCGGCACCAGAGCCTTCCCCGGGGCCGCCGGAGGAGGAGCGCGAGGAGGAACAGAGGCGCTCGAGCCACCGAGGCTCCTAGACCGCGGCCACCAGCAACTTGTGGCCCCCCTGCGCGGCCGCGCCTTCTTGGGGACCTATAAAGGCTACTTTGTGACAAACGCGGCCTCCGCAGCGGGTCAGGTGGGCCCTTCCCTCTGTCCCACCAGACCCCACTCCACTCCTTAGGGAGAGGATAGGGCGTGACTGCGGGATATGAGCCTGTTCCCCTTCTTGGGGCAACCCACCAGCTCCTGGGCTACCAGTGGCCTTCTGCCCGTCACGCCCCAGGGTCTTTCCGAAACCGCACAGTCTGACACTAGGATCCACCATTGTGTGGAGTCCCCCATGAAAGGGCTGGATCCCCAGAAACTCCTCTAAGCTCCCTGCTTGGCACTTGTTTTCTGGCCTTTCAGACACCAGGTGGGACATTCCCCATTGTCCACAGCCCCCACTTCCCTGCAGAGGTTGGGACACTGGTAGGCATAAGGGGCACAGAGCTGTTGGTCATGACAGGAGAGTCCCAGGGAGGATCAGGCTGAGACAGAACTGGCTCCTCCCAGTGTCTCTCCCCATCATGGACCTGGGGGTTTGAGGAGAGAACTCTGACAGCTCTGGGCCTCTGAGGGGTCCAAGCCCCCACCACCACCACCATCAAGGGGTCAGGGTACTTCCTGTAAGCCCTTCCACCCTACCCCTGCCCCCTCAGCCACGTGCCCCCCCTGCAAAATTCAAGTACAAAGGCTCTCTCCCACTGGCTTCTAGCCGACCCACCCCAGCTTGTACAGTCTCATCTATGTCCTGCCTAACCACTCTTGGAATAGTCAAGGCCAGGTGGCAAATTCCTCCTGACCTGTCCGTCCTTCTGAACTCCTATTGGCCCCAGACATTAGGCCCAGCACAGACATCCTTGCATTGGAGCCTTACAACTCCTGAGACGGCAAGGGAGTCTGTTAGCACTGGCTTCCCACCACTGGCCCCATTCCCAAGACAAAGTGGCCTTGATACAACTAGAGGGCGCCATCTGCCGCTGTGCATCTGGCCAGCTCACAGAGAGGGGTACAGCCAGAGAGCCAGGGACAGAGTGGAACAGAGAGGGAATTGGTGTTCAGAGAGGTAAAGTTAGGTCTCCCAGGTCCAGAGGCATTGGTCATGGAGACCAGCCTCTGCACAGTCCTCATACCACAACCCTCCCATCCCAGGTGCTCCAGCCTACCTAGTCCCCAATTCAATCCTCCTGCTGTGACAAAGTATGAGGTCCCAAGTACAGTGAGAAGCACATGCTGGTCCCTGTGTGACAAGGGTCCAGGAACCCTAAGTCCCATGCGATAAGTCTATGGTTCTTCTCTGAGGAGCCCAGCTCAGTCAGTCTGCTTGGAAAGCCGTTGAGGCCAGGGAGGGGTAAAGACCAGCCTCCTTGAGGCCAAGTACCCAGGTGAGCCACACCTGTCCATTGTTGTAAAGGCCACATTTCTGCTGGCATCCAAGTGCTACATGGCCACATCACCTCAGGCCACTCTGCTGTGCCACCCTGATACCCCAGGGTCTCTGTGCCCCACAGGCGTCTCCCCCTGCTCAGAGAGCTCCACTCAGGTCAGGGCTGTGTCCTGTGGTGGTATCAACACTGCCATGGAACATTCCAGCTCTCAGCTGCCTCAGAGGAAGTACAGCCCAGACTCAGGGAGCAATGTCAATGTCAGCAGAGATGACAGAGCCCTTGGGAGATACCTTGGGGACATGGAGCCTGTGATGATGTGACAAGAAGTGTCTATTGGCTGAGGCCTGCCCTGTCCTGACCAAGCCCCAGCCTGGGCTTCCTAAAGGCCCGAGCTGTGTCTGTTACCCTTTGTGCCTGGCAGCTCCAATGCCCACAAGTCAATGAATAAAGGTTTCTGAGACCTGCTGCTCACTTGCCCCTCCAGAGTCATGGCCACATTAACCCCATCCAGGTCGTCCCTAGCCCCTCTCAGCCCATATGCAGGCCCAGAGATACCCTAAGTCCTGGACTGCAACAGAGCCCTGGATAGAGGGGGTCTGTGGGGCACCTGAACACCTGGGTATCTGGCAGGTGCCAGGTATTCTCCAAAATTCAAATATGTGATGGGCAGGACTATGCTTGAGAAGCAGGTGACAGCATGCAAAGCCAGGCTGGCCCCACAGGGAGACTGACTGCAGCAGGAGTTGGTGACCCAAGGAAAATAGGGCTCCTGACTGCTGAGTGTGTCTCCCACTCTTCCTCTTTCTCCCTCTCCTCCTCTCCTCCAGGGGGTGAATCCTGGGTCCTGCAGGTAGGTGGGGAATTCAAATAGTGTCTTCTACCAGCAGATGTAAGGGGAGTCAAGCTGCCCCCAGCTCTGATCCAGGCACTCCTTACTGCCTCCATCCTTTCAGCCTCCATCTTGGAAGCAGGCTAGCACAGACCCTCACCTGGCACACTCTGGGGCCTCCCTTAGTCAGGGTCTGGGGTCTACTGAGCACCTTTGTCTTAGACCAAGAGCTGTGGAGCGACCTGCACACCCTATCCCTCCAGCCTGTCTCCCCCTCTAACAAGAGGCCAGAGCAGCCCCTAGCCTGAATCAGGATCTTGGAAAGCACCCCAATTCCTGAAGCCTCCTGGGAAGAGGAGGTAGGTGAGGAGTGCCTGCCTCCCAAACAGCCGCTTCCCATGGAGGGGTTAGAGGGTGCCTGAGAGGCAGTCCCTCAGAAATGGTTCAGTCCAGTAAAGGGAGATGGATGACCCAGGAGTAATGGTCCAGGTCCTGGTGGCCAGGCCTGGTGCCAGTGCCTACCTGGTCTAGGAGGGCAGCTGGAGGCAGCCAGGAACCACCTGCACCTGACGGGCCCCCTGCAGCTGTCCTGGGATTTGGGTTGGTTAGGAGGACAGGGCTTGAGCCCCGTTTTGTCAGGAAAGGGTCTCCTCTTTGCCCCCACTATAGGTCTCAGTCCAGCTGGGGCTGGAGCTCACACTGGCTAAGTGAAGGGAGGAGTCTCTCTCACCAAGGTGAAGGGGTGGAGGCTGGGCACCAGTTGTGGCCGGAAGCATTTCTGGGTATCGGCCCTCTGGGCCCTTATCTGAGGCTGAACCTGGGGGATGGGGAGAAGCTGTGGTTTTCCGCAAGAGCTGGAGAGCTGCTCCTGTGGAGTGGGAGTTTCCAGGGGAAGGGGGTAATGAAAGCTCCCCCCTACACTGGCCTAGGCCAGGTAAAGTCACCCATGTTCAAGCTCTGCAGGTGAGCATATGCCTGCCCCACCCCTGGTAGGAGGCTTGGGTCAGTGTGGGAAGGAGCTGGGGGCCTCCACCCAGCACACAGCTCTGTAGAAAGCACTGGCTCTGCCCAGCTCATCTCAGCCCTGGGGTGGACCCACACAGGTGGACTTGCGGTGAGAGGCTGCAGAAACTGCAGTCTGGGGAGGCACCCGGGCCAAGGTGCATGGAGGGAGCTAGGCCAGTGGGTGAGGGACCGCCCCAAGCCTGTTGCTGTGACACAGAATCCCCCACCCGGTCTGTGTAAGTGCTGACGTTAGTCCTGTCGCCCTGTGGGCCACCCACAAGGAATTTCCAGCTGACTCAGTCCACGGGCAGCTGCGTGCCTTGGTACTTTCTGGGGACGCTCCAACTGTGTCAATCTGAAGCAAGGGAAAGGACTGGCTGAAGACCAGCTGAGGGTGGAACAGCAGGCCTGGAGAGGCCACCAGAGCTCGTGGGTCTTTGTTGCACTGAGGCCTGTGTCTGCCTCACTCCCTCACCCTCAAGGTGAGGGTGAGCTCTGTGGCAGCTCCTGGTGAAACAGAGATGATACTAATGAAGTGCTTCCTATGTAACTAGTGATGAATGAATGACCCAGGGTAGATCGCTGTCCACTGTCCAGCATGTCCCCAGCGGTCCCTGTGTGACCCTTGGGCTCTTCATATTCTGGGTCCCAACATCATCCACCTCCATCAGAATAGCTGTCCCTCCTCCAGTCTCTCCCATGAGCCTGTGTGCTGTGCTGGGGGATTGGGGGCTGTGACACCTGAAAGGTGCAGATCTGCCCACCCAGATCTACCTGCTGTGAGCCAAGCCTAGTGCCCACTGCCACTGAGAGCGGAAAGAGGCAAGGGCAGATGAGACGGGGCACTGACTGGAGCCAGGTATGCAGCTGCCTCCAGGGTGCTGCTGAGACTGGTTCTCACTGGCCTGCCACTCCCTGGACACTTGTGCCAAGATATCCCTATCAGATCTCTCTAGGAGCAGCTGCTGCTGCTGTTGCCAAAAAAAACAAGGAGGGTACTCAGCTGGGCAGGACCCCAGAGCCATGCCCTAGAGAGGAATCCATGAGGAGAGAGGGCCCAGGGCCAAAGCCAAGCCACTCAGAGGCTGCCCCCACATCAGAAATACTGACCAAGCCCTGCATTTGGGGCAGTGAAGACAGGGCAGATGTCTTGAAATACAGCTAGAAATCAGTCCCCACAGGCATCCATAGGGGCAGTGACCCAGAGACCACAGGCCCAAGACACAGCTGTCCAGCATGGGCCAGGCCAAGAGGGTAGGTGTCCAGTATGGATCCCCTCCTCCCAGTAGCCTCCCGAGCCCTGTGGTCCCTGCCAGGTGCTTGTGCCCAGGACTAGAATGGCTCTGACTGTATCACCCATTCCCACCTCAAAGTGGGAATGTCAAGACAGGCCCTGACGATTGCCTCCCTCCCCTTTGTGCCTAGCATGGGTGGTCAAGGTGCCCAGAGGCCAAACCCTGGGCCCTCTACCCTCTCTATCCCCATTACACACTCCAGTCACTGGACAAGTGTTTATTGAACACCACCTGCACCAGGTCCTGTACTAGACAATACACACCCATGAGGGGCCCACAGATCCCACCCCAGCAGAGATGGCAAGGGGGGGGGCTGCCATGGGTAACTGTCTCTCCCACAGGGCCGAGCCATGGCCACCACCCTTCTCCATGGTCTGGGGACTCGTCACTGTCATCATTCTACACCCACTTCCACCACTGAGGGGAGCAGGGCCGGGCCCAGAGCAGGACACAGAGCAGAGCCCTTGTTCCCAAGGGTCAGTCTGGGCAAGCTCCTGAGTCTAGCTCCGGGTGCAGCTGCTCCTGAGGACGTCCAGGCCTCACATCCACCGATCCCCCAGCCGGCCCTTCTCCTCCAACCGCTCCCCCCGCTCCTCCTCAGGGAATTGACAGCTGCAGGCGTCCTCAGCTGGTGGCAGTGGTACTTCCAGGAATGGCTGTGTCTCTGCAGGGGAGCTGTGGTCAACAGGTGGCCTGGGGCCCACCTCCCACTTCCCCAGGACACAACTGACCTCGAGACCACATGCGCTGCTTCCTCAGCTGCCAGATGTGCAAGCTAAGCTGGGCTGTAGTTAGGACAAGGATGCAGATGGCCACAGCAAGGAACATGATGGTCAGCTGGCCATGTGGCTCAGTGGGCAGTGGCTCCAGGATGCACACAGCATTGTGGGTCTTGTTCCCAGGGAACATGGTTAGAAACCCAAACTGGGCACAGCTATGATACATGGACATGGAAGCTGTCAGCCTCTGCCACTCAAGCAGCCCCACTGGGAAGACTACTGTCCTCTGAGCCATTTGGAGGATCACTGGGAGCCCTCAGGGGTCACCCACTGGGAGGGACAGGAAAGGCTTCCTTGGGTTGGGCCTGGACCACCCAGTCAGGGCCCCACTCAGGACTCACTCTGCCCAAGGTCTGCAGCGGCCCTCTCGCCCTGTGGAAAAGGTACCCACAGCACAGTCGACACACTCGAAGCCAAACTTGAAATTCCCTAGGGACAGACAGAGACTGCAGGGTCTACTGGGGTGAACAAGGAAGAGGATCAGGCTGGTGCATGGGTCCATCTATGGCCTGGCCCCACATGTCATTCATTCACCAGAGTTCTCTGACACCGGTACAGCTAGGACCTGAATAATCTGCACCCACATGTGCCTGGTCCAGACCTGGCACTGTTCATCTATCCTTATAAAGATTGACAGGGTATGTGGTAAGACTTGAGCCACAGAGTGGGGGTCTGAGAGCAGAACAGCCCCTGGACACTCCTGCATGGGCCCTCACAGCCAATCCTGAAGGAGCATCAGCACCCTCATTCAGGATGGAAAAGCCCAGGCTAAAAAGGTGAGGGCTCCCTGAATGCTGTACACCAACAGGCACCAAAAATGCCCTGGTCTGGCCAGTCCTTCTAGGACCCAGGACACTGGTGTCTTCTGCCTGCCCAGAGGATGTGCCCATGCCTTAAGCTCCAGTTTGGCCCCAGGACACACCCCTGGTCTGCTCAGGGACCTACAGGGCCTATAGCAGCCTCCAAGGGACATACCGTGAGGCCTTGCCTCCTGGCCAGGTGGACACGGGTGGTGCTTGCAGATTGTGCACTGAGGGTCTTCACAGTGGAATTCCGGCTGGATACACATACAGTCCCCTTCAGGACAGGTCTCCTCATCTGGAAGGGGATAAGCCAGCCTCTCATCCACTGAGCTGAGCCCCTCCCTCTCCGGGGCTCCTCCTGGCCCCCAATGGGGATGTCAGACTCTTACCCTCAGTCAGCCCCAGACCAGGACTGGGCTTCACCCAGATCAATTTCTCCCTCCCAGGTGGTGGGCTCCTCAGAACACCCCCTACATTACTCTGAAGCAGCTGCCTTTGCACGTCCCACAAAATATGGGATTCTCCTGGGGTTTCCAAGGATCCTGAGCCTACATTGCCCCCTTCCCATCCTATACTGCCCAGGGACACCTCAGTAGCTGTCTGCATCACTGTCCGCACCAGCTGTGGACCCCCAGAACTGTACCTCTCCACCCCCACCCCAGGCCTGGTGGGTGAGACTCTAGGTGTTTTCATGTGATTTGGGTCCTCAGACTGCCTCACACCCACAGCTGCAGGTCACAGACAACAGCAGACAAGGCACAAGGCCAGAGTCGGGGCCTCAAACTGGGCAGGAAGTGGTCTGGGTGAGGACCAAAATTCAGCCAACTCAGCAGGACTGGAGACAGCCCTATTTCACCTTGGACCCCAGGTTCCTCTTGAGGGGATAGCTCCCACCCCCTTCACTCTTGCTTCCTGGCCCTGGGGCCACTGGCCCAGCTGGGCACCTCTACCTCCCTCTGAGATCTCACCAGCCAAAGCTGAGAAAGTTTGTCCCCGGGCTGTGTGATTGCCCTGTGCCCACCCTTGTTGGGAGACAGTGGCCAGGTCTGAGCCTGGGGTGGGGCACCACCACCCACCCCTGTTCCTTGCCACCACTTACCTGGAGTGCAGGAGTGGCAGCAGCGCTGGTCGGTGCCCGATCCGCGCAGGAAGTGACCTGGGCGGCAACTCGCCCCCTTGACAGGGCGCTGACTCAGGCCCAGTGCACAGAGCAGCGCGACCCCACACAGGGCCATCTGTGCTCCCATTGTGCCGTTGGTGGTGTCCTCTGACCTGAGAATTTCAGGCTGGGACCTGCTTTGACACGCCCTGCCCCCGCCCCACTACCGCCTTCAAAACCTCCAGCCACTCCACCTCCAACTTCCTGGGGGCATCCCGCGGGGCTTTCAAAGACCTTCTGGGGCTGAGATTAAGTAAATAGCTCATTCTCCATGACATCTCCAAAGTACCTCAGCAATCTTATCCCAGGGCCATCCAGGAAAGTAGGACAAGCTTCCTCACACAGCCCACTCACCCTGGGTGCACTGCAGACAGAAGGGTGCCCCAGACACACACCTGCAGGCTGCAGCCTTGCAGGTGTCCTTTCTCCACTTAGAGCCCTCAGGGGGCCCTCCTCACCTCCCACCCCAGAGCTTCTGCCTCAGGGAACCCTAAAACCTTGGCTGAATGGGATGGGGGTCCAGCCAGGTGCTGACAAGAGCATGCATGGCCCTGAGTGTCCTGGTCACCAGAAGGGCCTGTGACCATCGTCCCCCTTCAGTTGGTTTGTCCTCTCTGCTGTCAATAAATAAACACTTGAGCTTTTTCACCTTGAGACTATTTTACATAAAGTTGCTGAGGATACTCTTTGACGCTCCAGGGCACCTGTTTCTGTGGGGTAAATGCCCTGGAGTGATATCCCTTCTGGTCTCCATAGCTCATGGGGAATATAATACATAGCACTGTTGTTGCCTCCACTCCCCCCCCCACACCAAACACACATACCTGCTGGGTAGTGGCTTCAGGACCCCCACTGGGCATCACCCTGGGAGTCCCTGGTAGTAGATGGCATCTGATGGACCAACCATGTAGGAAAACCAGAACTTCTGCTTGAGCCAAACTTGGTCTGCCCTGAGTCCCAGCCATCCACTTACCCCCATAAAAACAAGTGCCTTTGGGCTGAACAAGTGTCCTCAGAAGAGAGGACAAATCAATTGTAGTGAGTTCAGGTGGGCTCTGGGGCTGGCAGTAACTCAGTGATGAGGGACAGAGAGGCTATAACCCCACCTCAAAGTTCCAGGGTCCCAGAGCTGTCTCCAGACACATGGGGTCCTAGGGCCACCATCTGGAAGTGGGAGCATCCCTTAGGTGACACAGGTGTCCTATGGAAGCTCAGTGAACTAAAGAAAAGAGACATGCATGGGGGCTCTGATCCTATGTGGAAATGGCCAACAGCTAGGTGACTGACCATGTGAGCTCCTCCAGGCCTGGGGGACCAGCAGAAGGTCTGAGAGGACTGACCAGAGCATGTATAGTGTGTTTCCACAAAGGTCATCATCCCCAGCAGGCACCTGAAACCAAGGGCAGCATGGGCTGCCCAGTCCAGCCCTATTCGGAGCAGGTTCCAACTTGAGATTCTCTTTCTCTCTCAAGCCACCTTCTATCACCCAGACAAATCCATGTGTCTGAGAGGAAGTAAAGGAAAAGCCACCTCATGGTGAGACTGTGCTATGTCTGAGTCTCAGTCTCTCCTCAGAGGCACACTGGAGCCTCAGTTTCCCCGTGTGGGTTTCTGGAACCCTGCCTCCACCAGGAAGCCTTTCTCCTCAGCCTTATTTCCCAGCCCTTCAGTTGAGGCTTTGTGCAGGGGAAGCCGGTGGGGACTTCTGGAAGTGCTGGAGGTGAGCATAGATATCACAGGATGTGATTGGTTTTGCCCACAAGCTGGAGGTGGGTGACCATTGTGAAGTAGGCAGATCCAGGACATCTGGACAAAAGCCCTTTTGAGAACCGCAGCTGAAGGAGGCTGAGGAAGCAGGAAATTTCAGGTGTTATCAGCTGTGGCTCCCTATTTTTCTCAAGCCTCAGATGTTGAGAGCCCCTCAGAGAGGGAACCCTGGTTACTACAGGACAGGGAGGGGTCTCAGTGATGCTGCATTCCAGGCTGCCCAGGTCAGAAATCTTGAAGGGCCTAGAGGTCTCTGTCAATCCCCAGACCAGGAGGTGTATCTGAGCACTGGGACAGTTGAGGGAAGAGGGACAGGGCAATCTGGACCTTGCTTCTAACCCATTTTAAAGACCAAAGAGGCCAGCCAGCACAGTGTCACCACAGTCATGGTGAATGCCCAGTACAGCAGTACACCATGGCCCTAGAAAATGCATTGCATTCCCTGCAGATGGTACTGTCAACCGCCCTCCAAGTCCCCTGTTCTTCCAGTGTGAGGAGCCCCCTCTGCCATGTGGAGTTGACAAGTCTTGACCAGCCCCAGGAGCAGGTCTGTGCAGTGACCCTTGTGGGGGTCATGGCCCTGGTGTTGCCTCCCAACTTGGCCATGGGCAGTGACAGACTGATGCAGTCCTGCAGAGCAGGGCAGCTCAGACTCTGAGGGGTATGGGCTGTCAGAGAGCTGAATAGAGGGTCTTTCCTTGAGACCTGGTCCCCTGTGTGTGACAGCCACATGCAGGCAACAGAGATCAAAGATCTGGTCATACACCTGGGGAGAAGCTTGTGAGCAGATGACATCAGCAAATGTCAGTGACCTTGTCTGCCTTCCTGTCCCACCCACTCTGAAGGCCCTCCTGGGCTCCGCTGAGGGGTGATTTTTATCTGTGTGCCTTTGTTTTCCTATATTTTGTGAGCAGCTCTGTTTGACATAGTGTCTTGTGTAGGAGGCAGCAGAGGGTCCCGGCAGCTCATCCCTCTGGGAATCCCCTTGTTGCGTAGAAAGAGGTGAAAGCAGAGTTTTCAGGGCAAGGGGAATGATCAGTGTGCTTAGGGTACAGCACAAGAGCAAAGAGAGGTGGCCCTAGTGCCCACGGGGGCGGGGCTGGGGTGTATGGGCTGGGGAAGAGGCCCAGGAAGCCTGAAGTGGGCAGGGGGCATCTAGAAGGCTGGAGAGCTGTACCCAGAGGGGTATAGGTAGAGGATGTATGGGGAGGAGGCACCTTTCCCACAACCTTTGACCTCCCAGGCCTTCCAAGTTATCCCCCTCCTAGTCCTCCCCTCACCCCACTCCAGGCCTCCTGGCCTTCCCCTCCAGGGATGGCCTTCACCACAGGGCAAGGGTTGCAGATATGTGTCGATTGCCCCTGCCCAGGCTTAGGGCAGGGCTGTACACAGGGAAGGTGGCTGAATAGACCAGGTGGCTGTACTCTCCCTGGAGGACGCTGGAGAACAGGGAAAGAGTGGAATCCGGTTTGAGGAGAAAGTGAAGGACAATGGGGAACGAGACGGTGATGGGGCAGGGGGGTGCAGGACTGGATTCTTCCATAGAGCCTTGGGCTTCAAGTAAATGCCAAGGGGCTGGGTCACCCTGTTCCAGGGGGGTGTGGCTGCAAGGTACAGGTGCAGTGCCAAGCCAGTGGCCACAGGGTGGCAGGAGTGGGCAAGGCTGTCCCTGCTATCTACCTCAGGCTTTGCATGCAACCTCACAGGGCAGCTGAGATGGCCCAGTGTCCTGATAGCTCCTAACCTGTGACACGATGGACCTGGACTCTCCTGGCCTCTGATTGTGCTCACATGGTCAGTCACCTAGCTGTTGGCCATTTCCGCACAGGATCAGAGCCCCCATGCATGTCTCTTTTCTTTAGTTCACTGAGCTTCCATAGGACACCTGTGTCACCTAAGGGATGCTCCCACTTCCAGATGGTGGCCCTAGGACCCCATGTGTCTGGAGACAGCTCTGGGACCCTGGAACTTTGAGGTGGGGTTATAGCCTCTCTGTCCCTCATCACTGAGTTACTGCCAGCCCCAGAGCCCACCTGAACTCACTACAATTGATTTGTCCTCTCTTCTGAGGACACTTGTTCAGGCCCAAAGGCACTTGTTTTTATGGGGGTAAGTGGATGGCTGGGACTCAGGGCAGACCAAGTTTGGCTCAAGCAGAAGTTCTGGTTTTCCTACATGGTTGGTCCATCAGATGCCATCTACTACCAGGGACTCCCAGGGTGATGCCTAGTGGGGGTCCTGAAGCCACTACCCAGCAGGTATGTGTGTTTGGTGTGGGGGGGGGAGTGGAGGCAACAACAGTGCTATGTATTATATTCCCCATGAGCTATGGAGACCAGAAGGGATATCACTCCAGGGCATTTACCCCACAGAAACAGGTGCCCTGGAGCGTCAAAGAGTATCCTCAGCAACTTTATGTAAAATAGTCTCAAGGTGAAAAAGCTCAAGTGTTTATTGACAGCAGAGAGGACAAACCAACTGAAGGGGGACGATGGTCACAGGCCCTTCTGGTGACCAGGACACTCAGGGCCATGCATGCTCTTGTCAGCACCTGGCTGGACCCCCATCCCATTCAGCCAAGGTTTTAGGGTTCACTGAGGCAGAAGCTCTGCTTTCTCAACAAGCTACCAGCTGAGCACCAGAACTTGCCCTGTGGCACTTCAGGCCCCTTGCACTCCATACCCCTACTCAAACTGGAATGTGCTGCTCACAGGGATGAGGCTCTGAGAAGACCCCACTACACCTCGGCCCAAGACCCTCCCCAGCCCAGTAGTGCCAGTCACAGACTCACAGTTACCTATGTGTTTATTAGGGGTGCCGCCAGGTGTGTAGTATGCACAGCATACGTAGGAAAGCCCGGCACCAGACCAGCACCTAGAACGGTGCAGAGGGTGCAGGTGGGTGGCCTGTACATAGGGTGCTTCTGTTCTGCAAAGCCCTCCCACGAGGTACTGCTCAGATCTTGGCCAGGGTGAAATGCATGTCGGCCTGCTCCTCTTGGATGGGGGTCCGAAAGCTGTTTCCCCCTGGGAGGAGGAAAGAGTGAGTGAGAGGCAGCGGGTTGTGAGTGGGTGGGTGGGTCTCACCTCTCCAGAAGTTGGGCTAGGCTGGGTCCACAGCAGGCACTCACCAGAGGGTTTGAGGGCATCAGGCCACTTCCAGGCTCTTCGTAGCAGGTACAGGGCTAGCAGAGAGACCAGGGGGGCCAGTAGGCCCAGGCCTACACCCAGGATGGTAACCAACGTGGAGCCTAGGAGAAGGATCCAGCTGAGTGAGTCTGCCATCCCTCTCTCCTCCCCGCTCCCCTGCTGGTGAGGCCCCCTTACCTCTGGGGACCTCTGAGGGAGGTGCTGAGGGTCCCAGAGAAGTCCTGGGCCAGACTGTGGTGGGTTGGGCTATGGTGGACCTGGCCGTGGTGGGCGTGGCTGCAGTAGACTTAGCTGTGGGACCCTGGGTCTCCCAGGGCAATGTGGCCTGGGGGCTCCTCCTTTCCTCACAGACAGAGTCTGAGCTGGTGCTGGCTGGCCGTGCAGTCTGCTTCCCAGCAGAGGTGCAGCTGAGGGTAGAGATGTGAGTTAGGCCACAGACAGTGGGATTGATACTGGGTAACCCTTGACTCTAGACCAAAGGCAGCCCAGGCCTCTACCCACAGGCCACAGGCCTGCCCCTGCCTCTGTGCCCTCTTCCCTTCCAGTCCTGCTCTCTGCACTCCCAACCCCTCACTCTGCACCTCTTCCACTGCCCCCTAGAGTGGAAGCCCAATGAAGACGCATTCTCACACATCTCCTAAGCCTGGGCTGGGGTCTTGTGCACCCATTCCACCCAGACGGTGTGTGTTGAGGGGCAGGTGTCAGGAGCTCCTCTGGCCGGTGGCTTTCTGCTTCTTGATCTGGCCCATGGTACAGCCAGGCCCTCCCAACCCCTAGCTCCTGAGCCCAGATCCCCTCTCGTACCCAAGTCCCCCACCACAGCACTCACTTGGTCCAGGGCTTGCAGACCTGGTTGTTGCCTGGGGAGAAGTGGCCGGGAGGGCAGGGGACACAGTCTGCAGCAAAGACACTGGACAGGTCAGCTGCCTAATGCTGCCAGGTGGGGCCCTGGATGCTGAGGCTGCTGGAGATGATGCCTATGGGGCTTGGTGCTTACCCGCCATGGTGCTCAACCCCCACGGTGCTCCTCCCTGCCTGGATTCCACCCACTGGGGAGCTGACCAGGAGCCCCATTCTTGGCATAGTTTACTGGGAAGGGGCTCTTGATTCAGCCTCGTAGGGAAAATGGCGGAGGAGGGGACAGTGTGAGAGCTAGAGACCTGGTTCCTTTACACCAAGTCTGTGACTCGAGGTGGTCAAAGCATACAGACCCTGACCACCTCACAAACACTGACCATGCACAGACACACACACACCCCAGTCCAGAGGTCACCATGAAGCTCACCAACTCCACGCTTGTAGCCGTCCCCCCGGGGCTGGGTGCCCGGCTTGCAGTGGCAGACAGTGTCCTGAGTGGGTGTACAGTTCTGCTTGAGTTCACTCCCACTTCCTGGGGTGGGGGAGGAGAGGCAGGGGTTGTGGAGGAGGCTTGACTGGCCCAGCCCTGCGTACAGGGCCCCAGGAAAGGTGGGCTTGCCTTCCCTAGGTGCAGGCACAGAGTTAAGGCTGAGAGGCTGACACAGCCTGCTCCAGACCACTTTGCAGGCCTTGAGGCCCTTTCCTCCTGAGACCACCTTGGTGGCCACGCTGTCCCTCCTGATCATGTGACCCTGGGGACAGCTCTATGGCCACCTGACCTCCCTTCTCCACTCTCCCTCCACTTGCCTCCAGCACATGAATCAGGACCCTCTGAGGCTCCCACTCCAGAAAGTCCCTACCCAGGCCAGCACAGGCAAGACCACAAACCAACATGTGGTCCACACCAGCTCTATGTGGTCCTGTTGAGCTTTGGCCCCCAGAGGTGGGAGGTGCCTCGGGAGATGCTTTGGCTTCTCAGGGCTCCCCAGAAGAAGCAGGCTGTACAGTCATTTGGGGCTTGCTTCTGCAGCCTCCTTGGAATGTGGGCACCCATTGTGGTAGTGGCCGTTCATCCTCCCCCCTGTGCTGGGTGGGACGGTGGAGTTGGGATGGGCGGTGCTCACCCTGGTTGCACCGTGTGCACTGCTTGCAAGGCTCATAGTTGACAGCATCATTGTAGAAGCCTGGCTCACATGGGTGGCACACTGTGTCCCTGGCAAAGTCGCATCGGCTCACCATTCCACTGCCTGCAGCAGGACCACTAGGTCAAACAGGGTCAGCTGTGGACCAAGCTTGTGGCAACTCAGCACACTGGCTCCTCTGGGCTGTGGCAGGGCCTGGCCCACTCCCCCAGGACCAGTCTCCTCTGTTTTAAGCCTGGGACCAGGTCCTCGGGAGTGTTACCCAGTGTCACCTGAATCCACTCACCCCAGGATGCCTGCACCTCTGTCTCCATCGCTGTTCCTCCCAGACAAGACCCCCACCGAGGCCAGGTCACTCACCTGGCTGGCAATCATGACAGCACCGAAGGCCATTGGGGTAGGTGTCCCCAACACAGTTGAGCTTTGCCACAGCTCCAAGCACAAGTCCCAGCAGAAGGGCTGTGGGCCGCCAAGCCTCCACACACATCCTCATCTGCTCTCTGCCTTTGCAGGAGTCTGGGTTTTTCCTTGCAGGATGTGGCTATAAGGGCTGTGAGGGAGGGGTGGGAGGGGCGAGGGGCGGGGAGGGAGGCATGAGAGCATGTTCATGCCTGTGTACACGTGTGTCCTTGTGTCTCTGCCCCCAAGCTGGGATGTGTGCATGGGTGTCTCCCCTGATGGTCTGGCTCCCAGAAAACACTGGCCGCAAGTCCCCAGGGCACAGGGCTACCTTAAGGTCACACTACGCCATCCTGTGTTTAGGGTTCCATGGGAACCCTGGGGAATGCCTTGTTCTTGGGCTTGGGCCTGGGCAGTCCCACAACCAGTCAGAGTGCCACTGGAGCATGTGAAGAGAGGAACAGGCACAAGCACATACGTGTGCTCATACCATGCAACAGATGTGCACAAGGACACACAAAGATGCATGTACACATGCACACACAGACTTTTTTTTGGTGAGGGGGTAGTACTGTGGGTTTGAACTCAGGGCATTGTGCTTGCTTAGACAGGTGCTCTACCACTTGAGCCACTCCGATAGTCCTTTTGGCATTGGTTATTTATTTTGCAGGGGGTGGGGTTAACTCAGGGCCTACACCTTGAGCCACTCCACCAGTCCTTTTTTGTGATGGGTTTTTTTTTTTTTTTTTTGAGATAGGGTCTTGTGAACGATTTGCTTCACACTGTGATCCTCCTGATCTCTGCCTCCCGAGTAGCTAGGATTACAAGTGTGAGCCGCTGGCACCTGGCTTGCATTGGTTATTTTTGAGAAAGGGTCTCACTTCATGCCAGGGCTGGCCTGGATCATGGTCCTCCTATTCGTGCTTCACCTGAAGATGATAGGTACATGCACTGCACCCAGCCTTTGGTTGAGGTGGGGGGTGGGGTCTCACAAACTTTGCCTGGGCTGGCCTTGATCCACAATCCTCCCTATCTCCAATCACATCCAGTTCACGCTTTCTTTTCTTACATGTGAATACCCAACTCTACCACTGCCCTGAAGAAGTAGGCTGGCAAAGGGGTTGGAGGAGGCCTGCTGGTGTCCCTTTTGTAACTTTTAAATTGTAATTGACAGGAAAAAATCTTCCCAATTTAGAAGCTGCACGTGGAGAGCCCTGCTGGAGGGTGGAAATCCCCCACCCAGGAGCACAGGTGAGAGCTGAGGCCCCTGCCCACCTGCAGAAATTCCCAGCCTGAGGGCTGGGCCAGGCAGGGGGCCAGGCTGCAGCTGGGAATTGGGTAGAGAAGACTTGATAGGCAGAGGTGCCACAATACAGCCCCCTCCCCAAGCCTCAGAAGGGCTGTGAGGGTTATGGGAGGGGTCTGAGGACATCCCAGGGAGTATACCACCCCAGGTCCTGCTAGCAGGCAAGGAAAGATCCAACCGAGCTCTCTGACCCACCACCCATGTACAGAAGAAGTCTTACATTTGCACATGGTCTCTTCTGAGGTAAACTCAAGAGTCTTGGTGGGCAATGATTCATCCTGAAGTGCCCCTCCTCCCCTAGAGATCCATGTGGGGACCTGTCTGCCCTCTGGCAGGGCAAGTCTCTGCTGTCCATGGCTGTCACACTTGGCCAGATGACTGACACCTGCCCACAGGTAACCAGAGATGCACAGAAGCCTGGACGCACCTATACCCCACACCCATCCCCCAGGGGATCCATGCGGGCAGCAGCCCCTCCTGCTTGAAACTGACCCCACTCAACCATGTTGGGGCAGGGTGGCTCTCATGGTCCTCGGTCTGAGGTCACAAGTCTGAGAGGCACTGCCAGGAGCTGGTCTCACTGTGTCCAGTGAACTGGGGTCTCTTAAGTCTTCAGGGAAGACTACAGCTCTGGGAAAAGGCACAGGGGTTAGGACAGGGACCCTCATCACTTTAGTCTGAAAGGGTCATGGGGGAATAGCCAGAAAATCCCCCACAAGCTGCTGCCCTTGGGTACTAGACGAGAGGTTGCTGGAGCCTCTGAAGGCCCAGGCGCCACAGTACACCCAGCTGCACAGCATTGCATCCAGCTGGGCCTCAGCTCACCCTTGAGGCTGTGCTGTACCATCTCCAGGCATGGCCCTTCTGACCCAGGGCCACAAGCTAAAGGGTGTCCATCGGCACTCACTGGAAATGGCAAGATACAAGTTGGCCTGAGGTGGATCATATCCCACAGAGGCAGGAACTGCCATCTGGGGATACCCACAGAAGCCATGACCTGTAGGGGCTTCCTGCCCATACCACCCGTCTGGGTTCTAGAAACCAGCCCAGGTGCCACCACACCCTCACAGGCAGTTAGGAGCCCCCCGCTGCACAGAAGTGAGTCCCTGTGGAAAAGGCTAGTTTACAGGGGCACCCAGGGCAGGCCCAGGATGGCGAGGCCTGGGGACCTTGCCCAGCCCAGGCTCTGCTGCTGACCCCAACCTCAAGGCCCGGACATGAACCGCCCCCAACCCTACCCAGTCCTCCTCACAGATGCTCCCACTACCCCTTTTCCCCTGTCAGCTCTGCTCTCACTTCTACCCTGGGAGAATCAAATCAATGTTTAGCATGAGCTCCAAACCCTTCTGTTAACCAGGTCGCCCACCTCAAAAGCTTCTAGTGGAAACAACCCAGCCACAAAGTTCCCAACTGTTTTTGTTTTTCACCAAAAAAAAAGAAGCTGCGAGAAAAAGGCAACTCTATTTTAAATTAATGATTTTTGTGACAACAAATATCTTCATTTTCTCAGACAGCAGTCTGGGATCCTGTGTAGTTCTGAGGAGCTTAGGGAGGACCCCACCGCAATAGCCTGTGGGCCCCTACCCAAGAAGGAGGTGGTTCCTCCCCTGAACTGCTGGGCTGCTCACTTCCAGCAAAGCAAGTTCTAGTTTTGTCTTAATCTTTCAGTTTTCAAGGAAATAGCAGGAGTTGCATTATTTCCCACGGGGTGGTGAGCCCACGGAGGGGCCCAGCCCAGAGCTCTGGGCCCTGATGTGGTCAGCGCCCTCAGCAGATCAACTCTGAGCAGTTCTCAGAAGCAAGATGTAGCAATCAAGGGACAGGAGGAAAGAGATTTAGCAAAGCACACGCAGCTGAGCCCAGCAACTGGGGTGGGGAGGGCTGCCTGCCTCAGACACGTTGTACAGGGGGACACACGACCTATTAAGCACATCTTTAATAAACCTGGGCCACACTGTGGCCGTGAGCTGAGCCAGTGTGTGGTCACAAGGCAGCAGGAGGAGAAAGGTTCCAGGACAGTATTGGGGGCCCACGGTGGCAGCTCCCCCAGTCAACTGTGGCCCTCACTAGAGGTTGGATGCTTGAGGTGTGTGGAGGGTTGAGGAGGCCAGGCCCAGGGCGCTCAGAACTCCTCGTGCACGTTGCGGGCATAGTCCATCAACTTGCTGCCCGTGAAGAACTCACTGTACTTGAGGATCTCCTCAGGCTCCAGGTGGTGGTTTTGATTCTCATCGGCGATGGCGATCATCTGCTTGGCCTCGTTGAGGGCGTTGTACTCATTCATAGGGTCCATGTAGTTCTGTGGCAGGAACCCCACAAATACAGAAATTCTGTGCAGTCCAGGCCAGCTTGTCCCCATACTTGGAAACATGGCCATGAGACTGCCACAGGCATTGGGTCAAGGTGAACAGCAGCACTTTCTGCCTCAGGGGGAGGCATCCAGGCTTTACTGCTGTAACTGCCCATAAAAACAATTCCTTGTTTAAAATGCCCCATGGGCTGCAGGACAGTGATGTGGCATATTCTGGAACATTCCAGAACCTCCAGAACATAATGATGGACGGAGAGACATGGGTGGAAAAGCCAGGACCCCTGGAACGCCCACCTAAGGCTGCAGGAGGACACACAGCGCAGAGACTGACTCAGCTACTGGGCAGGGAGGGTCCAGGTGGCCATTAAGACCTGGGGCTGACAAGATCCCTAAATCCTAGCCATGCCCTGTTATGCTATCAACAGAGTCGACAGACTGTGTATAAAACCAAATGGCTCATTCAGCAGTGGGAAAAACAAGCCCAAGAGGCCCTACAAGGACACCAGTGATACCAGCCAAGAAGGCAGTTCTTATCTGCAGAGAGCCCTGTGCCCAGAGCTCAGACACTTGGGCATCAGCCCAGGGGTCACTTTGGAACTGGGTCTAATGTGTGCTTTCCCTTCTAGTTTTATAAAAACAAAAACAAACAAAAAAAAAAACAGCGATAAAGAATCCCTTAGCACCTTTAATACTAGCTACTCAGAGTTGGGAGAATCAAAGTTTGAGGCTGGGGAGGTGGAAGGGGAGGGGATGGAGGTTGTCCACAAGACCCCATCTCAACCAATAAAAGCATCTGAGTGGTGAGTGTCTATAATCCCAGCTATATGGGAAGCGTAAAGGAAGGATCAAGGTGCAGGCTGGCCTGGGCATAAAGGCAAGACCCTATTTGAAAAATAACTAAAGCACAAAGGGCTGAGGCATGGATCAAGTGCCTGTCTGGCAAACCCAAAGCCCTGAGCTCAAACCCCAGTGCCAAAAAAAATAAAAAGTCCCCTGACACAGGGCAGAGCATTTGTCACTGCCTAGCATGTGTGAGGCCCTGGGTTCCACCCCCAGCACTAAAATGAAAAAAAAAAAAAAAAAAAAAATCCCCAATACCTCTCACGGAGGGTGCTGCCACATAGGGAGCAGGCTGGGAACTGTTCCCAGACCCGAGTGGCCAACTGATAGGGGACGGGGTGTCGAGAGGCCTTCCTGACTCTCCAAGCTATCTGAACATTAGCACTGACACCCATGGTGGCCTGGGGACTCCTGGGAGCCACACAGCCAGACACCAGAGGAGGTGCTTCAGTGACCCTCTCACCCAGACCCATGGCTACTAGGCCAGACTTCTTGGGTCAGGCCCATCTTGCAGATAGTCCCTTTTCCTTGGGGTCACTGCTGTGGTCTCAGCCCAAGCTTCAGCCATGCACAGGACACACCTACATCCCTCTAGTGCACCCACTCACCTCCAGCTCCTCCATGGTCACGATCCCATCATGGTTCGAGTCAATCAGTTCCTCAAACTCTTTTTTCCTGTCTTTTACCCAATTGTCATCAATGTCCTGGCCCTGCTGGTTCTCCACAGTGCCCACAGGTAGGGAGATGAACTCAGGCAGAGAGAGCTGCTTGTCACCATCCTGGTCTGTGGACATGGAGTTGAGGGGACCTTACATCAGATGCCAAATGCATTGTGCTGCAGGTGTTGTCTGGGCTTTAGCACAAACCTCAGCAGGCACCACTTTAAGAACCTGGCTGCCCACCCTGGCCTCTGGGCAGGGAGGTCACTGCCCACCCGGGAGGTACAGCACTCCCAGCCATTGGTTGCCTCCAGTCCTGGAACACTGCAGGGATGGACATGCCAGTGGGGGACAGGTCTTACCTAAGTCCCGGACAATCTCCTTGACCATGAACTTGAGCATGCCCCGACTGTGCTCAGGGTGAAGGAATGACAGGAACTCATCCTCAGTCAGCAGCAGGTCTGCAGGGGGATTATCGGCCTGATACCAGCGGTCTTTGAGATTCTCAAGGACTTCCTGTGCTAAGAGAGGTACGTCCATGAGCACCTGAACATGTGGGACATGGGTGGGCACATCCAGACGGTTCCCAGAGGGAACTTGAAAGACCAGCAGATAGGACATGCTGGGCTCAACGTCAAAGAGCTGGCTGATCCAGGACAGCCTGGCCCTGGGGAGGCAACAGATCCTCCCAGACTCTGCCTGGGCCCCCCATCTTCCCAGCACACTCCGAGCTGTTTGTTCTTTGGCAGAAATGGAAACTTCACTGCCAGGCTGACTCACCAGTAACAGCTATAGGAACAAAGGCATCACTTTCGTTCCTCTCTACTTCCACGTGCAGTAGCACACGCAGGACGCAGCGCTGTAGAAAACCCAGTTTCTAGAAATGACTGAAGCGGCAAGCAGAACTTCCCACAGACCCTCCCATCCAGGCCAAGCACAACTCTGGTACATGGCCCTTGGTCTCTGGAGCATCCCCTGATATCCTCCATGTTCCCAGGGCAGAAAAGTGCCATCCTCACCCATCCTGGGACTCACTGTAGTCAGTGACCAAGTCCTGGTGCACAGGCCTCTGCCAAAAAGCAGGTCATTTAGCCCCAGAAGCCCTGACAAAGCACAGCCATCATGAGGCTTCACCCCAGGGTCCTGACTCTGTCAGACGGCCAAGTCCTAGCTCCAGTGGCCCCTCCACAAACCCAATCAACCTCTGTCACCAGATGGCCCTTTGTGTCTTCTAGTCAATAGACTACCCTGTGGCAACCTAACTTAAACGACATATTCATTTAAAGGAAGGAGAGAGAGCAATGGGGCTTGGAGGTCACACACTGCTCCATTCCCACCTGCTCCAGGGACAGAGAGACAGTCCATCTCAAGCCCCAATCAGAACAGGCAGACATGTTGGGTAAGGCCATCTCCAAGCCCTTGCTTTAGTCAGGATCATTTCAGAAGATAGCACAGGATTCTCACAGTTGCTGGCCAGCACAGCTGTGCTAAGATCTGAAGGGAAACTCCACTTTCCAACTCCCCACATCTGAAAGACACACCTGCCCCTCAGCCTCTGAGCAGGCCCTTGTTTGGAAGGAGAATCTTGGAGGCACAGCTGTTACAGATCTGGAGATGAGCCCTTCTAGATCCAGGTGAGGCCTAAAAACCTGTGACCCTATAAGGAAAATCCCAACAGCGAAGTCAGTCACACAATGACCAGAGGGGTCAGAGCGATATGGCTGTCAGAGACTAGAGAGGGATTCAGAGGAGACTCCCCCCAGAACTCACACTGTGTGCCAAGGGTGTCATTCAGGAGCTACACAGGAGGAGATACACACACAGCCCTCCCAGGCCCCCAGCAGCTACTCAGATCCTTCGCCTGAACAACCAAACAAGGGCCCTGCAGTGTTCTGAGGTCAAAAAGATCAACCCACAGGCGGTCACCCACAGACCTTCACAGGAAGGTCACAGGCGGCTGAGCAGGGACTGTTACCTTGGGGCACAGAGACCTCAGAACACAGAGTGAATTGTAAATACACTTCCTCTGGGTCCTGAGGGTGGACAGAGCTTCATGGTGAAGCTCTGAGGCTCCAGGTCCAGGAAGACCTGTTCTGACAGGACACACAAGTAAAATAGCCAGAAACTGACTAGATCCAAAAGGAATTTCAGATAAGAACAGGCACAAGGGCACCAAGCTCCTAGGTGTCACAAAAGGTAGCTCCAAAATCACCAATGAGTGGAATGGTACATGGGAGCCTCACAAAAGGACAAGAGCCCCAGGACCAAGGTCACCTTCAGAAGGCAGCAGGACACACAGGATAAGTGATGGAAACACCAAACAGAATGAGGAAGCAGACGAGCATTCTGCAACAAAAGAATGATGTACGATTTGTGGGCAGAGGTAAAATACTAGCATTGCAAGCAGTAGGAGATGATTAACTGGAGGTTTACAGGGCCATGGCGCTGTCAGGAAGGACTGAGGTGCTACTTCTCCAACTGCGGTCAGCTGGCCAGATGGATGGAATAGGCAAAAGAGCACAGGTGCCAGATATGCATACCTGCCAGGAACAACCACCATACAATGTGACCAGTCCTTGGGGACAGCAGTGGGATGATAGCCCACAAGTGACAGATGGGGGAACAGGACACCGCGGGCCTTGAACCAGACAAGGGCTGTGAGTAAATCACCAGGTATGACTGGGGGCCACCGCAGAGGAGAAGGGCCCTGAGTTGGAACCAACAGGTGAAGCCTGCCCCCAACTCCCCACCAGAGAGAGGTGGGGATCATTTCAGAGGGTCCTGGGCACTGCCCACTGCTGCCTCTTAAGACATCTCTGCCAGGCCCTCCTCCTCTCCCTGCCCTGTTGCCTCAGAAGCTTGACACAGGCTGCTCCCTCTACTGGGAACCTCACCCTCCTGGGTCCAGATCCTGCTGACCTCCAAAGTAAAGCACCAAGCCAGGGCAGAGTTTCATCCTTTGCTTTACAGCCTCAGATTTCTCCTTAAGACCATGATGTATACAATTCGCTCTTGAAGGTGGTGGCCCCAATGGACCATGCCCCAAAGGGCAGCCAGTCAGCCACTCACCAATCGCATACCAAACCCTCAGGGAGCTCCCACTTCCCTTCTGATGGCCAACATCCACCCATGCTGTCCTGACGTATGTATGTATGTACACACCTGTACAGGGAGGCATTCACACCTCCTGACAGTCCAACAAGCTTGGTCCCCAAGGCCCTAGCCCAGCAAGGTTGGCCTGGCATCCTGAGCAGAACCATGCACCCAGTATCTCTCCAACTCTAAGCCAGCCCAGCCCAGCCCACCCCAGCACAGCAACCTGGCATCGGGGTGACCCATCACTAACTTTCCTCATCCACTTTGAGCTCCTCATGGTTCCTGATGGCATCAGCAACCTCCTTCTCATTGTGGCCTTTGCTCGCCAAAAACTTCACTTTATATTCATCCCAGGACACGTGACCTAAAAGAGAAGGTAGTGAAAAAAGACAGTTATGTTAGGACATCTGCTACAAATCCTTGGGCAACTGGCAGCTGCAGGACAGAGGATGCAAACCACCAGCTCTACACAGCCTTCCAGGGCAGCGATCAGGGGTGGAGTAGCCAGCACCCAGACCCTGGTTCTAGGCAGAACCTCGAACCCAATTCCTCACCTGCAGAACCAGCTGGGGCCTCTATCTCTTGGGGCCAAGAGAGGCAGAGACTGGTAGCACATAGGGTGGAAAGGGCCAAGAGCACAAGGAATGCACTCCAAACTTCTAAGCTAGTGTTTTCTTTGGTTTGTTTTTTTTGCGATGGAGGTCTTCCCATGCTGGCCTCCTGCCTCAGCCTCTAAATGCTGGGATTACAGGCATGTGGAGCTAATGCTACTTTCAGTTTAAAATACTTGGGTCACAGGGCTGGTGGAGTGGCCCAAGTGGTAAAGTGCCTGCACATTAGCTACCTGCTCTGTGTGTCCTACATCTTCAACAAACACCACTCTGACTGAGATCAGTTCATGCCTCTGCCTGCCTCCAGCCTCCAACTCTAACCTTCATTCTCCAGTCCCTTGGCCTAGAGCTCTAGTCCCTTGTCTGCTAGGTCCCACTTGTCAAGGTTGGGGCATGCTCCCTGTCCCTACCCACTGTACCACCTGCCCTGGCTCAGCCATGTGGGCCCACTATACCGTCACCATCAGGGTCCACAGCCCGGAAATGTAGTTTATTCTCCCTAACAGCCTCTTGGAAGTGTTCAGCTGTCTTCTCCATGATCCAGCGCTGCATCTCCTTGGCGCTGATCCTCTGGTCGGTGTTTACATCCACCCTGCAGGCAGGCAGGCAGATGGTGGGCAAGCACCAGATAAGACCCTGGGACCCTCAACAGAAACGGATTGATGCTACTGGCCCCAGGGACTCCATAGGCAGCTGCAAACCTGCCACAAACGACAACATTGCTCCACCCAGCAGTGATGTGGAAAACCAGGGGACTGGGGGCTTGCTAGGCAACACCAGGGGCTGTTGATATGGTCGAGAGGAGGATGGTTGGGTCAAGAGCTGTTACCTGGTGACAGAGTATATCAGCAGAACCAGATGGACCCTCTTCCCTCACCCTTGAGGCACAAACATCACCCAACATACCTTCCAGATCATGGTCTTTTTTCCTTTGTTCTTTTTTTTGTTTTTGCAGTACTGGGGATTGAACCCAGGGTGCCTTGCACTTGCTAGGCAGATGCTCTACCACTTGAGCCACTGGTTACCTTTGAGCTAGGATCTCAATCTATAGCCAGGCCAGCATGGACCATGATCCTATTTGTGCTGTCCCACAATGAGTGGCATGTACCACCACACCCAGCCATTGGTTGAAAGGGGTCTCACAAACTTTGTTTGCCCAGGCTGGCCTTGAACCATGATCCTCTGGATCTCTGCTGTCCAAATAGTTGGGATTACAGATGTGAGCCACCACATCTGGCTTTTTTTAGAGGGGGGGGGTGGATTGAATCCAGGTCCTTGCACATGCTAGGCGGGTACTCTAAAACTTGAGCCACATCTCCAGCCCCAGATTATGGTCATGACATTTTACGTGCTTCAGGTAACCATACAAACACCTTCACATACAAGAAGTTATAGCATTCAGGGCAAAGATGTTTTGGGGACTAATGTTGTATCCAAGAGGGAAGAGACCAAAACTTCAGGGACAGAGACCCCAGAACTCCAAGACAGATTATAAGAATCCCCAAACACACGACATGTAGGGGACATTAGAAGGAGCCCAAGTATCCCTCACCGGCTCTCTTGACCTCATTGACTGTCAGGCCTTTCCCCAGGTAGCTCTTGGCCTCTAAGCATCATTGCAGCCTAAAGGACCACTTCCACATCCAACTGTGTCTTTCACTATAGCAGATCCAACCCCAGCCCTTTCAGTTGAACAAGCCCCCAGGCAGTGCAGTGGGGTGGGGGTCTGTCCTGAGCTCTCCCGGCTGTGAGGCTTGAGGCACAGTGGGGCAGCCCAGCTCTGGATTTCCAAGCTCTGCCTACCCAGAGGAATGGCTCTGGGATGCCAGCTGGGCCCTCAGCTGAAACACTGCACACCTGAGCAGAGATTTGCAGCAGCTTCCCCCACAGCATGTCCTGAAGTGAACCCCTTGTCTCCTACCACACTGCAGCTGGACTGGACCTCACAGGCAAACAAACGTGGGTGCCCCTCAGCTGGCACATGGGGCACCTACTTGGAGAAGATGACCATCAGCTTCCTCCGGCTCCTTCGTGGCTCTGCATCCTCATCAAATCCGTCCATGTCCTTCCCCAGGAAGACCTCCTGGTGGAAGTCCTTGTTGAGGTGTCCATCCATCTCCAACTTCACCCCGTTCAGGTGGTCTGGGGGTACGATCTCATTCTCCTCCCTGTTGGCTGTTCTCTCCCGAATGGATGAGTGATTAGCTGGTCGTGCAGACACATCCATCAGAAGGATGAGGCCAAGGAGCCAGAGACCACGTGCAGCCAGGCCACAGAGGGGACCCTGCCTGGATGCCATCACTGTCAGTCAGACTGCAGAATGCCTGCAAGATGTGGGCCAGGAGGTGGGGACAGGGCGCCTCAGGGAAGGAAGGGAGATCACAACTCAAACCCGAACCCCAGGTGCCTCCGAGAGAAAGCTGAATGCAAATGCCAGGCTCCAGACCCCAACAAGTAGATAACAGTCTACAAAAAACAAAAAACACAGAGACCCAACATTTAGTGGAACCCAGCAAATACTTCATTAAACATGTTCATTTTACATGAAACAGAAGTTTGATTTATAGGATGAAGACCACACATGAAGCACAGTGTGGTGATACAGCCTGTAATCCCAGCACTTGGGAGGGGGGCAGGAGTACTGTGAGTTCTGGGCCAGCCTGGGCTACACGGTGAGATCCTTTCTCAAACTACTAAACCAAGCCAAAACACCACACATGGTGCTGTTTCCGTTTTTCACAAACACTAGGTTTCTAGCCCCTGCTCAAAGTTGTTACTACCCCCAGGAACTAACCTGTTCCTCATGCCCATAGTACAGCCTGCCAGCACAGTAAGTCTGACTCTGCCCTTCCCATGTCATGACACTCACCATAGTAGGGCTGTGGTCACTCACTTGACAGATTCCCAACTTGAGCATGTGTGAGCTCTGGGACCTTGGCTAAGTCACCAAACCTTCTTGGCCCCAGTTTCTTAGAATCAGGAGGTTCCCCACCTCCCTCCCAGAGTTTTTATATAGACTGGGGGCCCTCGGTGCACAGCACTGACATCTCTAACAGGGCTGGTCACCAGCAAACACTTACACCCACCAAGCAGGCACCAGCCCCACACACTATCCCATCCTAATAACCCTGTACATGAATGTGTGTGGGTACACACATCTACTCTTGCGTGTGCACCAACACACATGTCCATGCTCACATTCACTGAGGAGCACCAGGAATGCTAAAGTGTCCAAGAAGTCTGTCTTGGCACATGGACGGCACTTTTGTTCCTTCCCCAATCTGTCTTCCTGGCAAATACCTGCTGGGCCTCCAGATGTAGCTGTCTCCTGTTCTGCACAGCAAGGACCTCATCTTACTCAGCTTCTGCACCCTGGCACTGCCAGGCTGTCAGTGTACAGCAGACATTTGCTCAGCAAATGCTGTTTCCAGGAACATTAAACAGTAGAAGTGACACTCCAAGGCACAAGATGATGCTTTGTAGGGCTGCCCTTAAGGTGGGCCCAGATACCAAGAGCTGATGGAGCCTGGGGTCACCCAAAGAGGGGAACCCTGAAACACGTACTCATGTTTGATGTTCTTGGCACTGCCAACAGCTCTCTCCTTTCTGCTGACGTGTGACTCTCATGTCTGCTGTCCTGGTCAGGGAAGCACTTACTTGGTAAACAAGACAACTTCCTCCTGATGTTAATTCCACTCACCACCTTCATAAAAATACATGCTATGTGCAAACAGAGTGTACTTTGCTCCTTATAAGAACAGTCAGTTCTCGACTCTACTTATCTTGATGAATTATGGGGAAGAGTTACTCATGCAATGTTTTACATAAACAGCAACCCAAAATAACGACAAATATCAGGAATCCATCAAGTGAAACTTCCTCTCCTCAGTTCACAGTAGTTTTGAAGGGGCCTTTTTTTTTTTTGTGGTGCTGGTGATGGAACCCAGGGCCTCACACATGCTAGGCTAGTACTGAGCTACCCCACCTCCAGCTTACAGTGGTCATTTATTGTATTGTGGAAGCAACTATGTGGCTGACCAAGTTGGACAACTGCTCTTTTCCTTCGCCTCTGCCTGTCCCACCAGGTCAGGATTTCAGGGAGTGGGGACTTGGGTTTTGTCACAGCCCCTAGATGCATCAGTTCTACAGTAGTCAATAAATCCTCACAAAAGGGTGGTACTCCCTTACCTGCTGTTAACCACAATCCCAAAATATTAATACGTGTCTTGACTCTGGAGAGGGATCACAAGTAACTTTTATCACAGAATGTCACTGCAATTGATCTATTTTATTATTAGTTACTATTTTGATCTCTGCCTGGGCCTAATTTATAAGTTAAACTTTGCCGTAGACATATATATAGGAAAAAACAATGTACGCAGATCTCAGATCCCCCGTGGATCGGGAGGACCCCTTTATTTCTCTGCCATCCTTGGGTTTCAGTTCTGGTGCAACACTTCTTGTGGTTAAAAACAGCTCTGTTGGGGGCCTGGGAGTGATGCACAGCGCTAAGGCATTTGTTTGACTAGCATTCGATCCTCGGCACCACTAATTATATAAATAAAACAAAATAAAATCCTGCTGCTTTAGGAACAGCAGTAATAGTGTCAAGGAGAACTGCCACCTGGTCGGAGCCAAACATCTAGGGTCTTACAGCTCGGACTCTCCAAATCCTACTACTAGGGATTATTATGGCGCACATTCTACCGAGGCAGAGAAGACAGTCCAGCAGTCCGAGGTTCCGACACCAGTCGGGACTTCCCGGGCCTCAGTTTCCCGCGGCACCGAGAGTTCCGGCTGGACGACCCCGGGTTCGGGGGCGGGGGCGCGCCGGACGCGGGGCGGGGTTAGATCAGGTTCAGATCGGGTGGCAGGACCCGCGGACCTGGCCCAGTTCAAGGTGCCCGACGCCTCGGCCTCTGGACTCGCCCCTCGCGGTACAGCCGCAGGGACCGCGGGCTGGGTCCTGCGGCGGCCGGCGAGGCCCTCACTCACCGGCCTCCTACCGCGCCGGGTTCGGAGAGCGCAGCGGAGCATCCGCGACGCAGCCAGCGCACCTCGGCTCAGGCAGCCGCCATCTTTCTTCCGGGAAGGGGTGGGCAAGCTGGCCGAGAACTGCCCAAATGGGCGCGGGCTCCAGTGCTGACGCCGCCACGGTCATCTTTCCTTCGGGCGGAAGCGGCTAAAGCGACTGCCTGGAGACGGCCAATGAGAAAGGCACGCGAGGTCACGTGACAGCCGTCCCGGGCTCAGCCCTTCCCGCCGCCGCTGCTTGCCAGATCGCGGGATTCCGAGCACCCCAGGAGTCGCCGCCTTGGAGTTCCTCCCACTGCTGCGCAGAGCGCGGCCTGCAGTCTGGGGCCTGCGCCCCGGAGAAGGCCGCCGCGCGCACGCGCCTGCCTGCTGCCCGCCCGCGCCATGAAGCTGCTGCGGCGTGCGTGGCGGCGCCGGGCAGTGCTAGGGCTGGGCGGCCTCGCGCTCTGTGGCGCCACGTTGTTGTACCTGGCGCGCTGCGTGTCCGACGGCGCCACGCCCGCCGCCGCCGTCCAGCCCCGAGCCACGGCCTTCTTGGCCGTGCTGGTGGTCAGCGCACCCCGCGCTACTGAACGCCGCAGTGCAGTGCGCAGCACGTGGCTGGCAGCGGGGAGGCGCGGCGGCCCCGGCGACGTGTGGGCGCGCTTCGTCGTGGGCACGGGTGGCCTGGGCTCCGAGGAGCGGCGCACACTGGAGCGCGAGCAGGTGCAGCACGGGGACCTCCTGCTGCTGCCCACGCTGCGCGACGCCTACGAGAACCTCACTGCGAAGGTGCTGGCCATGTTGTCCTGGCTGGACGAGCACCTGGCCTTCGAGTTTGTGCTCAAGGCGGACGACGACTCGTTCGTGCGGCTGGATGCGCTGCGGGCCGACCTGCGTGCGCGCGACCCTGTGCGCCGCCACCGCCTCTACTGGGGCTTTTTCTCTGGGCGCGGCCGTGTCAAGCCCGGGGGCCGCTGGCGCGAGGCGGCCTGGCAGCTCTGTGACCACTACCTGCCCTACGCCCTGGGCGGCGGCTACGTGCTCTCCGCTGACCTGGTGCACTACCTGCACCTCAGCCGCGAGTACTTACGCGCGTGGCACAGCGAGGACGTGTCGCTTGGCGCCTGGCTGGCGCCCGTGGACGTGCAGCGTGAGCACGACCCACGCTTCGACACCGAGTACAAGTCGCGCGGTTGCAGCAACCAGTACTTGGTGACGCACAAGCAGAGTCCGGAAGACATGCTGGAGAAGCAACAGACATTGCTGCACGAAGGCCGGCTGTGCAAGCGTGAGGTGCAGCTGCGCCTCTCCTACGTCTATGACTGGTCAGCACCGCCCTCACAGTGCTGCCAGCGCAAGGAGGGTATTCCCTGAGCCTCACCACCCCACCACCACCATGCGCCAAGCTGTCAGGTCCTGGCCAGTTGTCTCTCAGAGCTCGGTGGTCTTCCAAGGGAACCTGGTTTATCCGTGAACGGCAGGGCTTTGGGGCTGATGCCTAGCAGCAGCCAGCAGCACCCAGGTCCCACCCCATCGCTGCTTCTGTTGCATACAGTAGCCATCCTAAGGTCGACCAAGGGCATCTGGCTGTGGATTTGGAGACCCCCTAGAGGATGCTAGTCCAACGTTATCCTGTCAGTGAGCATGAGCCTAGCTAGGGAGTGCCACCGAACATGAGGGTGACAGGAACTTATGCCGGACCTGCAACTCCCCAGCCTCCTCCCCACCGGCATTATGGGGCTCACTGATACTTAGGACACGCTGCATAGAGCTGTGCAGCACAAACTGATGTGTAGGAAGAGTGTTCAACTCACCTGTGTCATCCAAAAGGCATAAGCCAAAATTACTGTATCCTTTGGATAAGTTACATTCTTCTGTGTCTTGTCAGTATTCTTTGTCACATATGTGGTAAGATTTGAGTTGGTGGCACATGAACTACTTTTGATGGTCTTTTTGTATCATGGAGTGACTTTGTGGTAAATGTAACTTAGTTTGCCTGTGAATTATTTATAAATATTTGTATAGGTAAGTTTTGAGTTGGAAGTGTGCGGGTCTCAATATTTTTTTAATTATTTAAGAAAAGATTTTTATCAGAACTTGGAGTTTGTGTGTTAATCTGTCAACAACTTGAGTGGCCAACCCCGGTGTGTTTAAACATGGAGGAATTTTTAAACTGTCCATTTCTCTTTTAAGTTTACACATAAGTCAGTCCCTTTGTCTCTTTCTGAACAGACTTTCCTTTTAAGGCCTCCACGAGATTCCCTGTTGCTCAGACAGCCTGAGTTCCAGGAATCCAAACCCTTGGAGTGTTGACGAGACTTCCCAGATTCTGTCTTAAGAAAACAGGATTCTCCAGCCGGCACCCAACCACACAAACCTTAATACAGTTAACACATTTCTCTCCCCCGCCTCCCTCCAATTTAACGTGAAAAGTGTACGCTGTGGTTTTTGCACAAGTGGAATGAGATGGCTCCAGGACAAGTGGGTGACCCTACGCTGGCCTCACCCTCCAGCTCTGTTCAGGGAAAACATTTAACCTACAGTTTAAAAATCTAGAAGGCTTGCCCCCAGCCCAGTGAACATCTTCATCAGGTCTTGTGAGCTTTGGGATTCAAATGGGCCGCTGGAAGTGCCAACATGCAAGTGGTTTTGACCTACAAAACTGGAAACTTCTGTCAACATGGTGTCAGGATTCAGGGGACACCTCTCAGCTAAAATTTGGCCCTCCATGGAGTAGCTGGCCCTCAGCCACCTGCAGCCACCTGCTCTCTGTGGTCTTGGAGTCAGTGGATAGACCACGGACTATGGACTTCACAGAGCCCGGACTGCCTTCTGCTGGCTTCTGCCTCAGCGCTTTCATGTTTCTTTCGGACACCCCAGGCTCGTCCTGCTGTCTCCCTGCTGGAATGCCAGCCACACCCTTCCTCTCTGCCGCCTTTTCTATTGCTACCCACAGGGCGTCACTCTAGGGCCAGCCCAGGCTGTGTAAGCCCAGAAGGTAGCAGGATCTCGAGACAAGGATGTTGGGCCACCGGCCCCATCTCCACAGGGAACTGGGAATTGTGAGAACACAATGTGTTTCTCAGGCCAGATTGGTGTCTCTCCTAACTGGCCCTGAGGTCCCTGGATGACACTGAATGGGGGACGTGGTGTCAGGCCTGGAGCGAGCATAGTGCCATAACAAGACGCACAGGCCTGCAAAGAGCAAGGCAAGGTGTGTACCCAAGCTGAAAGCAGTGGGCTCTGACCCACCTCAGGACCTCTCATGGGGCCAGAGGATGGCACCCCTCAAAAGCCTTCCTCTTCCTTGCCTTCCTCCTCCCAGGGAACCCTGATCTTTTGCCCCCTGAGGCTGGCATGGAGGCTCTCAAAGTCCACTCCAATTCTTGGACCTTGGTGGCAGTCCCTGCATACAGAGTACTGCCTGAGTCTGGGTCCTCCAGGGTTCCTACCCAACCCTCAGCCTTCTCAAAATAGCCCAGTGAGGTGAAATTGGTAGCAAAGCCTGGTGGGAGAGAAGAACCATCCAGCCTGGTGAGAGCCCTGGACGCCTGATGGGCATAAGCTCAGGTCTCTGTCCCTACCTCATCTGTGGGCCCTGCTTGCTGTTGTCTTGCTTCCCAAGGCTCCTGTGAGGGACTGGGATGTACCCCGGAGAACCAAGTTCGAGTCCTTATCCCTCAGCACCTGTGAAGAGAACCTTACTTAGAAACGGGGTGTTTGTGGTTGTGGGATTGGGTCTTTACAGGAAAGGAAGACAGACGTGGTGGCTGGGAGCAGGGTGCCTCCACAAGCCAATGAACACTGGATGGTGGCACCACCAGAGGGTCTCCCTGGATTACAGTCTTCTGGCTTCCAGAACTGCGACCTGTGGCTTAAGCTGCCTGAACTATAGTGCTTTGTTCCCAGGAACCTGTCCTTCCCAAAGGTACCATGTGGTGACAGGGCCCAGCCTTCGCCTCCCACTTCCCACCTCCCACCTCCCACTCCGGGGCTCAGCAGACGGGCTGTTCCAGGGACAGGCCTTCGTCTGTCCAGCCTGCAGCACTGCCCTCCCCCTGAGCTGCCCAGTCCCCCAGTTCTTCCTTCCCACCTGGTCCATACTTCTACTGCCTAGGTTACCCAGACCCTGCCACGCTCCCTGGTTGACTTTCCAGGCCAGGGTCTAATAGGGGCCACAGGCTCCTGTGGCCCCACCTACCCACATTGTGAGCAGGCAGGAGTCACTGGCTCCAGCCACACAACTTGAAGCCTAGGGAACAGTTGACCACAGACAGGGCCCTGGTGCCTAGATCAGAACCCCCAAAGGAACAGAGACCCCAGGCACACAGCCCAGTGAAAGCAATTTCTCAGTTAAGTTTAACTTAACTTGCTCTTAGGTTCCAGGGCCTCAGGAGGAGCATGGCTCTGTCCCTCCTCATTAATACACTCTGGGGTGTGCTGATCTCTTTCTCACAGACAGGGAACAGGTGAGAGGCTTACATGTCTGTTGCTCCCAGGCCTGGCCATGTTTGGTGTCCTCAGGCAAGCACAGGGCTCTTCAGGGGACACAACACAGCCTCCGTGGGGTCTCTTGTTCTAAGATGTTTGAGCCCTGGAAGTCCTGTATCCTGGGTCCCCCACCCATCCTCCAGCCTCTGGCCACAACCCCTTGCCTCTGGAGTTGCTGGCCTAGGCCCCTTCAGGCCCCACCCTCAGCTCTACCCCCACCAACCTCTGCCTCTCTTCCTCTCGGCTTCCCTCACCCCAGCCACAACACCTGCCATGCTGACACAGAACCCCTCTTGGGCCCCCATCCCATCCTGGGCCTGCTCACTGCCAGTCATGTCCTGCAGTCCCTCCAATGGGTCTCCCGGGAAGCTACCTCATCCCTTCCTCTCCCGGGTTTGGGTAGAGGTGGTTGTAGCCAAGGGGATCTTGGGGAGGTGAAGGTGAGATGCTGAAGCATCCAGAAGGCCTGACCCACCTGGACTTTTCCCATGTCTTACTTCCTAGGCAGCCACAGGCCTGTCCACTGGGTGTGGCCATCAGCAAGACCTGAAGTGTGGCCTCATCACTGTCCCTATGGCTGGAGCACAAAGGAAGCCAATGCCAGGACTCTCCAGCAACACTGCATAGCCCCATCTCAGCTCAGCTGACCTAGATGCTACTCTGGGATGGGGAGAAACCAGGGGCTGTGGAGTGTGGCCGTGGGAGCCTAGACACCAGTTAGCTTCATCCCCTACAGTAAACACTGCAGGCAGCAACTGCCCCTCTGAGGCCAGGCCTGATGGAACAGCAGCCCAACCAGGGCCCGTGTCCAGCTTCACCTCCCCACTAACCCAAGGTCTGATGCCAGCCCAGTGACCCAAGGAGGAGGAAACCCAAGCCATGGCCCCTCCCTCCAGTGGCGTCTGTGGGTCTCTGCAGGCCTGGCCTCCCCCGCAGGGTCCCCCACTCCTCCAGCCACCCACCTCTGATCCCGAAAGGGAGTGATGGATGGCGAACACCAGCTCAAGTCCCTGCAGGTGGTGACAGAAGCGTCACTGTGTCACCACCTCCAGTTGCATCCTCACGGGCCTGCTACAGCCCTGCCAGTCCCAGAAAGAATCACACACAACTGTCTGGAAGTGCCTCACAGTCAGGCCTCTGTGTATGTTGCTCCTGAGGGATGTGACTGGGACAAGGGCAGGGACAGGCCTGGAGAAGAGATTCCCACAGCCCTCTGGGCTGGCATGGGCTGGTGGGGAGGGGTCCAGCGGGGCCAGGAGGTGGCTCGGGCTTAGGGGGATTAAGTGGCTGCTTGTGGAGATGCTTCACCCCAAAAATGGAATGTGCTCAACCTACAACACCTGGCTTCCTGTTCACTTCTGTCCTGGCTGCCCCCTTATACCCCCAGGTCCTAGAAAGGGCAGTCTCAAAGCTGTGGGTGCAGATGAGGAAGGAGACTTGCCAGGCTGGGCCACATGTATGACATGTTCGTTGTTGCAAAACTGATGTTATCATTCCAAGGAACCCGTGAGTCACTGCCCCAGAGCAGGGGCTGTGTCCCAAATCCTCCCAAACAAAGACCCTTTGTCCCCATGCTCTCAGGTCTAGTCCCACGCAAACAACCATCAGACACAGAAAGGCAGACGTGCTGATGGCAGCAGATGGTGCAGGTAAGGTTGGGGTTTCATACACCTGGATGTGCTTCCCAGCCCACCTAGACCCAGTGGCAAGGACCATGCTGCAGGAGACCATGGGCTACGAGAGGCCCCTTGTGGAGAGGTCCTGCCAAGAGACAGGGCCCTAAAGTCACAGAGCACACAGAGGACTGAACTGGGAGCCCAAGGGCAGACTGGCCAAGTCCAATCAGTGAGCAATGGCCCTTATACACAGTGCCCTGTGTTCTGCTCTTGGCTTCAGCCTACCAGGGTTTCTTCACCCCATCTGAGGCCAGTAGTCTGTGGACAAGATGACAAAGTTCCATGCTGCCACCCAGGGACCTTCTCCCCAGGACAGGGTGCCAAGAGTCCCTTGCTGGGGTGAGTATCCCTTCTCCCTTGACCCCTTCACCCAGCTTCCTCACCCAGGCAGCCCCAAATGCTAGGGTAGCCATTATGGTGAAACAGCTCAAGGGCCTGAATAGCAACATATCCCTACTCTGCGCTCACCAGTGGACTCTGTTCAGCAGGACTAACGCTGTTGGGTCTCCCTGACACCAAGGACCATGAACACAGACACTTCTGAGCCCAATGATTGGCCAGCCGAGGGCTCTAGTTACCTGGACACTCACCCTGTGCTTGCTCTGTTTGGTGGTTCTGGTTCTTTGAAGCAATACGTGCCCCCAGAGAGAAGACCCCTGGAAACTCAGAGAGCCACCCCAGGCACCACCCACACGGACATACACACACTCAGGGGTAACTGCATGGGGACAAACCAGGACACAGCCATAGGTTCCTGACATCACCTACACAGATAGTCATCAACATGGGCACCCAAGTACACAGACTTGGGAGAAGAGCGGCCCCCATAGGGTTCCACAGATGCAGGTCACTTTTGGTCCTCCACCCAGGGGACTTGAGTCAGGATGTATGGTCTGGGTCTGAGGTTCATGGATGATATACTGAACATCCCCCAGAAGGCCAGGCAGAGGATAGGCAGGCCAAGGGGAGCAGACCCCTCAAAGAGCCAGCCTGTCTAGCTTCACTCCAGGGCTCATTCTAGGGTCCCCTAGAATCCAGGCCAACACGAGCAGGCTTCTTCTGCACATCAAAGCCCCAGAGGGAGCACAGGGAAAATGGAGTTGGGGACTGGTACTAGGAAAGCCATCTATACCTGAGAGATTAGTTCCAGGCTGTGACCCATCCTCCCCACCCATGGTCAGGAGCCCCTAGACCTGTCCATTTCTCTCCACTCCTGCCCCCTGATGTACCCTGAGAGGACTCTCCAGCCGCTCTGGATAGGAGGCCCACATTCCTGTTTGAGCTCAAGCCCAAGTCAATGCACCAAGGACACCAGGAGGACAGGCTCTGACTGGACCCTGAAGCACAATCCAGCAGCAGGGTGGGCCTCACTACCAGGAGAAGCTAGTCAGGTTCAGCCAGGCTGTGGCCCAAGAACAGACACCCCACCCTGAGGGATGGTATAAGCATGGAGGCCAGAAGGAATGCCCCCATGTTGAGCATGGCCTCTGAGGACTGCCAGAAACCCCCAGCAGTGGCTCCCACTGGCCCCCAGCCTCAGGCTGGCAGGAGACAGGGTCAGACCAAGGTTCTGGGAAGTCAGCCTAGTGGAGGGGTCAGCAAGGCCAGCCAGCACTTCCCGCTGCTCCAGAGTAGAGCTTGGGGTCAGGGGTCAAACAGAGGCCATCCAGCACAGTACTGGCTGCTCTGACTCTGGCCCTAGCCAAGGCCTGAAAAATGGTCAGACACTTGGGCCACCCCAGAACCCAGCTCTAAAATGGAAGCATACAGGCAGGAGAGTCACCTTCCCCTGGACTCTCCCCACTCATGGGATCCCCAGCCAGCCCCCTCCTGCACTAGCAACTCAGGCCTCCCACTGTGCACCATGCTCAGGCTGGGTGGACATGACAGGTATCTTCCACACACCTCCGGGACACCATGGCCCAAGCAAGGCATAGAAAATCATATGGTACAGCTAGGTCAGGCAGAAGGCCTGAATTGCCTGTGTCTTCTGGGCTGGGTGCATGGTTGGTCTGGACCTGGGGCCTGGACCCTCTGCTACAGCCACCCACCCCACCCCAGATGCCCACTCCCTTACTCCCAGTCACTGGGGCTCAGCTGGAGACAGTACATTCCAGGGGAATTACAGCTAAGTGGCTAATGACCTCCGATTAAGGCCAGGAAAGGGGAGGAAGAGACAGACAGATGCAGGTGGAATTGTGTCTTGGCGCCCACCCTGGCCCTGGCCACCTGCCCAAGCACTGCTCGGCAGGCTGGCCCCCAATCACTGTGTCTCCTCATCTCTCATCTCCTTGTCTCTGTCTGTCTCTTTTTGGGGCCCTGGGCCCTGTTCTCTGGGTCTTCATCTCGGTCATCACAACCTTTACAGCAGCCAACAGGGCTCGCAGCCTAGAGGAGGCAAGACCCCCCTCCCCCACCTCCTTGGCTGGTTGCTGTGAAAAAAAACTATCAGGAGACCCCTCACCCAGGACAGCCAGGCCCTGGGCATGGCTTGGAAGGGTCTGGCTGGTGCTGTCCACTGTCCGGGGTGGTCAGTCTTCACCTCAGCCAGATCTGCAAAGGATGGGGGCTGCTCCTAGTGGTGCAGAGAAGGAAAACATGGACAAGGCAACTATGGGCCAGACCAGGCAGAGAAGCAGCCTCTGAAAACCCCTGATGCAAGTGAGGGATCTGCGGCTCTGCAGGTGTGGATGTGCAGGCCACACCCAGATACCCGTCACCCCCCCACACCAGGCCCTACTCTGCCTCCTCACAGGACCTGTCCTCTCAGTACTTCCAACCATGTGCCCTGGGATGTCCCTCCAGTGTGCAGTCTCTTTTCCTGCCTTAGTGGCAGTGGCACTGAGGTGAAAACCAACTGGTGCTGTGACCCATGGGGCTTGGGTTCTGGAAGGGGAGATGCCCGAGCTCCAGACCTTGGCCCTAAGAGGCAGGCCATCCAGGGAGGGGGCTCCCCATACCTGGACTTTTGCATCTGGGCTTCTATAACTTGTTAGGACCTCAGTAATTGGGAAGGGGAGGGGGGCAGTCACCTGTTCCAAGTCTGAGCCCCCTTGGGCCCCTCCCCTCCATCTCCTTGATAAGGACCCCAGGAGTGCTCCACAATGGCCCTTGTAGGTTCCTGGAACAGCCCCATGGGACCAGGCTGACAGCTGAAACTGTAGTGAAGCAAAGACCCCTCCAGACAGCCCCAGTCCCTGACGCCACCTTGGGAGGGGGATCAGAGGGAGAGGTGGAGACGGGTCAGTGGCAAAGCTTGCTGCTGTACAGACTGGCGCCTGCCAGGCACCACCTTAGTGCAGGCCTGGGGGAGGAGTGCTCCTGTGGCACCACCAGATGGGTCAAGGCCCCAGGGGAGGGGCTACAGACTTGGGGCTTCCGTCTCCAGTATCCACTGGCCCACCTCCCACTCTGGCTAGCGGCCTGCAGGCAAACCTCAGGATGAGGGAGGCCCTCCCTGCTCAGCCTTAGAGACAGGATCTCCAGGGCTTCCACAGCCCCTCCCAGCATCTGCAGAGGACTCAGGCTGGAAGCCCACCACCACCTACTGAAGGTGCAAATGCTAGGGACACCCTGCATCTTTGCATGCTTTGGTCGGACTTTGCCAGAGCCAAAATGGGATGGTGGTAGAGCAGCCCCAAATCCACAGGACCCAATGATCTGTTGGGCCCACCACACTCGCTCTCCACAGGTCCCTGGTTTTTGGCGTGTGGTGACCATCACTGGGGAAGGTGGCAAAAGGAAACATCTCCACCTGGACAGCATTCCCCAGTTCACACTGTCTCAGTAATCTGGGCGCACAGGTGCCCTCCAGCTTGGCACATGATACTGGTGGCCTACAACACGGGTACAGCCTTAACTCCCTCCTGACCCCCAATAGTATGTGGTCTCCTCCCCACAGGACACAGGCTCTCAGGGCCCCTCACTGGGACTCTCCACATCAGCACCATCCTACTCACCAACCTTAGGCCAAACACATCTGGGTATCCACAGCATACTCCAAGGCTGGAAAGGCCCTGAGAGGGGGGTCCCAGGCCATTGGTAGGGCTGAGTAGAGGCCTACATGGACATTTGTCCTCATCTTCAGGGTCAACTCAGCTTCCCAGCCAACTCGGAAGCTCAGCCTGCTATTCCCACCAGTTGGAAGTCTGTCTCAATCAAGGCTGTGGGGGGGCTCCACTCATGTCCCTCCATGGCTATGCTCATGCTGTAGGGTCACATGTGCACACCCTTCTGCTCCCTGCACACCCCCTGCCCATACCTTGACCACCTGGCCCCCACCTCCACCAACTCAATAACCAGACAGCACCACGGGAAATGGAGAACGCTGGGGGCTTTTTATTGCTGTGACCACAGGCATCAATTGGAGGATCCTTTTCTCCAATCTGAGGCAACTTGGGGTCTCTTCCATCAGGGCCCCTCTTGCTCCCTCACGTGCCCAGGAGGAGCCCAGAGAAACTGGAGCCACTCTGGATGGTGAGGACGACCCCAGAGCCATTGTCCACGAACACGGAGGCATACTGTCCAGCCTGAAGGTATCATAGTGGGCATCACCACCAAATGCCAACCCACAGGGAAAACATGCAGAAATAACACTTCAACAAATGAACCACCATCCATGCAGGTATAAGAACAGCCCCACCAGGCAACACCTGTCCAGGCTACAAGGGCTCCAGGGTCTTGATCAGCCAGGTGGTTGATACTGTCCCACTTACACTGGGCTGGGAGGCCCTCCTGGGCCCTAGTCCAGCTGTCTGTGGTCTGAGCCCCAGGCTCCTCACCTGCAACTGCAGCAGTCCCTGAACCTGCACTGTGAAGACCCTGCTGTTGCTCTCTAGACCTGAGACAGCCTCCAGGGACCTGGACACAACACCAAGGGCAAGTGTAAGGGTGCTGCTGGCCTGTAGGGTCCAGATAGCCCTCAAAATGCCCACCTATAATGCCAGCCTAAAGGGCAGACCCCAGGGGGATGTGGCCTGTGGTAGGCAGCAGGACTCACTCACAAGTGGCGATGGCACAGGGACTGAATACAGATGAGGACACGCACAATGCCCCAGGCCTGCAGCCGGCCCCTGCCCTGCAGCTCAGTGTGATCTGTGGAGAGTGCAGGGGTAGCTTTAGGACACTGCCTAGGACAGGCCCAGAAGTAGCTGCCTAGGCTGAGGGAGGGTGGGTGTAAGCTCCCAGAGCACAGCAGTGACCCCTTCAACTAGTCCAAATCCTGCAGTATCAGGGACCCACCCTTGAGGGCTAACCCACCCCTCACCCTTTCTGCACACAGGCCAGCCTGGCTCACCCACATGCAGGCTGGCGGAGAACTGGAAGATGGCAGAGACTGGGGCTGTGAATCGGCCCGAGGCTAGGCTCAGACCAGACCCCCGCAGAAAGGCGCCTTGGGCAGTAGGCTGTGAGAAGTGGCAGATGAGTGGCTGGCTGGAGTACTTAGACCCTCCCCATGCACCCCAGAGCCCCTGACCCCAAGCAGGCCTCTGTTGGGCCCTCACTCTCATGGTGGGTAGCACAGGGCTAACCCATATATCCACAGCTATATGGACCTCAGGGTGTAGGTTCCAGTTCCCAGAAGGTAAACAGGGTCCCCAGAAACTCTACAGGGATGGCTATCCTGGACCCTGCACCCATCTTGAATAAGGGCACACTGGGACTCCCAACCTTGACTAAGGTTGCTCCTTACCCTATGTGCACATGTACCTAGCTACTGTCCAGTAGTGTCTTGTAGACCCATCTTACCGTGGGTGCCCACCCTGCATCCCATCCACAACCAGAACCCTTGGTTCTTAGGTGCCTGAGACATCAATACTGTCCTGGCCCTTGGCCCCACTCACAGGCTGGAATCCCTGCAACTCTGCCAGCGTCTTCTTGTCTACCAGCACAGGGCCCTTCAGCCGGCAGTGGAAGGCCTCAACCAACAGTTGTCGACCACGCCCTTGGGGCAGCAGTGTATCTGACAACCCTGAGAACCGACGTTCTGTGGCTTCTGTGGGGGAAGAGGGCAACTTGGGGTCACATACTGTCCCCACTTCTGATGGGGCCTCCTGGGAGTTGGTAGGAGTTGGGGACAGCCTTACCTTTCAGCATCTCCTGAAATTCCTGCAGCAGGGCCTCTGGGGTGACTTCTGCACCCGGAGGACCAGGGGGACCGGGGGGTCCAGGGGGCCCTGGGGGGCCTGAGAGGCCTCGCTAGGGGGAGGCAGGAGAAAGTGAGGATCCCACTAGAAGTCACAGCCACCCCCTGCTCTGGGCTCAGACCCCAAGAGGGTCCTGAGAGAGCTGGCCCTGCAGCAACCAGGGGCTCACCAACTTCTTGTCCCGGCCTCGACACCGTTTCCTGGAGGCCCCATCATCTGGCCGTCGAACGAAGTTCAGCCATGTCATGTGGGCATCGGAGAGCTCAGGCCCTGAGGCCTCTGGTGGCTGGAGACAGAAGGGCAGGGCTAGAGAACTGACCTCCAGGCCCAATTGGCCCCTGTTCTGCTGTACCCCACAAAGAGCTGGGAACCTCAGGTCAGTGGTGGGGAACAGGCACAAGAAAGATGCCACAGGCCATGACCCACAGGGGCCATGTCCAGGAATCAGAACCTGGACATCTTGATGGGTAAGGGCCAGGCAGGGCAAGGACTGGGGCCTCTGTAGAAGAAGCCAGACCTGATGCTCAGGTGCCTTGGGCCTTCCCAAGGTGACCCATAACCCCTCTGGCCTATTCCCAAGCAGAAGGGTATACCTGGGTGCACATGGAGCTGGAGGGCCTCCTGCAAGCCTTCTATGTTGCTGACAGTGGGCTTGTCCCTGAATTAAGTCAGGAAGCTACAGGTACAGGGCATGGGCTGGGGACAGTGTGCCCTGTGGGGGCTAAGTCCTTGTCTCTGGGGACAACCAGGCATGGGTGAGAAGTCTGCAGGCCAGTCTGGCAGGTATTGCATGGAATGGACAGGAGCATAGCAGCCACTGACCTGCTGGGAGACAGCTGGGCTGCTCCAGGGGAGCCCCACCAACTAGGGTAAGCCAAGGATTCCTGGCCCAGGGTAGGACCTGAGATAGACCCTAGCCCAAAAACACAGCCTGAGTGGGTGCTGGTCATAAGTCCAGGAATGTTCCTTCCCAGGGGACCAGAGAGATGTCCATCCCAGGGAACTGGGAGGGGCAGGTAAGGACCCCTCACCCCTGACTTGGGCCCCACCCAGGGAGAGGAGTCAAGGACATTTGAGTGTACCCCAAGTCCTCACATATCCAGTATCTTCTTTTTCTGTTTTGTTGTTGTTTGAACTCAGGACCTCTTGCTTGCCAGGTAGGCGCTGTACCACTTGAGCCATACCACTAGCCCTACTTGTGTCTGTGGCTGATGCCCCAAATGCCCTGGAAGACCAGGGGCCCTGGACACTGAGTGTAGCAGCCACCTCTGGGTCAAGAGCAAACGTTATAGGGAACAAGGACAAGCCTGCCTCCATCAGTAAGAGCAGGGACACCTGGAGAGTGGATTGCAGAGCCGAGGCACCTCCAACAGAGGCCCCTCCACTGACAGTTCATTCCCAGACTGCCCCTGCTCTCTCTGGAAGGGCAGCCCTGAACAGCGCAGGTGAACTGCCACCAATGGACTGGACGGACCCCTTTTCCCTCCCCTGATGCCTGAGATTGCTTAAGATCCTGCATCTGCTGGAGTTCCCTATGACCCCCAATGGAGCCCTCATGCTTGTTCAGGGGCCAACCCACAGTCCACTCTCCTGGAAAACAGGGCCTTGGCTAGTTTGACTTGAGCTGAGAGACAACCAGGCTGGCCACCAGACACACCCCTGGGAGGAGGGATGTCAGCATCAAAGGTTCAGGGATGAGAGGTTTTTCCACCCCCAGAGCAATAGCTGCTCTTCTTCCTGTCCTGGGGGTGCCAGAGTGACAGCATCAGAAGGCTGTAAGACTAGTGTTCTGAGACTCTGGGCCCAAGAGAGCTAAGCCCAGGGCTGAGGCCAGGAGGAGAGTCTCCTGTCTCCAAAGAACTTCAAGAACAGGGCACTTTGCATACAAGAGACCACAGTAAATGCTGGCTACCCAGGATCCCTGGGAGAAGCACCAGGGACAGACTAACCATGGCATCTCCAGCCTCAGGAGTTGTGGGGCACTATGATCCCTACAGGGGGTCTGTTGATCCACCTAGCAGGCTATGTGCAGCACCCCCCCACACCCCTAAATTAACAATTAGACCTAATGGTAGCAGGTTGCCAAAAGCACACAGACTGGGCTTCAAAGGGTTAATTGTAGCCCCAATGGGAATCCCTCTCCTCCCCAACCCCTCCCTTGCCTACAGGCAAGGGGCTGGCAGCCAGCAAAAGGGGGCTCCCCAGAGGCCAGCCCCCACAAAGACAAGGCCAGCGGTCAGCTGGAGGCAGAGGGGGTGGGGCCGAGTCTGAGAAGGGTAGCCCTGAAAGTCCGAGTCCTGAAGCAGTGCCCTGGGTGCATGCCTGCGCCCACGTGTGCCCTAGCCCGCGCCTACCTTGGCAGAGCCCAGCAACCCCTTGCTGTTGGATGTGGTGGCATTGGGGGACTCTGTGCGCTGGCCCAGCTGCTGTAGCCTCTTGGGCTCCCGCCGCGCCCCGACGCCCCCAAGCAACACAAGCTGTGGCCAGAGAAGGGCCACAGCTGCGGCCCAGGTCCACCACTGCATGGCTCAGTTCCGACAGTCGCTCAGCGATGCGAGCCCCGGCGCCTGGGTGCTCTCATGGGGGTGGCGGCACTCAGAGCCCCTGCGCGGGGGCGAAGCCCAGGGGCGCGCCCGGCTGCCGCCGGTGCATGTCTGCAGGAGGAGCCGGAGCACGGCGTGGCAGGAGAGCTCAAGTCCCTGTGGGCCTGGAGGCCGGCGCCGGCCTCCCCTGGTGCACAGTGCCCTCGCCCCACCGCTAAATGGGTTCTCCCTCCTCCCCAGCCCTGGACGGCTCCAAGGGGAGGGTTCACACTGGGCCCATCTGCCGCCCCCTCCCCCAAAGGTGGGGGCGGGACGGGGGCGGGATCCCCATGACCACTGTCCCCGCCTTTCTAAGGAGCGGGGCTGTGCTGTCCAGGGGCTGTCCTAAGCAAGCAACTCTGCCTGCCTCTGGCTCCTTCTCAGGAGGGTCTCCATCCCAGCTAAGCCAAGGGTGGGGTTAACACCAACGCTCCTGGCACCTCTCACACTCCTCCCCTAGGACAGCAGCCTGGGAGCAACAAGCGAGGTATTCAATCACATGCTCAGTGCCAGTGTACCATCCTGACCCCTTCCCACTGTCCATCTCACCCAGGTCCAGCTGCAGCGCCCCCCCCAACACAGGATCCTCCAATCACCATGCTCCCTGCTTCCAGGCCAAGCTCCCTCCTCAGCCATGGTCACCCTCCACCACTGGGGAGAATATGGCCTACCAGGGAGAGACAGACTGACCTCAGAACAAAGGCACAGCTCAGGGAGGCTGTTGATCTGTCCTCTGTCCCCTCCCCTTCATAGGGGCACAGGGCTGACCCTCTCAGCCAGCAGTCCCCCAAGCCTTTCTTCAGATAAGCACAAGGCCCAACCCCTGGTAGGGGGAACCCTACAGTTGAGCTGTTTCCTCCTCAAACCTATGGACAGTGAAATTTCCTTTCACAATACTTGTGGGACAGTGATGGATCCCCAGGGAGAAAGGGTTCTTCCTAACCACCTCTAGGCTGATATAAGCAGGTCAAGAGGGGCCAACAGCCCCTTGGACTCAATGACTGTGAGGCTGGGGCCCTCGTGAGGCTGGGGGAGGATCCAGTAGTCAACTGCCCCCAACTATTAAGAGCTGACTCAGAATGGCCTGTAGTGTGGCTGGCCCATGAAGAAACATGGGCTGCACCTCCCTCCAGAGGTGAGGAAGGTGGGCACATGGGACCAGTGGTCTGGATAGCACAGAATGCTTTAGACCCTCCCCAATTTCCAGACCCAGAGAAAGGTGAAGGTGGCCACCAAGACAGCCCCCAGCCTAGGCCACATCCACAGGCAGAGCTGGCCAAGAGAAAAGGCGATGTGGGGAGGATGTGGGGGAAAGTGCCCACCTCCTCACGCTCCTGGCTCCAAGGCAGTATCACTTCCAGGGACAGCAGAGGCCAGTCCAGGAGTTTCCTGTATACACTGTGGAGGCCTTGGCCCATCAGGAAATGTCTTCAGCACTCAAGTCTGACGGTGAGCCAGCTCTGGATGACAAGGGAAGGGAACATTGCACCCATACACACACACACCCTCAGAACCCCAGCATACTGATCCCTTGATGAGACCTTTACCCAGCATGGGGTAAAGTCCCTGCATCCTTTGGTGAAGGCTCAGGGTGGGTGAAGGGCAATGCCCCAGCCCAGGAGACCCTGCCTCATAGGTGGGGCTGTCTGCATCCTGGTGGCCTGACTCTTTCAAGACCTGAAAGCAGAGTGAGACTGGCAATGGGGTTTCAGCTCTGTCCTATAGCCCATGGGCATTGTGGTGCCACAGGGAAGCACCACAATGGCAACAGGGCCCCTGACAAATCTGGGGCTTAAAGTGGGCTCCACACAAGGTACCAGGTGACCAGCTTCAATGTCCTCACCCCTGACAAACCACCTGGAAAATGACCAAAAGATTCCTAACCTCCCAGAGTCATCAACCTTCACTCCCACAGTCTAGTCATAGGCAGCCCCCAGAAGGGAGGCTCTAGTCCAGCTGCTGACTCTCTTCCCTCAGGCCCAGGCGAAACTGTCTTGCCAGCTGCCCCACCAGTTCACTACACAGGGAGAGCAGTTCCCTCACATCCATTCTGTAATGAAATCCCCAAAGTCTACCTGGGAGTTTTCTCAGGGGAGCAGCCTAAAGCTGCTAAAGCATGGAAATGCTTTCCTTCAAGGTGCTCACTCTCCATGTCCATGGAATGTAAGTTTTGTCAGGGGACTTTCTCCTGCCCATGGAGGGTCTGCCCAAGGACAGCAATAAAGGGCACCCAACTGACTCTATCAGTGGCTCCTCTCAGGAAGGACAATACAGAAACAAGGTCAGACACACTTGATCCATCAGGACAAAGGTCACCTTTTATTTGGGATCAGTTCAGGCAACACACTGTGGGCACCACAGACTCCATCTCCATCACTGACCAAGGGCAATTAGAGCTGAAATTTCACATATAGAGAACTCTAAGTCTGCTAAAACTGCCTGAAGAGTCTCAGGAAACATGGGGAGTTTGGAACTGATGCTGCCAGTCACAGAAGTGTCCTTAAGCAAGCCTAGTCTAGGACAAAGCTGGTGTCCAGCATAAGAGGAGAACACAGGCCTGCACTCACTGCTGCCATGCCACACACAGGCTCCTCTTATCTCATAGGCCCAGCCATATAGTGCTACTATGAGGACCTACCTGTTGGCAACAATACCAACATGTTGCCCCCAGGCCAGGCAGGTGTGACCCTGTCCATAGCCCACTTGACTCTGAGCCACCAGGGAGTGACATATGTCTCCACCAACACAGTATGACATGTAAGAAAGGTATATTGAAAGACTTTTTACAAAAAAGTGGGCTACATACATATAAGTTGTAAATTATAGAGCACTTTTAAATAAATTTACCAAAAACAAAACAGGGTGGACACACAGGCTGCATTTCAGCTATACCACTAGCCTCTGGAGTAAGGTCAGCCAGTGGTGACCCGTGGCTGCATCTACCACTGGGCACGGCATCACTGCCTCCATGTGGTGCCACACAGATGTCAGCTTTGTCAAACCGCTACATCTTCAAAATATTCAGTGTAGATAGACAATCATTAGGCACAAATGCCAGAAAGGCCATATTACTGGTCATACAGGGAGTTAAGATTCTGAAAACAGACTGCGCCAGCTGTGACACTAAGCCTGATGTACCTTCCCAGGCAGTTTCCCCTTCCATGATCTGTGGAAAACAACACCTGACACAGGTCACTTGGAAAGGATGGTGTAGTCCATCCTGAAGATAAATAAAAGAAGTTGGACCAGTGCAAGGGAAGCCCCAAAGGTCTCCTCCCTCACCAGCAAAGGATGGGCTTTTGGTCAACTGGACATGAGAAATTCTGAGAGAAGGCTCTGCTGGCACCCAGGGATCCCAGCCTCACAGCACCAAGAGGGGTTATAAGGAGGTGGGGGTCAGGGATGAGGCTGATGGCCAACAAGCAAGGCTATCTCCTCAAAGGAGACCAACCTGCAGATCCCAGCAGATGCTCTAAGCAAAGGGCGACATCTTGTGGCCAGAGAGCAACTTAATTTAATTCCTACCTTGATAAAAACAAGCACTTTTCTAGAAGAAATTTGCTTCCTTCCAACTGACCATAAACATAGTTACAATGTGGTCAAATCACTTCTCTCCTGGATCCCCATCCACAGTTGTCACCAGCCAACCAACTCAGTCCCACTAAGTCTACCATGCTGGGCAAAGCTCTCAGCATTGGCCCCATCCCAGGCCTAGCTTCTGCCTGTTGAAGTGTCAGGGGCTCTGGCCAAGAACACACACAGAGTGTTTATTTGATAGGCGATGAGTTTTATATTTTTAAGTGACCAAATCTAATAAAATGAAAAACAGGTTTACTAAACAGGTCAAAAGACAACATAAGGAGATAAGCTATAAACCAAAGCGTGAGTGGCCCTCATCCACACCAGCCCCATACCACACCAGGGTGAGAAGAGGGAACTGAGAATCTTGTATCTCCTCCAAATCACACATTTTGGTTTTTGCTTTCTTTTAAAGGTTTTTAAAAAATGAAACCCAGGAGTCCAGCAGGCCACCCTGCACTTGGCAGCATGTCCAGCCCGCCCATGTCCAGCTCTGGCGCCTGCGTCCCTCGGCAGCAACTGTGGGCTGTGGCTTTTGCGCCTCACTCCTGTGCTATGCTCCTCAACACGTACTTGACCGTGTAGGCAAAGGCCGCAAACCCAACTATAACAAACAAGTTCGCCAAGGCGCCACCCAGGAGTCCATGGTGTCGGTTGGCCTGAGGGAGCCCAGCGAGGTTCGGGCCGGCCCCTGGCACGTGCCCGTTGAGGAGCTGGATCCCATTCTGTCCACGGTGTGTCTCGCCATCAGGAACCACATCTGGCAAGGGGAGAGTCTGGGGCCTGCTACTGAGTTCGTCTTGTGCTTTCTGTTTTTGTTTAATTTCCTGAGAGAAAAACACAAAAAACCTCAGTTGGCCTGACAAACCAGTTTGTTTAGGAACAACACTCCAGTTTTCAGGAGCCCAGAGCCATCACCCAGAATGAAGCTCTCCATCCCCCCAAACTGACACGCATACCCACCCACACCCAGGCTGGCAGGGTTCCTGACCCCATTTTACAGGTGAAGGGATAAAGCAAGGTGCCAAAATCACTACTCTGTGCCTGAGCCAGCTGAGCCACAGAGGCCTCCACCACCGTGCTGCCTCTGCTCACTGCCACATTCTCAGCTCTGTGCCAAGACCAAGGAGCTCTCAGCGCCATAAAGCAAAGTATGTGCCTAGCCCTCATGTCGGGAGGGAACCGATGCCAGCTCCAGGCCACTCCTGGTCCACTGAGATTATCTGCAGCCCACTTGGGGAATGGTCCTCTGGTCAGCAAGCTCCATGAAGGACAGGCCCAGCTCCCAATACTTGCACATACTATCCTTAAGTCCTCCCCCAACCCTAAGGTCTGCCTCTTCTGTACTGCTGGATCCTGGATGAGAGCCCACTGTGCTGCTGCCAGAGTGTACACCTGGAAACATAGACAGCACAGGCACCCCTGTGAGCCACCCTGCAGCTCCCAGAAGGGGCTACAATCCCTCCGGTAGGTCTGCAGGAACAGTTGTGGACAAACATGCTTTCTCTTTGGAAAGAACAGAATCTGAAAATGTTTTTTAACAGAAGAGAAAGAAAAAAACAAGTTCCAACTTTTGCATTCTTACCTCCACAACTTCAGGAAATAATTCACAAAAGACTTTATCTTTTAAATTAAATGCTAAACTCTGTGCTGCCAGTTGTCTTTTCTAGGAAGGAAGAGAAGGGAAATATCAGCAAGAAAGCTAATTTTAATTCTTTCAAACTTCTAAAATCTACTGTAGATCAAGGGCTGCCACTTTCATGCTGCAGAAAACACCTAATACACTTGCTATTCACACAAACCAATCTCTTGAAGGCTTATTTATCTTCTGTCAATTAACATTAAACTTGATTGTCAGCTAAAAATTAGAAAAATAAAACAACCTAACAAGAAGGCAGAGATGTTGTACTCTCCCTTCCCAAGCTTCCCCAAGTCTTCTGAGGAAGACATTCAGGGGTATGAGTGAGACTTAGCATGGATAAAAGCAGGGTCAGAGGTAGAGGTGTACAGTGAGCCCTAGGGATCCCTTCAGAGGTGTCCAGAACAGAACAGTCTCCACAAGACTGTTCTCAGTCCAGAACAAGGAATGAGTGGGAGCCCCACATAGCCTCTACTGGCTGAAGAAAAAGGTAGCCTCAAAACTGAGGAACAGAAACAGTCCCAGCCAAGAGGCAGGGGGCCAGGGTGCCAAGAGGCCCCGGGTGAGGCATTGCCACACCTCACCGTGAAGTCTGAAGTCTCTATGCTGCCCAGAGTGGGGCCCTTCTCTACCATGAAGCTCAGGAGCCCTGTGAGAATGGTGGAGACAGACCAGGCTGGGTTCCATGTGTCTGGGTGGAAATCCGTGATGGAGAGACACAGCCTGCAAGAAAGGGGATCCAGATCCATGAACAGAAATGTACATTACCCCAATGCTCAAAAGCATTACAGCACCTGGAAGCTTACCTCGTGTTGCACTTAAACCTTCCATTGGGAGTTATCATGTAAATACTAGGAGGCTTAAAAGGAAATTCTCTGGGGAAAATTAGCTTTCCATGATAATAGCCACCTACATCAAAACAGAAAGAACTTTGTCAGCCTTGCCATCATTGTGATTGCTTGAGATCTCAACGTTCTGAACCTTACCAGTCTCTCTAGCTGGCTTCCCCAAAGACCTGGCCCCACTGCCCAGTCCACCACTGGCCTCATTCTCCAGTGCCCACACTCCACTAGCACCTCAGTCTGACCACCACCACTCTCAACCTGACTCCTAGTCTGTGATACCTGTGCCCACCTCCTGATATCCCTGAGAACTCATGAGATCACCATTTTCCCTGACACAGCTATGGAACACCCTTTCTCTCTCCATGAGAACAGAGTGCACAGCAGAGAACTTGCAAGCAGTTCCCTTCTCCAGGTACTGAGCCAGGGACTCTCCCACTCCTGCAGTGCCCGCTTCAGCAAAAGCCACCTGAAACAAACCACACTCAATCATAGATCCCTCAGTTTCTATGAGTTGTCCCATCATCTTCACATGAATCCCTAGAGCCACATCCATAGCAGTCCTCCTAAAGTTCTCTGCCTCTATGCTCCCAAGTCCACCCTGCTCAGACTTCTGCCCTGAAAATGGACCACAGCCTGACCTGATCAGGCCCACTCCTAGGGCCCTCCTGGAAGCCCTAACTGGCTTGGCTCTTCCCTCACCAGCCCTTCTTGTCTTCTGAAGCTACCCCTCAGGAGTCATATGCTGGCTCTCCAAAGCCTAGGGACCCTTCCATAAACTCCAAATGGGTGTGCTAATCATCTATGTCACATACTCCAGACATACACTTCCAAGATGGAATTCCTGCTAATTCCCCTAAACTGCAACCCTGTCCTGGTAGTCATTCAGACTAAAATCTGCCCCCATTTTACACCCACTCCATCAGCAATCCTATAGGGCTTACTTCAAATCAATCCAGGACCCAACATACCAGAAGCTCACACCCTGGCTGTTCAGGGTGTACTCAGGGGATGGATGAAAACACAGAGCTGAGCTGCAGAAAGGACTCCCCGCAGCACGTGTGAACAGTCTGGCTATGCATTCAGGGACTGTGTAACCTTAAGGTTTGAGGAATGCTGGCCTATGTCCCCCACCTGGGCTCCCTGCTGCTCCCCAAGCACACTGGTTCTGCCTCAAGGACACTGGACACCTTAATCCCTAACTTGCCACAGAGCTTCTCTGCTCCAATACCATGTGCTACATAGGGTACAGGGCCCCCCAACCTGTAAAGAAGGCAGATACTCTTTTACTATCTGCCTCTCCTTAAAGAGGATACCATGAGTTCCTCTGTGCTCCACCCCAGGGCCAGTGCTCAAAGACACACAGGAACAGTAACAGAGTCAACAGTTCAAGGTCAGTGTGAGCAAGCATTACCTATGAGGTCAGCTTGACTGACAGAAGGCAACACGCTCAGAACACACACACACTCAAGACAGACAGACACACACACACACACACTCTCTCTCTCTCTCTCTCTCTCTCTCTCTCTCTCTCTCTCTCTCTCACTCAAGATTACCAGTAGAAACCAAACCAGAAAATAAGTAGAAGCTACACACAGATACTTTTTCAAAGAGGAAGAAGGAACATCCAGCATACATCTGATTCTGTGCTCAGCTCTAACCAGGACCCAGTGTAATCTAAGCAGCAAGGAAAAGGGTCCTTGTAGCTTAGAAGAGGGTAGTGGAGAGACAGGCATCTTGTCTCCTGCCTTGCGCCTTCAAAGAAAAGGGTTACATGAATGAACTCTATGCAAGAGCCAGGCAGAAGGGGAATCTACATCACACGTGACTTAGTACAAATTAGATGTGAAAAACAGCAAGCTACAAGGGCAGCCCATATTAAAAGAACACCAGAAAGTACAATGATATCACCCTGAACTAACATATGCTAATAAAAATGTGTAAAAAAAAAAAAAAAGGACACGAGGTATTCAATTCTCTGTATACAAAGACATGTATTTTATTTTAAGAGAATACATTTTATGTTTGAGGGGAGCCCTAGATTTCTCTCTGACAGTGTGAAAAGGTGCCTAACTGGCCACAAGAAGCCAGATCTCCCTCTGAAGTCAAAGTACAGCTCCTATCAGGAGACACAGAGCCTGCAAAAGCTCCTGTTCCACCAACATGCACGGGAGGAACACAAAGAAGCAGAGCCCACAAAGAATGGGCCATAAGCACAGCCTTAGCCAAGCCTGAAGGACAGAAACCCAAGGAGAGCACAACAATGCCACAAACATCCAACTGCTCCTGACCACCTGTTACAGGCTGTGCTGCCCTGCTGGTGGCTTTTGCACCTTTAACAGCAACAGCAGGGCCTAGAGATACGGCTCTGCTGATCTGTCTCCCAGAACCACAGCTTAGTCCTCATCACTAGAGCCACACAGCAAATCTGGAAACCAGTGGCTCCTCCACTTGATACTTAAGAAATTACTGGGGCTGGCGGAATGGCTCAAGTGGTAGAGTGCCTGCCTAGCAAGTGTGAGGCCCTAAGTTAGAAACCCAGTACTGCTCAAAAAAAAAACACACTCCATACTTTTTTTTTTGGGGGGCGGGGAACGGAGGGAGGTGGCACAAACAATGTATACACATGTAAGTAAATGTAAAAATGGTAAAATAAAAGTAGAAAAAATTAGGTCTAACAGAGTAAGACCTATCAGTAAGAGTGCCTGCCTAGCAAGCTTGGGCACTGAGTTCAAATCCCAGTGCCATCAAAAAACACATATATAAAAATATTTATTTATATACATATTTTTTTTTTTCTTACCTAGTCTAGGTCCTTTATTTTTCCATGTAAATTTTAGAATAAGTCTGAGTATGTCTAAAACTTTGTTATAATTTTGATAAAATCAGACAATTTAGTGAGAATTTTTCAACATCCCTTGCTTGGGATGCCAATTAGGGAGCTGCTGAAACAGTTGTGTCTGAGAGTGGCAAGCACAGGAATGCCACAGAGGAGCCACTGGGAAAGCAGAGGAGGAAGGACCAAAATACTCAAAAGTCAAAGAAGGAGCATATTAGGAAAGCAGCAATTAAACAACAATTAACACCATGAGATACTAGAGGCCAAGAAACTAAGGCCTAAGAACAGCCCCTTGACTGAGACCCTGGGAGAGTGGTATCAGCAGAGGTGAGGCTGCAGCTACCTAAAGGCAGTGAGTGAGGAGAGAATGGCAGCAGGGAACCAGGAGGATTTAGCCAACTGGCAGCCTGAGAGACAGGACCAACACAAAAGAAAGGTAAAAACTGGGATGATAAGACCCTAGAACTGGGAAAGAGGGCAAGATAAGAAGGAAGCACAAGTGGTAACAGTCTGGGCTGGAAGGACCTGGCTGCCTTCAAAGTCCTGGCCATACACCTCTCAGGGTTTCCCCTCTCTTCCCTGTATCCAGTTCATCTCCACAGCAACACTCGTGGTTGGGGTTGGTTGGTGTTATAAAACTAGTAATTGTTCACTATTTGGAAAACGGGAGGGAGGAGGACAAAAACACAAAGAACAAAGTAAGTTAAAAATCCAGCATAATTCCACTTGTTAAGATCTTTGGTATATATTCTTCAAACTTGTTAAACACACACATATTTAGTCTTTTCACATTTTTCTTGTTGGTTTTTGTGGTACTGGAGTTTGAACTCAGCGCTCCATGCTTGTTAAGACAGGTGTTCTACTGCTGGAGTCACACCTCCAGCTCTTCCTTTCCAAGCCTATCTTTTACTTCATCTCTAGAGATTCACTCAAGAAAGGGCTGGGGACATGGCTCAAGTGGTAGAGGATATGACTAAGCAAGCAAGAGGTCTTGAATTCAAACCCCAGTACCACTTAAATATTTACCCAAGGGGACTTCCCACAATACACAGTCAAAACCCAGAGGCTAGCCACTCACTCAGGAACTTTCTGGCTGATAGCTCCCAGACCTACTCTAGGATCCCAGAGATATCTGGTGACCTGAGGGGTCAGACCACTGGGTTACCCTGGCAGCAGTTAGGAGAGCTAAGGAGCAGCACAGGTCCTACATCTTCTCTAAGCTTCAGGGGCCCCACTGATACAAGGGGCCTCCACTTGGCTCAAAGACCATTCTGAGGATTACAAGACACTGAAAGTGCCCAACACAAAACTAGGCCTCTTTGACATGGTTCCTCTGAGTCTTAGTAACAGAAGAATATGGCCTCTGTGTACTATTTATTCCAATTTGGTCTTCCCAGCTCTAAATGATGCCAGAAGCTGTTAAAACACGGATACTTACAGACGGACCCTGGTGATTTAAACACACCAGCAAAACCAAACTGCACAAACACTTAGTTCTCAGAGAATACGAGGACAAGTTCCAAGTAAGTTCAATTTGACTGGTGCACATACACAAAACAGAAAGACTGCTGTTTACAAGTAAGAAATATTGAACAGGCAAAAATTCAGAATTTGTGCTACTCACCTTCATAAGGAGTCATCTCAGGGCCTCGGACAACATAATGCCTAAGAGAGAGAAGAAAGTTACTTGAGTATCGGGAAATTCTCCAAAACCTAAGTGGCTCCAAGGCTGAGGTTCACAGACCAGCCAAAACTACATTCACAACAGACAGTGGACAGCCTCCAGCCAGGTGCCAGCAGCACAGTCCCAAGCCCTAGGTCTCTTGTGCTGCAGGTGCCTTAGCTACATTGTGACAGGATTGCAGGGGCTGCATTGTCTAAACTTCCAGGAGGTACTTTTGTTTCCACAGTACAATATGCAAGAATTCACACCTCCCTGACATTAACATCTATTGAAATTTCCAAGAATTTTAGCCAGGTGCAATGCCTTAAGCCTATAATCCTAGCTACTTGTAAGTCTGAGATCAGAAGGATGACAGTTTAAGGCCACCCCAGGCAAACAGTCTGTGAGACTCATCCCCAAACTAAACAGATCAAAATGCACTGGAGGTTTGGCTCAAGCAGTAGAGCACCCACTTTGCAAGCATGAAAGCTCTGAGTTCAAATCCTAGTCCCACCAAAAAAAAAAAAGTACCAGGAGACAGACAGGTGGACCACGAGTTCAAAGACAAACTGAAGACCTCAAAAAAAAAAAAAAAAAAGTACTTTAAAACTTTTATACACAAGTATATAATTTATGTCTTTTATAATGTGGGACTGACCCCCCCCCCATGTCAGTGATCCTGAAAAAAACAGAAATGGCCTCAGACCAGCTGTCCTCAAGTAGTAGGAGCAGGAACAACTTGTAATTGACTGTCCCCAAAGCCAATGTCCTCATGCACAGCTCAAACTCAAATCAGAAGCAGCAGTGAAGATACTTCACACTCCCCTATGTAGGTAAACAAGGCACTGGCTTTGGGTAGTTTAGGCTTTATAGGTTCTCAAATAAAACAGAAGAGCACAAAGCAGGTAAAACTAGGCAGAAATACCAGTAATTACAAACACACAGTACATAGTTTTAGTAGTAAAGGATCAGGTGACCCATGCTAGCTGCTAGCTGATGCTTTACGAGGGTCCCTAAATATCTGAGAGTTCGCTTCAGGATCAGTAATCTACGTGGTGGCTCCTCTACTTGGGAGGCAGAGACCAGGAAGATAGTGGTTTAAAATCAGCCCAAGCAAAAAGTTTGCAAAACCCTTATCAACAAATAAAAGCTGGACATGGTGGAACACACCTGTCATCCTAGCTACACAGGAAATGTCCAGGTCAGCCTGGACATAAACACGAGACCCTATCTCAAAAATGACAAAAGCAAGCCGGGCACCAGTGGCTCACGCCTGTAATCCTAGCTACTCAGGAGGTGGAGAACAGGAGGATCACAGTTCAAAGCCAGCCTGGGCATATGGCTTTCAAGCCTCTATCTCAAAAATACTTAACAGGTTGGTTGGTGGAAGGTTGGTAGAAGTCCTGAGTTCAAGCCCCAGAGAGGGGGAAAAAAAAAAAAGCAAAAACAAAAAGGGCTGGCAGCATGGCTCAAGTAGATCACCTGCCTAGTAAGCGGAAGACCCTGAACTCAACCCTCAATACCATCAAGGGAAAAAAAAAAAAAAAAGTCATGCATGGTCAAGCCCTTATATAAGATAAGGTAGTAGTTCCACAGAACCTACATGTTTCTTCCACATACTTTAAATCATCCCTGCATTACCTAAAATACCTAAAACATAATGTCAACACTGTGTAAATAGTTGCACTTTACTGTTTAGGGAATAATGACAAAGTAGTCTGTACATGGTCAACATAAACACAAATTTTCTTCTGAATATTTTCACTGTGGTTGACTAAACCCATGAACATGGGACCTACAGATATTATTAAAAATAATATTATTAAAAATAATACTGTCACCATTTATATGTCAGGGGCCCAGGAGCCTCAAGTGGCCCAGAGATAAGCACACAACACACCAGGAGCACTGCCTGATTTGTCACTGCTCTCAATTACTGTGCCCATATGCAAGGACTGGGATGAGACAATGCACACACTTCCTCCTGATAAGAGCCAGCAGCCCAGAGCATCAGGGCTGGTCCACTGTGTTCAAGACAGGCCTTGCATAGCTCTCAGACTGCCACAGTCCTGAAGTCTGAAACCTCTCAGCTACAAGAGAGATATGCACAGTGCCAGGCAGCACTCTCACAGCAGGCCCAACACTGACACCCAGGGCTGGCACCCACAGCAAGGTTCATGCTGACCCTGCTCTCCTGGGACTCTAGAGTTCTGACAGGTGCCAAGGAGAGGTGCCTACATGACTGCCCCAGTAGAACATTGGCACCAAGTCTCTGGTGAGCATCCTGGACAATGCTCACTGCTGGGGAACTAAATGCACCAGAGTGAATGACACCCAGGGCCAGAGATCTGGAAGCTTATACCTGCCTTCCTGTGAACCTCACCTGACATACCTCTTCCCTCTGCTGATATTTCAATCTTTTCATTGCAACAAATCTTAATGAGTGAGCTGGGCACCAGTAGCTCACATTTATAACTCTAGTGGCTTAGGAGGCTGCAATCAGGAGGATCCCGGTTTGAGGCCAGCCCGGGGCCAACAGTTCATGAAACCCCATCTCCAAAAATAACCAGAGAAAAAACAGACTGGAAGTGTAGTTCAAGCAGTAGAGCACCTGCTTCGCAAGCGCAAAGGCCTGAGTTCAAACCCCAGTCCCATAAAAAAATCTTAAATGAGTCCTCCTAGTGCATCATTGAACCAGGGGTGGTGTGTCTTAAATAACACGTGCAAGGGTTCCCCATACAATGAAAGTATTTCTACTAATCAGGGAAGAGGTAAGCCACCCACAGAACCTGTTGCCACATCTGCCAACTATGTCCTGGGACCATTTTTTAATTTTTGTCACTGAGGACAAGGAGAGTTCTGGTGACCCCCAGAAGCCTTTCAGGCTAAGGGCTCAGCCTTTCCACCAGAATCCTCCCCTGTAAGCCTGGGAAGGCAAACTCCAATGAACTTGCAAAATACTTCTTAACTCAGTTTTCCTAGATTTGGGGGAGGGGGGTAATTTCTTAAAGATCACGACAAAATATCCATTAAAGAAATAGAAACTACTTTTTAACACCTGTCTTATATTTAATTTTTCACAAAACCACCAGCAAACCTGGCAATGTGCTTTTCCATAGAGATGTGTGTAATTTCGTAACTCCATACTTCAACAAAGCAAAAGATATGTCATGAAACAAATGCTTTCCACAGACCCACTTGGTGTTAGTCTGAGTGTCAGGGACCCCTGGCCTGGGCCAATGCCAGGGACTGAAGTGACAGGACAAGATAGGTTAATTCCCAATGTTCAGAAGCAAAGTGCAGAGGACAGGCTAGAAATGCAGGTTCTCTCTAAGTACTGATCTGGAGGGTACACATGAGGAATAGCTGGAAGCTCTGCATACCCAAAGCCTGTCCTAAGGAACCCCCAGCCTAAGCTAAGAAGGATTCCATAGTGTCTCTGGCACGCTGTCCATTAGGAAGAAGACCAGTGCAAGACCTGAGAGTGTTCACAGGCCTCTCAAGTATCCACCCATAGTTGAGGAGGTGAAAGACTGCCTCTCCGTTACCATGACCAGACCCACCAGCCTGGCCAGTAGCCCACATGAGAGCAACAGTGATGAGGGCAAACAGGAGCACAAAGCCTTACCATTCAAGAATATTTGAAGGGAGGGGTTCAGCACAGATGTAAGGCACCGGGTCTTTCTTAATGCGAAGGTAGTCCTGCTTCAGTCTCTGCGTTGCTGTCGTTGGAGCTCTCTTATTGCTGTTGCTGCTCATCTATTAAAAACAACATCTCTATTTACAAAGAACAAGAGGTACAGTTTTTGTCATCCCAAACCAGCTTCAGCAGTCATGTACCCATTTTTCTTTCGGTAGGCCATTAGTCATCAGGCACTGACCCTAATTCTCTTTTTTCATCTGTCTCCACCCCCTTAACTAATTCAACATAATCTTGTTGAGAACCAACCGAACACAAATATGAAGACAGAACCTTGAAGCCTCACTCCTATCCTCAAAGAACATACATGGGTGAAGACTATTCATTCAATGAGTTCTGGGAAGGCATGCTGAAGCCAGTATGGATCAGCTCCAAAGACCAGCCATGCATGTCTTCCAACTCTGTGCTCAACAAGGCCTTAATGATAGAGCTTTTACGCTAAGGAAATTGGCAAGCAACCACAGCCCTTCCCCACCCCCCTGGAAGCACGTCATCCAACATTTACCACTGGTCACAAGTGACAGCACCAGGGGGAAAGAAAAGCTCTGAGGTTGAAGAAAGAGAGACTCTAAAGAGACCTCACTGGTCACTGTGTGTTGGGAATCCAAGCACAGTGAAGGGCAAAGGACAAGACCAGCTAGAGAGGTAAGACCAAGCTATCAAGAACCCCCAGGTCAGACACCAGTGGCTCATGCCTACAATCCTAGCTACTCAGGAGACAGAAATCAGAAGGATCGCAGTTTGAAGCAAGCCCAGGCAAATACTTCGTAAGACCCTATCTCAAAAACCCATCACGCATACACAAGCGTACATGCGCGCACACACAAAAGGGGGGCAGGGAGCTGGTGGAGTGACTCAAGATGGAAGCCCTGAGTTCAAAACCCTAGTACCGCAAAAGAGAAAAAAAAACAAAAGCAAAAACCCAGGATGATTTTAGGCCTCAGCCTTAATGCAGATCAGATCTTCTATTAAAACATCACTCCAGGGGTTTGGCTAGGGATGCACTAGTGAAGACTGTATGTGGGGAGTGAGACCACACCATTAACAGACTAAGTCTGGGATCCTCAGCTACGCTCCAGAGGCTAAGAAAGGGTGGTGAAGGGGTGGGGGGCCCACAGGGCTCCCCACTGCCACAGACAACAGAATAGCTCCTACTGTTCTCTTTTCTTGTAATTTAAGACAGAAAGGCAAAAAAGTTCCGCAGCCAAAAATAAAGTGTGAATACCACTGGTCTAAAATATGATAGAGAGAGGGAACATGTAGGGATACACAGGATGCAAAGGAGAGGAAGGAACAGATGAGCTTGGCTAGAACAGGGCAAGACGGATGTGGGCAGTCAGGAAAAGATGACCGTATCTTGTGACACTGGCGGCCCAGACCTGCTCACTACAGTCTCCTCCTCCTGCCATCAACGCTTTACCACTCTATCTCCAAGCCATCTCATATCGAGCTTCCTGGCCAAACACTTTAATAATGATCCTAGACATCAGTGGACATAAATAACAACTCATGATCTAGGGCCCGTCATGATGGCTCACGCCTATAATTCCAGCTGCCCTGGAGGTAGAGATTGAGAGGACTGAGATTTGAGGTCAGCCTGAGCAAAAACTTAGCAAGACCCCATCTCAACATCTCAACAAAAAAACTGGGTGTGGTGGTACATGTCTGTCATCCCAGCTACACAAGAGGCTTAAGTAGAACTGCAGTCCAGGCCAGCATGAGCAAAAAATGCCAGTCCCTACCTAAAAAATAACTAAAGCATAAAGGGATGGGAGTGTGGCTCAAGTGGTAGAGTATCTCTGCCCTGCAAGCACAAGGACCTGAGTTCTAACCCTAGAACCAAAAAAAAAAAAAAAACCTCCAAAAAAGCCAGTGATCTCCATCCTGACCACCTGACCACTCAGGTCTGTACAAACCTGAAATCAATCCCATCCCTTTGTGCATGTTGTTTTCTGCATACAGCCACACACTCCTTCCCATCATCTCATCTGAGAGATGAGATGACATGTCTGCCTACCTATCAACTCAATTAAGAGTCTCCAGACTCTTGGCCCCTAGACCTGGCTTATTTCTCTGTAGACACCCTCACCACAGACTGTTGTGTCTTCCCTCTCCCACCACTGTGGGCTCCTTGAGAAGCCCAGGCTTAGTGTGTGCTCATTTTGTATCCTCAGGGCCTAAAGAGGAGGCTCAGCCAGGGAACCCACCAGAGTCCTACCATGTGCATGGTCTCAGCACAACTGCCCACTCAGCTTTTCAATGGAGGCCCCTGACCCTCATGATCCTTACTGACTTGTTTCCTATTCCCATCACACTAACTAATGTGGGATCTTATTACTTTTCCTGTCAACCACAACAGCTTCCAGTCCAGCTTATGCACTTAAGTCAATGCAATTTGAACATTAAGGACTCCCAAAGGCCCTTCAGGATTTCCCCACAACTAACCAGAAAAACATCGACAGCTCCCCTATCTGCCAATATCTCAAAGCAGCCTCAGACAGCTCTCCTAGCTCCCAAGCTCCATACAGCCTAACCCACCTACCCCTTTCTCATGGGTGCTTCCAGCCCAGTCCCGACTGTGGAAAATGCACCTGCATCCTTGCCCACCTAGCCTAACCCACATCCCTCCAAGTCACCCCGACTTCCCTAGTCAAATGCCTCCTTCTCTGTCCTTTACCACCAGCCTCCAGGAAAACAATAGCACACCACACAGGGGCCTTTCCAGCCTCAGCAGAAATGAAGGCAGACTCCTCTGCCTGACCCTCCCAAGAGTACCCAGGATCGGGGAAAGAAATCCTTCCAGACAGCATTGTCCTCTTCGCTTGAGAGGCCATGTGGGCCAGGGACCTCACTTTAGTCAGCACCTAGTAAGAAACAGCAATGTCCAACAATTCACAAGCAGAACCACCACACAAGATTTGTTTTTTCTTTCAAATGTTTCCTCCTGAGGTTAATACTCTACCATGAACAAAATAACTCACTAGGTAATTCAAACGCAACCATGTTTGGATTCAGCTAAGTGGCCAGGCTGGATGCTTAATAAAAGTTAGCGGACAGTCAAAGAAAATTATTAAAATAAGTTCTGCCTAGACAGTCACAAGCAAACTTCTCTCATACTCACTTTTCCTGTTCTTTTTTTTCCCCCCAGTTTCCTCAACTACCTCTCCTTTACCTCACTCAGAACACTTTCTTTCATGTCCATCCCATGGGATTGCAGATTACTGTTTCTCCCAATTTTCTCCACCCAGGAAGAACAGGAGAGAAAAACCCACAAAGGAATCAAAATGCGAAATCATAGTAAGAAATATAATGTGCTTCAGGTCCTCTTCAACCCAAGTCCCATGGACAAAACACTTACGTGTAGTATACTGTAGGAAAGACAAAATAAATAAATGCAAATATGGCAGGGACAAAAAATGTTAACACACAAAAGCCAGCAGAAAGCAGCCTGAATCATCAAGCCCATGGGTCCACATCACTGTATCAAGGTGGTGGCTGACCAGCATCCATCCTCTCTGTTCCTTTTTCCTCTGGACATCTCATTCCTGCCAAGTGCACACATAGCTCAGGTGATTGTGTGGCATGAGACCTTGGCCTGACTGGTCAGAAGGGCACATGACACACCCAGGCCCAGGACTTCCACGGAAGTCTCTTCTCCTCTAGGATTGCTTCACAGGCTGGATGGAAGCCCAGGACTGATGGAGGCAGCCCCGCCAGCACTCACGCACACACCTGCCTGAGAACGGAGCTGCCACACTGTGCGGATTACTAATTCCAAGTTCTAGGACCCTAGATCCTACCATGCCTGAACTTCCCCATTAATTGCACCCTTACGTTCCTTTCTTCTGAAAAGGTGAAGAACCAAGTTTCACTCACCTGGAACGAACAGGTACACCTGCTCCGCTATCTAGAAGTAAACATGCACGCTTCTACGCACTTTTAAGTAGTCCTCCCCGGGGCTGCAGCTTAACAGTCTCGTATTGGGGCCTGACAAAAATGCTGGGAACTGAATCTGAACTCAACACACACCGACTGAGTAATATTCATTGAAAAAAAGGGGCGAGGAGGTCTCTGGCTGGGATGATGCGAGGAATTAGCGGATGTGGACGGTGAGCAACGTGTCCAGGAGCCAAGCCCCACTCTGACCGTCTTCACGTTCTGTTTTACCAGGCTGGGGGACACAATACCGAGCACGCTCATTTCTTTTGGGAGTTTACCGAGTCCTTCTTTGGGGTCAACGGCAGGCACCCCCCACCCACACCCCCAGAACAGACTTCCCACAAACACTGACAAAGATCAAGGCCGGCTCCTCCGGAAAGTACTCTCAAGTGAGCCAAACCAACAGGCCTCTTCGTGGGAGACCCTGCTGGGTGGTCAACCAAGTCCCCAACCCGGCCGGCCGGTGGACCATCTCCGGCCAGAAGCCGCTGTAACCGACCTCGGGTCCGCGGAGGGCCGCTCCGGCCCGGGGCCTCGCAGGCGGCGGGCGCGGACCGGGACCAGCCTTGCAGAGTCCCCTACTGCCCCGTGCCCGCCGCTGTGAGCGGCTCCGGCGGGGCGGACGAGCGGCCCAAGGCCCCGGCTCAGCCCGCGCGCGCTCACCTCTCCCCGTCGCCGCGGGTGGGCCGCCGCCGCGCTCAGGCTCGCCGTGGTCGAGGCCGGAGCAGGGTGCGGAAGAGTGGGGCCCGCGCCGGAGAGCAGCACCCGCGCCGGGACCGAACCCACCGCACCCGCAGCAGAGCCTCCGCTGCCGCCGCAGCTTCCAAGATGGCCGCTCGAGGGGCGGTCCCTGAACTCGCTTCCGCTTCCGGTACGCTGTACGTGGGGGGCGGGGGCAGCCGCTCTAGGCAGCTGGGCGGACGGCGTCTTCGTCTCTATGTCTCCACCTACCGAGCGAGCCTGAGTAGCCCGGGTGCTCAAGGCTGGGAGCACTTGGCGCGTGCGCACTCCTAAGGTGAATTTGCGCCCCTCGGCCAGTGTGGACTGGATTGCCCGATCGTGAGACTCATCCCAACCAGACCCGTGTCTGGCCTCAAAGGGACACACACGCACGTGCACGTGCTCCCCTACCTATAGGCTCCGACCAGTGGAAAAGTGACCCCTGAGTTCATTGCAACCCCAGCCCGACCGCCTCCACCTTCTGTCCCGGGGTCCAGACTCTTGTCTCCTTAACGGGAGGGCATGAGGCCCTCGTGGTCACCCAGCCCATCCAAGAAGGGGACAGCACCCCAGAGCGGCCACAGGCGTGGTCATGCTCGCTGGCCTCACAACGACACCCTCTGCTATGGGGACAGCCGTCCTTGTAAAAATAGTTCCAGTGTTTCCTGACCGAACTTTCCACCCAGCCCATGAATAGAGTCATTATGCCGGTAGACACTGCGCTGAGGCTGCTTTTCCGCTCCCACGGCCCCCTCCCTGGCCCTGGGGAGAAGAGGCACAGCTTGGCCACTTGGCCACAGCCATTTTGGCTGAGGCTGAGACAGGGGGCAGCAGGTGGGGCTATTCTGGACACCATTTGGAGCCCTGACCAGGAGAAGCTGGACTGAAAGCTGCTGGTGGGGATGCCCAGCCAGGCAGAGCCCCCATATCCACACTCACAGACTGGGGTTCCTAGGTTACTCAGGGTTGTTCTAATGTTCAGAACACATGTCACACACATGACAACCATGACCTTGCCCGGATATCCTCCCCCTTCATTTGACTGATGAACTCATTCACCTGGGTACCCTCAGGAAGCCCCGCTGGGAAGCATGGAGGATGGTCAACACTCTCTTAACTCCTCAGTCTAGCTGAAGAGTGGGGACATGAAGGTGGGGACAGGTACAGGTGGGATGGTTGATGTCTGGATGAATGACTGCCTGCATGGCTAGGGGGTGAGCTCACTTCAGAGGCAGATGAGGACCCAGCTGAGTGGAGGTTAGGCCCAGGCTGCCCCAGGGGAGGTAGCTTTGGGCTGTAAGACAGTCCTCAGCCTATACCGAGCTCAAGGAGCTGTGCCTGGCTGCCCAGCTGTAGGTGACAGAGCTGGGGTACAAATCCCATTCCTGAGACCCAGTACCAGAAGCCCAGCAGTGGCTACTGGTAGAGGGCAGGCTGAGGCTACGTCCACCCAAGTCTGGCCCACCAAGGGCACCTTTCTTAGGTACCCTTTCTTAGGAGAGCTTCAGGGCTGGCTCTCCAATCCTGGGGCAGAGCCCAAAAGGAGTGTCCACCTGTCTGCAGCTCACCATGGCAATCCAGCTGTGGGTGTCCAGCCAGCTTCTGTTCCCACCAGTCACAGCCCTGCCTTCCACTGCCCAGCTCAAGAAACACATCAATCTCAATCCCCTCTGTCTCCTCCCTGGGCTCTGTGGTCCCTATGCAGAGCAGCCCAAGCCAATTTTAGCATCTGGAAAGTTAGGTAAGGGAGGCCATGCTGATGGGTACAAGCACAGGCTCTCAGGCACATCCATGAACACCTGTGTACAACAGCCAGCGCTCAGACTGTGGCCATTGGGATTTAGGGAACCTCTCCTGCTTGTTTGTTCCTGTGTAAAATAGGGCACTGTGGAGGCTGAGAGCATTGTGGCAGTGAGGCTGCAGAGGAAGATCCGGCTCAGAGCCTCTTAGTTCCAGCCTCCTGCTCACTGAACACATTAAGTCACACCTGACCCTGGTGCTGAAACAGATGTAACCAGAAAGTCCTGCCAAGAATCTATGACTCTCCCCCACCCACCCACATCTGTGACTTTCTAGTCATGAGGACCTAGGTTGCCCTGCCTTCTTTATGTATAGCTAAATGGCCTTAGCAGTTGGGATGGAGAGTGAGCAGCTAAGCTGGCAGCAGGTGGTGACTGGACCTTCTTCAAACCCCAGAGCCACACTCTCAGGGCAGGAGTCACCCTTCTGCAGTGAGTTCATGCTCAAAAGGCACTTCCTGCACACCCCTAGTGGCAGAAACTAGGGCCGCCTTGGTGCCTATTCTGTGATGGCCCAAAATCCTGCTTGGCAGGGTATGGGAGTCTCTGCAGGAGCACCAAGGAGTCTCTTACCCACTTGGGGCCAAGGACCCCAGATGGCCAGCTCTCTCTTGCCCAGGGAGGACATCCTGCCTGGTCTCCTCAACCAGGAATCCTAACCTTATGCTTCATATCTGTGGCACAGAACCCTCCCAGGAACACACTGAGCTTCCCATGAGTATGGGGAACTGGATTTGGGGATAGGACATCCAACCTGGGGTGCCAGGAAACACCAGGCATCCACAGTCCCCATGGCAGGCTTGTCCTGGGAGGGGACGCTGCCTGCCCCTGCTTACTCCTGCGGCCAGCTGCCTCAAAGGCCTGGGGGTGGAAGAGAGTCAAGTGCTCAGGCAGGTTAAGGCCAGCAGCCTTTCTGGAAGAGGGCAGAAGGTCTGGACTGAGAGGGATCAAGGACTTCCACTTGTCCCTTCTTTCTCTCTTGCATTCTCCATGTCTTTCGATATACAGGAGCCCATGGTGGGTCACGGGCTGGGGACACCTTCATTCAGTCCTAGTCGGCATCATGGTGCTGGGAGCCAGGAAGTGGGTAAGGAGGCAGGCAGGGAGAGAGGAAGAGGCCATGTGCCCTGAGGCCACCGCCCCCTCACAGGCCCAGGTCAGGTGCAGGACACTGGGAAGGGGGACTTTCCCTGGGCCTTGGCAGCACCTCCAGGGGATTCCCTGGAAGAGGTGAGGAGGGCTGAGCTGGAGGTCACACGATTCTATAGATGTGCTCTGACTCAGAGTCTGTGCACATGGAGCATGGAAGACAGCCCCCTGCCCCCCTCCAGCTCCTCTCCTGGTACTTCAACCCTGCAATGCTGGAAGACACAGGTTGCTCCAGTTCTAATGACCCACATAGAGCTTGGGCCCTTTTTCTTCTGCGGCTGAGCGGTAACACAACAATGTGCCCTCCCAGGGAACATGGCTTGGATGTAGAGGAGACCCCTGGGCCTATGCTGATTTGGGGGGCCCTGTACTGATTTCAGGGGCTCTATACCAGCCAGTCCCACCTCTGAGCCTCTGGCTTGAAGAGGCACCTTGGTCCCACTTTGTACTGGAGGAAATAGGCTCAGAGAGGTTGAGTAATTTGGGCAAGGCCACACAGCTGGTGTGTGACAGAGCTATGATTCCCACCTGGTCAGCCAAGTCCAGAGCCAGCTCTTCCTCAGTATGACTTCCCTCTCTCAGGATGTCATCAGTAGCCATTGCCTCCTTCCAGAACCATGAGGCCAATGACTTCAGAGCCAAGTCTCTGCCATACTGCCAGTGGTAAGTGTGGGCACTCCGTCCCTCAGCCCAGTCCAGATCCTCAACATTAATTTGAGTGTCGAGAACCCAAAGCATACCCTGGGGAGGCACCAGCAGACTTCAGCCCACCCCTCAAACCTGAGACTAGGCAGAGGGCCTGGTCATTTGGCGTGGTGAGACTGTTGGGTCACCCTGGGGACGTGCAGAGTACCCTGATAGAAACAGAAATGGTGGGAAGGCCGAGAAACACTGGCACCCTGGCCTTCTTTCCCTGAGCCTCATACAACCACACTGTGATTTGGACCCTGGACCCTGAGCGTGGGGTATGGACTTCAACATGTGCCAAATGGTGTGGCATGTCATCTCGGTGTGTGCGGTGGTCAGTGCTGGTGGCCCCTGCACCCTCAGGGGACCAGACACCATCTGTACACCTAGGCCTCAGGTTGTTCACACAATAGTGCCCATCCCACACAAGTGGTTCCAAGGAACACCTGTGGTCTGGGAGTGGCCCTCGCCCAGCCTCTCGGCCACAAACGCGGTGGTGAGGGCTGAAGGCGTGAGTCAGGCAGATGGTGGGAAGCGAGGGTCCTCCGGGACCTGACAGGAGGAGGGCGGGCAAGAAGGCGAGGGGCCAGCTGCGACAGACCTTCTGGGAGCTCCAGTCCAAGCTGCAAGAGCCAGTGTGGCAGAGGAAGCATCCAGGGAGCCCTGGCCTCTCCTTCCCCTTCAAAAACTGCTACCTCCTCACCTAGTCAAGGTCAGGGTCCTAGCCTCCCTGCCAGGCTCTAGGCAAGAAAGGCTTACCCCGCAGAAGGACTCCACATCTCTGCCTCCCCAAGAATTTCCCTTCCGGGTTCAGAGCAGGTGTGGCCACCTCCGCCCCTGGGCCCCTCCCTTGCAACCCCACGCCCTGCCTGTGGCCTGTTATAAAGAAGTTTCCTAGCCAGCCTCAGGTCACTCCTGATCTGTGACTGCCGGAGCTGACCTGTCACAATCCTGGGCACACACCATCAACAGGAGAATGGAGGCAGCTGCACAGAGAGGTCCCAGTCTTGAGGTATCAAGGAGTGTTGGCCCCTGGGGTGCTGCTAGGCAGGGATCCATTCACAGTGATTGGGGCAGGTCATCTCTTAGGTCTCTGGCCTGAGGTGGAATGGGCTTTGTCTGACTTGGTGGGGCACAGTACATGCTACATGGAACCTTGGAGACAACGTGGAGGGCATCACTTGGGTGGGTACCACTGACTATGTGTGTCCAGGTACCATGAAGCATGCAGGATACACGAGTGCAAGCTATGTGTGTTGATCACATCACATGTTCACAGAGCTGAACAGGGATGAGGCCAGAGTAGTTCTGTCTCTTGTGTACACAGACAGGCAAAGGCTGGAGGGCCATGCAGCCCACCCAGGGAAGGGGTCTGGCTCCTCCTCAACCCTGTGGCCCCCACTGACTGGGGGCTTGGTATGCACTGACAGAGCTCCTGTTGTACATGAGCATACATGTGTGTGTATATTTGTGCATGTGTGAAGTGCTGGCACCTCAGCTCCTGTGTGTCTGTGGCATCTGGGGTTTGTGAGAGCAGCTCTTGCGTTCAGGTCAGCCCCTGTGACTCTGTTTCAGGGGTCTGCCTGTCTCTGAGCAGCCCTGGAGGCCTCGTTGGTTCTCCAAGACCCTTCTCTGGAGCCCCCTTTTCTAGCCCAAGCAGCTCAGCAAAAACTTCAGTGCCTCCTTTGCTTCACCTGTAACATGCAGTCGACTGTCCTGCCTCAACTATGAGGCGTGACCCTGAGACACACTTGAGCAGAGCTCTGAACCATGCAGCCACCATCAGCACTTCATGCTGGTACAAGCTCCCAGCAAGCTGCTGTGGGGTACATGGGAGCCCACAAACTGGAGATGAGCTCTGTTGTCTAGAAGTCAGCTGGCTCACTCCAACATGCATGTTCCCACTCACACTGGAGCAGCCTTCTTAGGCATACCTGGTGGGAGCAGAGGCTGGCTGGGTTGCAGCAGACACCTGCCCAGTCCTGGGAAGTGGGAGGTGCTGGAGCCCAGCAGGCTGCACTCCAGGCATGGGCAGTTTCAGTGGTCAGACCAGGATGGGGACCTGGTGGAAAGTCCTCAGGGATGTTATACAGTGATTCACAGCCTGACCTGAGTTGGCAGGCCTGGCTGACCTGGTCAAGGCCTCATGGTACACAGGGTCTCTGCTGGGAAAGCTGGGCCCTGGGCCTGTCCTGAGACCCTGTAACTTCCTGGGCAAGATTAGGGGCCGGGAAGACTAGTCACGGTCTGACAGTGACTCAATCTCCCTCGAGCCCTCAGGTACTCAAGAGTTGGCTGGGCTGCAGTCCCCAGCCCCACTTGTCCTGAAGTCCAAGGTTTTTCCTGGACACTCCACTAAGCAGATAATATTCCACCCTGGGCCCACAGTGCTGAACAACATTCAGGCTTGAGCCACAGCCTAGACTTGACCAGTCCAGCCTGGCTGCATCAGTCCTAATCAAACCTGGCCATGCTGGCTCCAAGGAATTGGTGGAGTCCATCAAGACAATTCTTCTCAGAACCCCAGTACCCACAAAAATAGCACAGCTCCTACCTGGACAGGTCACCTAGGCCTGCCCTTTCTCAGGAGTCTCAGCTTCACTCAGGATGGCAGCACAGACCAACCCAGCCTCAACCTGCCTGCAAACACCATATCCTCTGTGTGTCCCCACTGCCCAGGCTCAGCCACAGCCCTTGTGGTGGGACCTGCTGCCATGATGGGTATCCCGGAAAAAAGGGAACATGGCCCTGAGCATGGGCCAGCCTCATCTGCGTGACAGAACAGACTGGGCTATCACTGGTGGCCAAGAGACATGACTGTAGCAAGTGTTCCCAGGGACAGAGAATGGAAGTTCACCAGGCTGTGGGTTGGGGGGCATATTTCTGGGGATGCAGGCTGGACTGAGCAGGGAACTGAGGCTGAGCAGCCTGTTCAGGCTCTCTTCTTGGATACAGGCTGGAGCTACAGCCCAAGCAACTAGCACAGAGCCTGGGAACCAAAAGACCCTCCAGGGAGACACACCCATGCTGCCCACATCCTGCTCCCACGAGGAGTGCAGGGAGGGGCTGGTGGAGCTGCACACCTCCTTCAGGGAGCTGCTCACCTTCTTCTGCACCAATGCCACCATCCACGGCACCATCCGCCTTGTCTGCTCCCGCCAGAACCGGCTCAAGACCACATCCTGGGGCCTGCTGCTCCTGGGTGCCCTGGGGGCTCTCTACTGGCAACTTGGGCTGCTCCTGGAGCAGTACTGGAGCTACCCAGCCATCATGGCAGTTTCTGTGCACTCTGAGCACAAGATCTTCCCTTCGATCACTCTGTGTGACATGAATCCACATCGGTAAGGGCCTGCAGAGTGTCAGCCTGGGGAGTGGGCCCCCCAGTGTCTCTTCTCTGCAGCCTGAGACCTCCCCCTGGGTGTGGTCTCAGATGAATCCCCACTGCTCACAAAGGCTTGTCATTGATGACCCCGCTTCTCCCTGCCCCTGTGCCCACCCGGGACGTCTTAAACCTCTAAGTGCCACCCACCCTGAAGAGTGCACCCTGAAGGGGTACCCAGGAACCATTGGGAGCCCGGGGTTGGGGAGGGAAGAGGGGGTTTTCTAGAAGGGCAATGTGAGCTGGGCTGCAACCATAGGGTCCCGCAGGAGGAAAGACCAGGCACCATTCCAGGTAAGGAGAGGAACCAAGTGGGGATGGGTTGTGAGCACGCCAGGAGCACCTTCGTCTAGCTCCTAATTCAAAGGCCCTGTCAGGTGCTGGGGGTGGGGGGAGAGGGCTGCTATCCCTGTGGAACACACAAGGACACTGAGGCCACACAGTGCAGGACCATCAGGGTTAGTCCCCTGGGGGACCTCACAAGGGTCTCCTCAGGAATGCCTCAGGTGACATAGGATGTAGCCACCTTGGGGTGGTGGCTCTGCTCAGTGCACCCCCATGGTCTGGTCCTGCCCCCAGGCCGAGCCCTGTCCAAAGGCATCTGGAGGAACTTGATGCATTCGCCCAGGAGAATATCTATTCCCTCTACAAGTTCAACTTTAGTAAAGACAGGGACACTTCCTACGCAGATGTCCCCAGTCCAGGGCCCTCCTTTCAGCTGGACCGCAGGATTCATCTGCAGCGGCTGAGGCATCTGGGTGGCCAGCACAAAGTAGGCTTCAGACTGGTGAGTGCCAGGTTCTGAGGAGGCAGGGGCTTGGGTGTGTTGCTGGTCCAGGAGAGCATGCCTGGTCATGGGCAGGTGAGGGGCTGTGACTGAACTGACCCCATGTCCTCCTAGTGTAACAGCACTGGCGGTGACTGCTTCTACCGTGCCTACTTCTCAGGCGTGACAGCTGCCCGGGAGTGGTACCGCTTCCACTATGTGGATGTCCTGGCTCTACTACCCACTGCCTGGGAGCACAGCCTCCAAAGTCATCAAGATTTTGTCTTGTCTTGCCACTATGACAGTGAGGACTGCCAAGCTGAGTAAGAAGGACAGGACTGGTGGGCGGCTCCTCTCTGTCCCACTCAGCAGAGTGTAGTTCTACTCTGGGGTCCAGCTGGCCAAGAAGCCAGAAACTAGCTGCCCAAGGCTGGCTACAAATGGCTCCATGCACAGATAAGGAAGGCCATGACCCCTCAATAAACATGATAGGGTGGCAGGTGACAAGCACATGTGGTCTGAGCATGGCTCTGGGTTCCAGGAACTTCCAGAAGTTCCACCACCAGACCTACGGCAGCTGCTACACATTTAAGGGCTTTTGGACCGCACAGCACCCAGGCATCACCCATGGTGAGTGATAGGCCCTGAAGGGTCCTGAAGGGCCCCTAGACACAGTTGGGTCAGATGGCCTCACACCGCTCCCTTGGCTTCCCAGGGATCAGCCTGGTCCTCAGAGCTGAGCAGCAGTATCACCTCCCTTTGCTGTCCGAGGAGACGGGCATCAAGATCATGATTCACGGGCACAACCACACACCCTTCCTGGAACATCGTGGCTTCAGCATCCGCCCAGGGACGAAGACCACCATTGGCATCAGAGAGGTGGGTGGGGCTCCGGAACCTTCTGCTCAATCCAGGCCTTGGGGGCGGGGTGGGGCCTCGAGGGGATGGGCAGAACTGAAGCCCCTCCCCCCAGGATGAGGTGCACCGGCTGGGAAGCCCCTACAGTCACTGCACAGATGGCGTGGAGGGCATGGACGTGCAGCTGCTGTACAACACCTCCTACACCACGCAAGTGAGTCTGGTTGGCAGGGAGGGTCCACGAGCACGAGGTGACCAGTGCATAGGAAGGGTTCCCAACTTGCATCCCTGCTGTCCCCCCAGGCCTGCCTGGTGTCCTGCTTCCAGCAGCTGATGGTGGAGAACTGCTCCTGTGCCTACTACCTGTACCCCCTGCCGGCTGGAGCTCAGTACTGCAGCCACATCCAGCACCCGGCCTGGGGTAAGCCTCTCTCTCTCCCTGAAGAATGCTATGAGCATCCGGAGTGCTCACTTCTAATGGACCCTTGCGAACCCTCCTCAGGTCACTGCTTCTACCGCCTCTACCAGGACCTGGAAAACCACCGGCTGCCCTGCGTCTCCCGCTGCCCCAGGCCCTGCAGGTGGGGAAGGGAGTGATGGGGTTGGGAGTCAGGGATCACTGCACTGGGGAGCACTGTGGGGTGTGACCAGTGGTCCTGCCTCTCCCAGGGAGTCTTTGTACAAGCTGTCTGCAGGGACCTCCAGGTGGCCTTCAACCAAGTCTGCTGTGAGTCCCTCAGGGATGTGGTGGGTTAGACCCAGCTAGTGCCTCTGGGGTTCCTGGGTGCTTCACACCCTCCTTGTGGCACTGGGAAGGGTAGTGTGGCCATGCAAGCCTTCTCTGTTCAAGGACTGGATCCTGGCTGCTGTTGGCGACCAGGGCCTGCGGAAACAGAGCTGGAGCCTGAGTCAGAGCCACAGGTGGGCGCACCTTCCCCTCCAGGGATGTGTCCTGCTGTCTCTCTCTCTCTCTCTCTCTCTCTCTCCCTCTCACACACTATCCCCTTACACCTCTATCCCCACTCCAGGAGCAGCGTGGCCAAAGTGAACATCTTCTACCAGGAGCTCAACTACCGCACTGTGGATGAGGCACCCGTGTACTCTGTGAGTGGCAGGCTGGAATCCAGGGCCTGGGCTGGCGATGAGGGCAGGGTCAGTGGCTAGCCACTCCCACTGACCACAGCCTTGCACGGGTGGGGTATAGGAAGTCCCCTGCCACTCACTGCCTGCCTACCCACAGGTTCCCCAGCTGCTTTCTGCCATGGGCAGCCTCTGGAGCCTGTGGTTTGGCTCGTCAGTCCTCTCCGTCCTGGAGCTGCTAGAGCTGCTGCTGGATACCACTGCCCTGGCCTTGCTGCTGGGCTTCCGCTGGCTCTGCCAGAGCCAAGCGGGAGATGGCACTGCTTCAGGACTGCCCCACACCACACCAGAGACCAGCCAGCTTCCTGGGGACTATAGACATAATGTCAGAGGTCCAGAGGACCCGGCTGGAGCTCACCCCCACCCATTGTTCCCAGGTTCCCCACAGGACATGTGTCTGCAGGGAGTCTTGGTGGAAGAATTAGGCTGAGCTCCAGCTCCGAGACTACTGACACCAGCAAGCTCTGCCAGGGCTCTGACCCTTGGCCTGACCTTGGGATCAGTGACAACAGTGGGCTCTCCTGGCTCTTCAAGGTGGGCCAGATTAGCCCCCACAGGGCCTTCCCCAGTCACCTAGGAAGAAGCACTAAACCTGTGGGCAGACACCACGAATGTCTAACACATCAGGGCCTCTCTGCATCCACCCACCCCACCTGGTTGGTGCACTCTCAGGTCAAGGCAGCCCAGAGCAAGGCGGAAGGGAAAGTCCTCAGCCCTCTCAACTTCAGAGTTCTGGGTGTGACTATGTGTCTGTGCATGTGTGTTGTGTGGGCAGAGGGGCCTCCGCATAGTGGTGTATTTGTTTGGTGTCACATTTCTCTATGCATATTTCCAGAACACGTCTATACCTGTGTGCAGGTGCATATGTATCAGACAGAGCCTGCATCGGTTTCCGGGCAGCTACTGGGCAAGTAGGAAGAAGGATAGGCCCAAGCAAAGGCATTCAGTGACCTTGGACTGTTTTGTAATAAAATCAGCAGGGCTGGTGGAGTGGCTCAAGTGGTGAAGCGCCTGCCTAGCAAGTGTGAGGCCCTGAGTTCAAATCCCAGTGCCGCCAAAAAAAATAAATTCTACCTGGTGTCTCGTGTGCACGTGTGGGTATCCTCAGCTGCCCATGCAGGGGTGAACTGCAAACTTCAGACTGTACCCCAAGACCCCCTTGGAGTGGACCACAGCAGCAGCACTGAGGGGCAAAGATACTAGGTACAGGCCAGGGCTGACCCAGGGACACCGGCCTCAGGCCACTCACGTTGATTGGGTCCACCCCTACTCCTACCAGGGAACACAGTCTAGGTCAAAGAAAGGCAGAAGGGCCAGGAAATGGGGGCTGGGGGTTATCAGGATTCTTTCTCAAAGAAGCCCCAGGTTCTGTGTCAGGCCCCTCGTGGCTTGTCTGGTTCATAACCTTTTGGGAAAAGACATTGATGGGACCCTGCTCAGTGCTGCTCCCAAACACCACCCCCACTTGAGACAGAGCTGAGCAAGGCAGGGTGGAGCCAATGAGCAGGCACTGGGTGCAAGCGGCAGAGGTTTATTAACCATGAGTGATTGGAGCAGGAGGGGGTGGGGTCCCACCAGCCCAAGGATGGCAGGGTGGGCAGTGGGCAGTCTCAAGCAGGGAAGAAGTAGCTAATTCTGCTCTTTAGAGTTACAGCCAGCAGACAAGGGAGACAGGGGCCCTGGACCAGTGCCCACCTTCCTGCCCAGGGAGCCTTCCAGGGCAGTGTTTGCATAGTGACCAACTGACTGGCCTTGGCTTTGCAAGGGCCCATAGTTGCAGAGGGGCCCAGCCTCTGTCCTGGGACTCCTTCAAAAGAGGGGACTTTGAAGGCATTGGTGGGCCCCCAAATGAGGAACCCCTGGACCCATCAGAGGACCCAGCCCAAAGGAAGAGGCCACCAAGGGGGCAGGGCAGAATTGTGCACAACCACCCTCCTCCAGCAGGCAGAGACAGAGTCATGGTGGTCCTCAAAAGTCCACAGAGAAAAGAAGCAGACAAAATCAGAACAAGGTCGTTGTAGAAAATCTGCTTAGTTGGTAACAAAACATTGGGTGTGGGGTGGAAAGTGCCAGTTCCTTTATGCACCAGCTCTGGGCCAAGTACCAGAGATGGCCCCTCTGGAGGAGGCAGGGGTGGGTCTGGGACTATCAGGCACAGGGACCTGCGTGGCCAGCCACATGGCCTTGGGACGCCTGCGTCCAGCTAGAGTGGAGGGCCCAGGCCAGAGCTCCATCCCCCAGCACCCTCCAAGCCAGCCTGGAAGCTGGGGTCACTAAGCGAGGTACTTGGGTTGGTTCCCTGGATGGGCTGCCACTCCTGCCAGGAAGGTGCTGGTGGCCGGCCACCAGCCCCAGGCTAGAGGAGGGGCTCTGGGGCTGTGTAGGAGGGACCCAGCTAGCAGGTCAGTGTTCTGGGACAGTAAACGTGGGGGCACGAGGTGACACAGGCCCTGAGGGCAGAGGGGCACAAGGTGATATGGGCCTCAAGTGGTTTGTGACTGAGCAACCCAGGGTTCTGAAGAAGGGGCCACCTGAAGACAAAGGTTCCCAGATGGGGTGAGGGACACCAGATAATGCAGCACCCTCCAAAATGTGGGGCTTCAAATGACTCAGTGCTGGGGTCTCTCTCCCAGTCCTGGTGTCCCAGTAGCTGGAAAGAAGGAAGAGCAGACAAGTGGGGGCTCCAGGAATGCCCGGCACTGGGGCTGTCTGGATAGGCCCATGGTCAATCACAGGCAGGGCCCTGGCTAGGTGAGAGGCTAGGGTCATCAGGGGCATGCAGGATGGCCGGGCGGGCGGGAGGCCAGGGTGGGGTCCCACGGCTGCCCGGCCTGTCCGGCCCTAGCTGTCCTCCAGGTGGAGGCCGATGAACTCCTGGATGCACCTGCGATACTGCAGTTCCGTGGGGCTGCTGCCCGATAGTGGGCCCGGCTGGCCTGGGGGCGCCTCAGCCTCACGCATTTCCTCAGCCATCCGGGCCAGGCGGAGCCTGGGGAAGGGGGTATAGTGTGAGGTGACCCCACCCCTACAGAGTACTTGTCCCCTCCCCAAAGCACGCGGCTTGTGCTCACAGCGTGACGATGTCAGCATTGGCCACCTGCACCGCGATGGTCAATGGGTCCTGCTGCTCCTGGTCCAGGGCGTGCTGGTCTGCCCCTCGCTTCAGGAACAGGCAGACCTGGCTGTGGGTGGAGGGGCATGTTGAGGAAGGCAGGGGTGAGGGGGGTAGAGGGGAAGATGGGCAGGGCAATCACGTGAGACTCACCCAGTGTGGCCCAGAAGCGTGGCATGGTGCAGGGGTGCTCGGCCCCGGCTGTCTCTTTGGTTCACATCCGCTCCGTTTTGCAGAAGGAATTCACATACAATCAGGGAGCCCTGGGGAGTCCAGCAACTCGGACTGAGCCAGGAAAAGCTTCTGGCAGGGCCGTGTATGCCCCTAGCCCCGGCCCCAGCATGGTCTCCATCCTGGAGGACGCCCATGTGTGGGTATAAAGTGGAGTCCTGTGCACAGGCTCCAGTCCCACTCACCCCTAGTACAGCCTGCACCAGCGGCGTCTTGCCCTCATCCTCAGCATTGGCCCAGTTGACCTCCGCCCCATGGGCCAGCGCCGCGGCCAGCGCGGGGAGATCACGGGTGCGCGCAGCTCTATGTGCCAGTAGCCCGGGGTGCAGTTCACGCACATCTGCCAGCCCCCAAGCTTCGGTCTCGGTCTCTCCATCCACCTCACCACTAGAATCCTCAGATTCTGCGCCCTCTGCAGGAGGGGTAAGGATCAGGGGCTGCAACCTCCCCCACCCCCAAACCCCAGGTGTGGGGAGGGCTGAAGCAAGGCAGAGGCTCCCCACTCACCCTCCTCAGTGACACTGTCCACCACGGAGCCTGCGCCAAAGGCGAGGACGTCTGAGCTGCCATCAGAGCTGCCTCCCAGGCCACTGTCGCTGCTCAGACCTGCAGGACAGTAGGCAGAGGGAGTCCTGAGCGTGGGAGACCTTGACTCCTCCCAGAATGCTAGGGGCGGGGGAAGGCTGGAGCCCCACCCATCCTCCAGGGGAGGCCCCCAGGGGCAGGACCAGTTCTCCTTAGGGAACAGATCCAAGCCCTGCCTCGGCTGGGAAGAAAGGACATAAAACCAACTAACAGCTCAGAGGAGCCAAGGGAACCCCACCCAGAAGCACAGCAGCAGGATGGACTCAGAGCACGCCAGGCTTTGAGTTCACCAAGCCATGGAGATGCTGCCCAGGCTGCAAGGGAGGAGCAGAGCAGCCATTGCTTAGGGCCAGGTGCACCAGCACCCCCTGCTGCCCACAGTCGTACACATAGCTGTGTGCATGCACACAGCCCACACACCTTCAAGCACACATTTCCACACATCACTCTTGATAGTCATGGCCTCAGCACAGAGGTTAGCGTCCAAGATACCCCAAGCCCTCCCAGTCTTAGCCCTGCTAACGCCTAAATTCTCCCCATCCCAGTCCAGCCTGTTTGTGAAACCATCACCGGGGCTCCACGCCCTCCTTCATGTAATGCCTAGCCTTCCAGTCCTTGAGCAAGTGCCACCCACACTTGTCCACTCTCCAGGGGAGCCTTGCTTGGCCCCTCTTCTGCTACCCTGGCTGGGGCTGCTAGCTCCTGAGGGGGATGGGCAGCAGGGGATGGGGGCCCCCCAGCACTTACTGCGTGGACCAGCCCCAGCAGCCCCAGCATCGAAGTAGGAGAAGAGGGAGTCCAGCTCATCCGGGCAGAAGAGGGAATCCCGGCGGAACTTGCGCTCCAAAGTGCCTGCTGCAGGGGACGGGCTCCTTGTTCATATGGGAAACTGAAGTCTGGGGCGTGAGTGTTGTGGGGGGTGCCCTAGGTCATGCTGGGAGTCAGGCAGAACACCAAGGCACCCCTATGAGACCCTGCCTCTAGCCTACCCAACCCCACCATGACATCCAGGGCTTGATGGCTCCTCTCGGGCCATCCTGCCCAATCCTGCCCAAGTATGTGAAGTGGGATGCAGCTGCCACAGCCCTCCTACCTGAGGACAAAGCAGCAACGGACGGCAGGACAGGCTCAAGCCTGACTTTGCGGTGGGCAGTGGGGACACGGGGGGAGCTATGGGGGCGCTGGCACTTCTGTGCCCGCCAGCGTCTTGGGGCCTCCCGGGCCGGCACAGTGGGTGACTTCTGCAGAAACTTCTTTTCCACATATTTGTCCTTGATCCAGGCTTCCTTGTCCTGTCTGGACCAGAGGCAAACATGAGGCTGTATTCATAGGCTGGGACTCCCCTGCCGAGCTGGGCTGCTCCCCACCTCACCTGGGGCTACTGGCTATGGGCTTCCTGCTGCCTGAGCCCTCACACTGGGCCTCATAGATCTGGTTCATGGTGCTGTTTCCAAGCTCACACATCAGCTGGTAGGAGCAGGGTGTGTAGATGTCAGTCCAAGTTCAAAGAACCAGTTCCCACCCCAGAGGGGCCCACTGGCCTTCAAGAAACACTGCACGCACCTTTAGCAGCTCTGGCTCCCAGGAATCCAGTGTCAGGGACCGCACCTTGGAGCAGTGCACACCCAGGCTCCTAGAAGGGGCAGGGATGAATCAGGGTGCACCTTTGCCTTGTTGCAGCCCCACCCTGCCTGCCCAGAGTTAGGAAGGCCACCTGTGGATGCCTGAACACTCGATGCAGAGCAGCACGCCCAGGTTGATGCTGGCCCAGCGAGGATCTGGCTGGCCACAGTCACCACACTGGCTGTTGCCAGCCACACTCTGAATGCGCTGAAGCACGCCCTCGCCCTTGCCTCCGCGCTCCCGAGAGTCTGAGGCAGAGTCAATGCTGCTTGTAGATGGGGATGCTGTGCGGTCCAGCCTCTGGGGGACAGTGTGAGGGGCCACTTAGTCCTTCGGAGCTCCAGTTCCACTCCCCAAGAGGTCCCCTCCTCCTCTCCAGCCAGAAGGGCCAGCATAGGCCAGGCCCCTCAAGCACAAATCTGCTCGTGCGTATGTGCACAGACATTCACACACCATCACTGCACATACACACGTGCCCATGCGTGTGATGCCTGCACAAGCATGCATGCAGTCTGCAGGAGCTCTCCCATGGGCACACAAGTGTACACATGCATGTGGAAAGACAGGAGTGCTGTACCTCACTATAGCAGCTGTCTGGACTCTCCCGGTAGGCAGAGGCAATGCTAGCCTGCACGGCTTGAACCCAGGCCTGTCTCAGCTTTTCGGAGTCAGCCTGCAGCATGCAGCTCCTGGAGGGAGGGGCCGGTCAGGCTGGGTGGGCAGGGGCTCCCCCCACCCTGCCTGGGGCTGGGCCTCCTCACTTGGTGGGCGACACGACCTCAAAGCAGAACCTCCGTTCAATGTCCTCGCAGGGCTTCACAGAGCACAGGCGAAGGTCATCCACCACCACAGTCAGTGCATCCTGTGATCAACACCACTGTGTCTCACATACTTGGCCTCCCCCACTGCATCATGATCATCGTCTAGGCAGGGAAGGGTATGGCAAATGGTGACCCTGTCCCCCAGCTCACCTTGAGCTTCTTCTGGTAAACCAGCTGGCTGTTCTGAATGGAGAACCAGCGCCTAGGTGAAGTGGATAAGGGATGAGGGGTCAGGCAGAGCTGGCCCCATGTCCTCTCTGCTCTTGTCCCAGCCTGCCTCGGCACCACCCAAGAAAGGCCCTCACCGGTTCCATGTCTTAAAGGCATTGCTGGCTCTCTTGAAGAGGTAGCCCTCCATCACCACACCACTGGGTGCGTCCACATCGAACTCGACTTTTGACTCGTCATAGGAGAAGTCCTGAGGAGGACAGAGGTATCCCTCAGGGAGCACCCACCCCTGGAGGGCCTTGACACCCTCCCGGGCTTGCCCAGACCAAAGGCTAAGGTGAGGCACATGCTCAGACAGGAGAGCCCCTGGCTTGCAATACCAACTTCCTGCAGGAGTCCCCTGCCGTAAGACCCTACGGGCAGACCCCTGGGTTCACAACTGGGCCTGAGTTTTCCAGACCCCACCCCCAGGCTTGCAAGGACACGTGGGCTGCAATCAGGAAGGAAGCTGCCCCCCAACCCCTACCGCCCCACATCCTGAGTGCCCCATTCGTGTTGCCAGCTGGGCCAGCTCCAGCTGCCTGACAGAGCTCCATTCAGGAGCCCGGGAGCCTCGGGTGTCCTGTGTGTCTTGCTGTCCAGCAAGCCAGGCCAGCAGAAGAGAGGCATGGACACCTGCTCTCAGGCTGAGTGGGGGCAGGAAGGCACAGCTGCTGCCACTCCCTGGGAGGACGTGGCTGGGCTCAGCCCACATCCTGTTGGTGCCAGCAATCAGCCCACAGGTGCCTCAGTGCAGCAGGGCAAACTGAGGCAGGGAGATGTCCTTGGTGCTGAAGCACCTCAGGTGGGGAGGGCCTAACTGTCCCCACCACAGCCCCTGCATGCACACCCCAGGTTGCAGCTCTCTCACCTGCAGCAGTGTCTGAGGCCCGAGCAGGGTGGGGGGAGAGAGAGAGCCAGTGAGTGACGGCCCTGCCCCCAACTCCCCCACCACAACCCCTCCCAGGCTCTCTCTGGTCCCACCTGCAGCCAATCTCTGCCCCAGGTGACCCCAGAGATGCCCTCGACCTCTAAGGAGTGAGGTCTCGGTTCCAGCTCCAGCCCCTCCATGCACCCAGCCAGCCAACTTTGTCAGGGCCCCTGACTATGGGGTCCCCTCCCTCTGACTGTACATTCCAGAGGGGTGAAACCTCAGCAGGCAGAGTAGTTGCAGGGTCTGCTGGGCAGTAAGTGGACGGGGCTGGAAGGAAGATCAGAGCTTGTGGAGTGGGGAAGAGGGGCGGTGGCCTCTGATGATCCCAGTGTGCAGGGAGGTCAGTTGCAGGGCCTTACCCGCTGCTGGATAGCAGCGTGCTTGCGCTCCATCTCACGCTTTTCCACTGCAGAGTCGATAACCAGTTGGTCCAGCTTTGGGAGTAGGGAAGCATCAGGAAGGCAGTAGACCCCTTCCCAAGGCCCTAGCCAGAAATCCCACCCACCTACAGGCTCACCTCAGCCGCCAGCTTCTTCATGTAGGGGTCTAGCCGGTGCAGGAGGCTGTGGCCCTGCTGGAAGAAGCTGTACTGGGCATGCATGAAGGACAGCATCTGCAGGTAGATGTGGAGCCCTGGTGAGGTCTGACTCCTACCACCCAGGCGGTACTTAAAAGCACCTCCCCACACAGGTACTCACAGAATCCAAGATCTCAAACTTCTTCTTGGCTTGGAGGACATTGATCTGCCAGAGGAGGAGCAAACAGGTGAGAGGGCTCAAGGCCCAGGCAGCCAAGTGGCCTGTACCTTGCCATAGAGTCCACTCTATGTTGTTCTCTGACCTCCGTCCCCAGATGGTCTTTACTCTCTGCACTGTGCCAACTTCACCCCCAACCCATGGTCCTGGAGTCCTTCCCCACGTCTGCATGTGGGGTCCCATCTGGGTAAAACCCTGTCCATATCCAGACAAGCCTCCCTGTGCAAGGTCAAGGCCTATCCTCCTACCACTCACCCCACCCCTAGGCCTTTGCTGGGCATCTGCCCCTCTGTGTTTCAGGAGCTGCATCTCTACTGCCCTATGGCTGACCTGCAACACGTAGTCCAGAGCCAGGTGGCGAAAGCACTTCCTGGTGAGGGTGAGGGCACCCGTGGCCTCCTCTACTTCATGGGGCCGGTGCCGTGGTGCCTGGGCATTCCTCACTAAGGAGAGTTCCATGTCCTCCCGCACTTTGTCAAACTGCTTCTTTGTCTCCTTAAATTTGCGCACATCCCTGAAGTGCACATACCGGCAGGAGCGCAGGTCAGAGGTCAGAGATCAGAGATCAGAGAAGGGGTGCACGCTGGGCTTTCTCACTTATCCTCCCTGCCCCTCCTTTGCTCCTTTCCCCACCTCCCTATCCTGGGCCCACACCCCCCTACCCCTATGGCCCTTGGTCTCCCATCCTCCCTCTTCCCAACCCCTCACCACCTTATTCCCCCCATTATACTAGCCCAAGCCCCAAGCCTTTCCCCCCCATTTCAGACCCTCAAAACCAGCATCAACCTGAAATCTCCCCTGGGGTATCCCCATGCACCCCAACCACATGGCAGGGCTAAGCTAGAACACCTCCACCCAGCCCTGTCCCAGTCAAACCTTCTGCTAGAGGGTTCCACCTCTCATGCCTGAATCTTTGCCTAAGGAACCCCTGGGCAGACTCCCCCACACACCCTGGAGATGGAACATGGCCTTGGGCCTTCCCCCCAGTGCTAGGGGCCAAGGGGGCCTAGAGCTCAGCCAAAGCTCCTATTACTCACTCTTTGACAAAGTTGTGGAGCTGCTGCCGCACAGACCTTTGGGCCTGGTCAAACAGGATCTGAGACACAGGCAGGGTGGGGTTGTTGGGGGTCTGTCTCTGCAGGACCCCTTAGGCAAACCCCATTTGTCACCCAGGTGAGAATCAAGAGAGCTCCGCCCAGCTCTGCCTGTGCCCCAGGTTGCTACAGAGGGCACTGCCCAAGGGGTCTATCCCACACCAGAGCTGGCCTCTGGGGGCTAGGGAAGCAGCCCCCAGCCTGAGTTGGTGCCCGTAGGCAACAGCTGTGACCACCTGCTCATCTTTCCACCTGGCTCTTAGCCAGTCTGGAGGCCAATGTTGTCAGATAGCCTCTACAGCTCCACCCCACAGCTTCTGCACAGGGGGCACACACCGGCCACCTTGAGCTGACCACTCTGCAGCAAGAAGGACTCAGTCAGAGAGAGGAGCTCCCAAAGGGCCAGGCTTGGGGAGTAGTGCAGGGGGATGACGTTGGGAGCTGAAGGGGCTTTGGGCCTCTCCACGGCACTTAGAATGAGACCCTCCCCACATGGAGGAGGGCGGGGCAAACCAGAGGCAGGCAGACAGGCAGTCAGGCAGGCAGACCGCCAGGATGACCTATCCTGAGCTGGTTTATTTCTGAGCTCCCCCTGCAGCGGGTGGGGGCCCCTTGTTTAGTCTGGGGCCCTGGTTCCCAGGCCATGGCTCCCCACCCCCATATGCCTTGGCCTGCTCTGTGTGTCTATCTACATTTTTGCTGGGGTCCTGTGGGGTCACCCAAGCCCTACCCAATAGCAGTGAGGTCGTCACCCAGAAACGGGTTGGCTTGGGAGAGAGTGCTCTGGCCAACTGGGAGATCCAGGATGAACTTCCCCAAGGTTTCCCCCACCCCAAGACCCTCTGCCCTCAGCCTTGGGCAGTGTACTGCCTCCTCTGCCCCAAGATCCAGTCTAGCCATTGCCTGCGTCATGGTAAAGTCCCCCCAGGGATGTCCCCCACGCCCCACTGACTCACAGACACAGGGTGGCCACCATTCCCACAGACTGAAGGAGCAGAATATGGCCTTTCCTACTGGCAATCGCCAACTCAGCTGTCTTGAGACCTGGCCAGCTCTGCTCTGAGCTGGGTGGGGACTTCAGAAGCTGCGGGGGCAGCTCAGTTGGAAGCTAGGGCCCCTGTGCCCACTGGCACTCACCGTGTGATAGTTGACCATCTCCTGCAGGCTGTCTCCAAACCTCTGCAGACATTCCTGGGGAGAGGCAGGGGTAGGCCATGTTGAGATGGGCAGTGAGGGGTCATGTGGGTGACACCTCCTCCAAGCCCACAAGGGATCCCTGCCCACAGGACACAGAGCTGCACCTGAGACAGAGCACCAAGGTCCACCTACTCCTGGGTCTGGGCATCCCTCGGGGACTACCTCCCTTCCCCTACCTCCACCTTGAGGTCACAGGCCAGTTGGCCCCTCACCGAGATGACGGTGTCGCCTTGGCACTGCTGGGACAAGTCGCGGACACCACTCACGAACAGCCTGTTGGTGGTGACATAGGCCTTGCCGGCCTCGATCATGCCACTGCATAGCTTGACCAGCTGTGAAGGGGACAGGATAGGAAAGATGAGTGTCTGGCAATTCACGTCCTTCATGAAGACAGATCACAGAGAAGAAAACACTCTCAATGTGAGGACTGGCCCACGAACAGCCAGAATTCAACTCAGGCCCATTAGCACCCAAGACACAGCTCTCCTTCTGCCTCCCAAGATGGAGGCAGTGCCACCATAGCCTTTGAGCCCACCTGAGCCTGCCTAGCACTCACTCAAAGGACCATCTAGGAAGGGAGGCTGGTGCTACCTAGGTCTCAGCTCCGTATTGAGAGGCTGGCAGGACAGGGAGCTTCAAGCAGGGGACCCAGGGCTTGTATGTGGGTGTGACCCCACCAGGTCAGAGGGCCAGCCAGTATGGAGCTCATGGCCACTGACCTTCCTGCCTCCCCTGCTCTGGTGCCAGCTCCCCCACCTCTCCTCTCCCTCATCCTCAGTCTCTAAAGCAGTCACAGCAGCTATCCCTTGTCCAGCTGCCAACTAAGGCACAGATGGATGCCCCTTGGGTCCTCCCCCTTGATGAGATGAGATGCAGGACCATCCATGTGTACCTGAGCCATGTGCAACCTGGGACACATGCAGCAGGGCCAAAGATGAGGTCACACGGAGCATGACACATGTGCTGACTCACAAAGGTCGGAGTGAGTGAATTTGTAGTGGCAAGTTCTGCCATTCCACCATCCTAAGTCCAGCTTGAGCATGAGGGAGGCAGAGCAGTGCTGGCCTCTCCATATACCCCAGGCCTGCCCCTCACCTTGTCCAGTTTGGCTTCAATCTCCACCACATCCGTTTCTACTTCGTCAATGGTTGCCCTGCAACAAGAATGGTGGGTCAGCTTGCAGCCAGCTGTGTTGGCCAGAGTCAGTCTGGGGCTTCACCTCCCCTTGCACCTCCCCAAGGGATCTGCTTTGGGAAGGGGCCTCCAGGAAACTGAGGCAAGAGAAGTAAATACTCTGCCTGGGGGACAGGACTGGAACCCAGGTCTGGTAACACCAGAGTCACCCAAAAGCCATGAGTCCCTGGGCAGGAAGAGGCCACAGCCAGTGGCCTCCCCATAGGCTATGACTGCTACATCCTAACAACAGAAGATTAGACGATTAGACAAGCCCTCAGCCCCTGAGCACAGTAGGGGGCCAATGGTGACAGGTACAGCATTGCTGGTCTTTCTGACCTTTCTCCTCTCTGGAACTCAGAGCTGACCCTGAACACCATTTGGACATCCACTTGACTACTGAAGAGCCTGCCTCTCACCCCCCTGCTCCTACTGCAGCCCACCCTGGCCTGGCATCTGTGAACCCTGGAGCAGGCTGGGTGCCAGAGCCAGTAGCTAAGGAACCACCAAGCCCCAAACCAGGGAGGAAAACTGTTTCTGGCTCCCTCCAGCTCAAAACTACAAATGGCACACTTTACCCGGAGAGAGAGGTGGGCCAGGTTTCCTCTGAGCTCACTCCCACTAGGCTGGCCTGACAATGGGGAGGGAAGAGTTAATGATGACATCACCAAGAGAAGCCTGGAGAATCCCCGGAAGCCAGAGGCAGATGGATCAGGCACGTGACACCCCCCCCCCACTCCTGGCACCCCCTCCTACTCTGGGAACAGGAAGTAAGGAAATAGGGACAGCTTTCCAGCAACCCCTCACCCCATACAATCAGCTCAGCTGGTGAACTGGACCCGTCTGGTCTGCTGTGGATGAAGGACCCTGGGCACTGGCTGGCACAGGCTAGGGGTGAGGGCAGGCATCCAGGGACAAGTCTTGGTTGGGGATAGCAGAGGACAAGCCATCTAAGTCTTCATCTCTTGCTGTCCTCCCCCACCCCAACCCCGCCTCCCCGACCACCACCATAGGCAGGGAAAGGGGTTTCTCAAAGCTGGCTGAGAGCCTGCAGTCACACAGGACATAGCTTGCCCTTAATTGGAAGCTGGGACTGAAGTGGTTAGGTTGCCCAGCCAGGGACCTCCAGAGGTCCTGGCAGTCCACCGGGCAGGACATTACCTCTCTGGACAGCCCCCACACCTTCCTGAGGGATAAGGGGTCCCTGAACCCTAGAACAGAGAGGGTACAGGGGAACAGGGGAATGGACTTGCAACATCTGCTTGGTCATTGCTGGACTGTGACCTCACAGGATGTCCCCACAGCCTGCCCTGCTCAGAAGAAATGCCCCTCAGATTCAAGTCTAGCCTACATCACCTGGAGGTATGGCCCACCACGGGAGGTGAGGCTCTGGACCCTGACCACTAATATATAGCTGGAGGGACCGTCCACCTAAGAATGTGTAGTGCAGGTCACCCTCTCAGCAGGCTGGTTGCCCTAGACAGCTGCATGAAGAGCTGCCACCTTACCTGGCTGAGGAGCCTGGGTCTGGGAGGTGGCAGAGGCGGGGCTGTACAAGTTGCTGACAAATGTGCTCATGGGAACACAGAGGGTGCTCAGCAGAGGCCTGGAGGACTACCACCCTGTCCTAGGATTCCCTCGGCACTCTCCTCCCCAGCTGGGGACCTGAGGCCTGCCCTCTGCATGCAGCCACAATTGCCTCAGCTTCACACAGGGTGGAGAGGAGCCCCCAGACCAAAGCCATGACTCAGCAGTTGAAGCCCCACCCAGTGGAGGGCCTGCAGACAAGGATGTGCCCAAGCTCCAGCAGGGTCCAGGACTTTGAGGCATTCTCAAAGCAGTCAAAAGCCACCCCCCACACACACACCCGCCCCCAAGCAGGATCCCCCTTCCCAGGCCGGGGGCCAAGCTCCTCCTCACTTCCACAACCTCCTGCTAGCCCGACCCGGAGGCCTCCTCAGCAGGAAGAGCACCACCCCTGTGACACCTGGAAGTTCTCAAATCCATCAAACCTGCTTACCCCAAACCACTGAGTAGGGAGGGCTTCCCTGGCCCCATGACCGAGGTCCAGTTCGTCATCCTCAGCCCCCACCCCAGATCCATGAGGCACTTTCCCAGGGCACCCCTCCCTACCAAAGGAAGCACTGCCAAGCCTAAGCTGCTGACACACCTGCTATAGCCCCACAGCTCTAACAGGGTGATTGTGGGAGGGAAGGCCCAGAGGTGAATGGGGTTTGACTGGCCAAGGCCCAGACCCCTCAGCAAGGGGCAAGGAGGAGCTGAAGCTTCTGGGAGCGGCCAGGATGAAGGGGAGTGCCTTAGCTCAGACGAAGCCCCCAGCGCAGAGGTCCTGGCCATGCTATCCCCCCAGCTTGGGTGCAGGATAAGATCTTGGGGGTGCCTGAGTTGCTCACTCCCTCAGTCAGTCAGTAACAGAAAGGAGAACACAGGGTCATACCAGCACTCTGCCCAGTGCTTGGGCTGACCTGGACCCTCTCACTCCCGGGCTCCTGAGCCTTTGTTGCTGACTACCTTGTGGATTTGCTGAGGCAGGACCCCAGAGACCCTGCATGCATGCACATGCACGACCAAGCACATGTATGCAGAAGCGTGACACGTGCTTGTGCACAAACATGCATGTATGCAGGAGCACAATGCACACAGGTGTGTGCGTCCAGGAACATGGTACACACGTGTGCACCAGTGCTGGAACACATACCTGCACAAATTAACATGTGTCCAGAAACATGGCAGACACAGTAAGTGAATCCACAGACAGCTGGAACATACACAGGCATGCATGCACTCATCACCAGTCTATGAGAATGCACCAAGCACGCCAGCTCAGTGGTGAAGTTCACCCACACATTCATGTACATGGTCTGCTACCTCAAGGGAGGGGCAGAGTGGAAGAGCTCACACATGCGCACCTGCACACATACATGTGCAGAGGTCAGGGGCAAATGGCACATAAAAGTTGCTCCATTACAGTTTGCCAAATGTCACGCAATGAGTGAGACAGCGGCACCTTTGTGCACACATCCATGAACGTGTAGCTCACACAGATGTACCCACTTTCATGCCCAAGAACGATGAAAGACAAAAACCCACGGTTGGACAAGACACCTACCCTCCCACCCAAACCTCCTACCTGACCTTTCCTACTACTCTGTGCAGCCCCCACCCCTCCAGACTCCTGGGTCATTAAAATCACCTTTCACTCTTACTAAGGGACCCCACCCCAGACCCTAAATATTGCTCCAACTGACAGCATTCATGCACTGCTCTGGACCCATGAATCAAGACAGACTAGGGACAGAGCGCCTGGACCCAGACAATCCTGGTCACAGCTGGACTGCAGGGTCTGGGAGGGGCTCAGGCAGCGCAGGTGGCCACCGCAAGAAGGTTCAGACACAAAGAGGGGTGGACAGTCTCAGAGGTGGCCGTGCCCACAACTGTCCGGCGGACACAGCTGCGCGAGGGCCCGATTGCCCACGCGCGCGCCTTCCGCGCGAGGTGACCAGCACAGGGGCGTCTATTGTTCCGGTCCCCCGGGGCCCGGGCCGGGGGCGGGGCTGCGCCGCCGGAGAGCCGCGGCTTTGTCCAGGCTGGGTCCTCCGCCCCGGTCCCGGGTGGCTGCGGCGCAGTCACGAAGCCGAACACTCCCGCCCCGCCGCGGGCACAAAGGCGGCCCGCTGCCTGCGCCCGCGCCAACCCCGGCGGCCCGCGGCGCACCTGAAGCGCGGCGAGTCCTTGATGCACTCCTCGAACTCCACCGTCATGGCTGCGGCGCGCGGCGCTCACTGGACCGAGGACCCCGGCGCGCCGAGCGGCATCCCCGGCCGGCCGGCCGCCCGCCCGCCCGACCCGCCCGCGCCGCGCTCGGCGTTCGCCCGCCCCGGAATGAGGCCGCCGCTCCGCTGCCCCGCCCCGCCTGTCACCGCCGGGGAGCGTCGCCAAAGTCGGCCGCCCCGCGCGCCGCCCGCTGTCACCGCCTGGGAGCGTCGCCAAATGCTCTGCCGCGCATCGCCCGTTGTCACCCCCTGGAAGCGTCGTCAAACGTTCTCCCTGCGTCCGCAGTCAGGGGGTCTGATTGCTGGATAGGCCGTGGCAGTCGGGCTTTGAGGCCGCTGGCCGGGCTGTGGGAAAGGGGAGGGTGCGGCTCCTCCCGCTCAGCCATCCAGGCCGTTGCGCAACTCCGGGCGTTTGCAAAACCCACATGTGGGGGGGACGCGTCCGGAGTACAGCGAACTGACACACTCCGGGAGGACTGGGCGGCGGCAGCATCGGGAAGAGTAGGAATGAATGAGCTAGAGAGTGAACGGAGGAAGGAGGGCACGCATGCAGGAGCGTGCGGACCGCAGCGTGGCTGTGGAGCGCCTGACCCCGCGCAGCTGTAGTTGTCGGGCCCATTCGCTCGACGGCGGGCCGCACTTTGCACCCGCTCCCTAAGCCTAGCCCTGCCTCTGTATCTTGGTCCCCGTGGCCGGGGCGGGGCGAGCGCGCAGGCGCAGGCGCGGCGGGGCGGGGCCGAGCGCAGGCCACGTGCGGCTGCCCCGCCCGCCAACGCGCCATGGGTCTCGCCGGCACCGCGGGCTCGGCGTGTACGCGCTACTTAGTGTTCTTCCAGTACTTAGGCACGGATTTCAAGTACGTTTTCCCGCTACTCCCACCCGCTCCCTCCCGCCGGGCTGGTGGGAAGGCCGGGAGCGGGTCAGGGACTGTTCGCATGACACGACGGGACGTCTGATCCCAGGGCAGGAAACGCTTTGTTTGACCTTAGGGCGGGGAGGGGGCTGACACGCCAGCCAAGACCCCAGGCAGGATTAGGCGGCCGCCGCGGTTGCTGTCCTTAACCCTTCGCCCATTTCTGCCCGCAGCGGGGTCGCGGCCATCAGGGGTGCTCAGCGCGCCGTCGGGGTGCAGAACTTCCTGGAGGTAAGCTCTGCTGTCCCCCTCGCTCGGCTGGAAGAACCGCGACCTTGGCGATGTCCCGATGGGAAGTAGGCTGTAACCCCCCAACCCCGCTGCCCCTCGAGCTTGGCCTTAGCTTTGGCTGCGCGCCCGCGCCCTGCTGTCTGTCCCTGCAGGAGGCCGCCGAGCGGCTGAAATCGGTTGAGCAAGTTAAGTTCACCGTCTCCAGCCGCACCGATGCAGGAGTCCACGCCCTGAGCAACGCCGCGCACCTAGACATCCACCGCCGCTCGGACCAGCCGCCCTTCTCTCCGGAGGTTTTGACCCAGGCCCTCAACACCCACCTGAGGCACCCAGCCATCAGGTTAGCCAGGGGACTGAACATATCTTCTGCTCTCTCCTCACCCGACCCCGTTTGGGTGTTGGCTGGAGGTCCAGAAAAACTTTGTATTTGGGCAGAACTTGCAGGTGAGGGGGAGATACCTGGGTGTGCGGCGTCATTCTCAGTGAGCCTGATCTGTAATTACAGGGTACTGCAGGCCTTCCAAGTACCGAGTGACTTCCATGCCCGCCATGCCGCCACTTCCAGAACCTACCTGTATCGCTTAGCAACTGGCTGCACCCGGCATGACCAACTGCCTGTGTTTGAACAAAATCTGTGCTGGGCGCTGCAGACAGAGTGAGTGTGAATGTGAGAGCGCATGGGGAAGGAGGGCTCACAGATCCACCCTGTGGTCTTCTCTCACTGCTCTTCCGGCTGCCAACAGCTGCCTGGACGTGGCTGCCATGCAGGAAGCTGCCCAGCACCTCCTCGGGACCCATGATTTCAGTGCCTTCCAGTCAGCCGGCAGCCCAGCTGCTAGCACAGTACGCACACTGCGCCACGTCTCAGTGTCCCCTGGCCCAGCCAGTCCCTTTCTTCTTCCCCAAGAATGCAGGTGAGGAAGAGTGGCCTTGCACTGTTTCCTGCCTCAGGGTGCCAATGCTGGTCTGAATGTCACCAGGGCCAACTGTGCTTCCAGCACCTCCCCTAGCAAAGATAGGTCAATGCTGGACTTGATATGCTGGGCACCCATGGGGCCTGGCAGAGGGTAGGGAGTGCGGGCCAGCTGGAGGGTGTGGGCCTAACACCCATGTATCTGTAGCCATGCCCTCCCCTCAGGCTGGGATACAGAGGACAGAAAACTGCCTTTCTCTGAGGACCTCTGCCCAGAGTCCTGCACAATGTGGATGGGTTTTGGTAACCACAGACAAGGCTTCACTGGGGCTAGTGGTTCTGGTTCAGCCTGGCAGAGGGTGGGTTCCACTGACCCCCAGCATTGTCCAGTGGGCCTCCCACCAGATGGCAGCTGCTTTTCTAGTTGGGACCTGCCCTAGGGAGAGGACTTATGCGTGGTCAGGTGGAAGAGCACAGGCCTACAATTTGGTGGGCCTGCAAGTGAGCTGGCTGTGCCGTCTCTCAGCACTCATCCTGTGACATCTCCAGTAAGGTCTCAGGGCAGACTGGGTGGTGGTCAGACCCCCGGGCATCATCCTGCCCTGCCATAGCCTTTCAGGAACTGGTGGTCAGCAAGGCCCCTGGGTGGATGAACCCTCCATTCTGTTAGCCTCGTTTGTCTGAGGCTACATGGCAGGCCAGGATGGCTGGGCTGGCTTGTGCCCTGGACATCACAGGCATCTCTGTCCCTAGGAAGCTGCAGTTCTGGACCCTGGAATTTGAGAGCCAATCTTTTCTGTACCGACAGGTATGCTCTCCTAGGTCGTCTGGGGTGGGGGTGGGCAGGCCCCTGCAACAACCTCGATTTCTGGGCTGCAGGTTCGGAGGATGACAGCTGTGCTGGTGGCTGTGGGGCTAGGGGTATTGACACCCACCCAGGTGAAGGTGATTCTGGAGAGTCGAGATCCCCTGGGCAAGCACCAGACTCGTGTTGCCCCAGCTCATGGCTTGTTCCTGAAGTCAGTGCTATATTCGGGCCTTGGTAAGAGGAAGTGGGATGGAAAATAGTCCCCCCAAGGCTGTCCTCACTGAGGAAGGGGCTCAATTGAGGCCCTGTGTTCTCATGGCAGACAGGAATCCATGCATGTAGTAGGAAAGCCAAGGCACCAGGAAGGCTTCCTGAGTTGGCCAAAGGATTTCTGGCTAGGGACCAGTGACCAATGCATGGTGGCCTGGAGTGAGTTGCCCCCTCCCCAGCTCCCTTCAGTAAGATGCCAGTGGGGCAGGCTGGGCTATGGAAGCCACAGTGGTAGAGAGGGCCTCTGGGCTGAGCTCCTGCTTCTAGGTTGACGTAGAATCTGTCCACAGGTCCTGCTCCTGCACCCTGCAGGGTCCACAGTGTGGAAACTACAGATGATTCTGGACACTTGGCTGAGGCTACACCAGCCACACCACTCTAGACCTGGCTACTGAACCTTGCCTACATTCACTGCACTCAGTGGGACTGGTTCATGTTGGCTGAGCCAATGCATCCACAGCCACCTGAGGCTGTGGCAATCCTCCTTAGCCTCCTGCTTCCCTTTGGCCCTCACCTGCCCAGTCCTGCTATCTGGACACCCCTCTCTGACCCTGGGAGTGGGACTGGTATAGGAAAGGGGGACAAGAGACAAGTGTGAGCACCCCCAAGGGGCCTCTGGTTCTGTTCTTCTGGAATCTCCACACCTATCTTTTAAGGGGCCCAGAAGTAGAAATAAAAGGCAAGGAGGTCCTGGAGGCTTATTTATTGCTTTGGCCAGAAATGTCTACTCAGGCTGGCTTGTGACTCTAACCTTGTCCCTGGATGGCATCTATGACCCATTCATAGACTCTTTTCACCCAGGGCGCCCATGGTCCTGGAGCAAAAGCCCAGGTCCTTGTGAGGGGCAGAGGTGGTGAGTCTTGGAGGCCAGGTGTCAGCTGGGGGCCTGGGGGAGACCCTTCTTAAGCAGCGCTGTGAGGAAGCTTCCCAGCTCCTCATCCTGCAGGAAAGTAAAGTGCACAGGTTACCCCACTCCAGGCAGCACAGAATACCAAGAAATGAGATACTCTGTTTGGAGGGTACACAGTGATTCCCACCACTCTTACCTGGTAGGTCCAGGAAACCAACAGCACCTTGGTGCCTGGGTCCTCAGAGTGGGCAGCAGCCTGGATAAGGATGGACTCCACGGTCACAGAACCATCAGGGAGGTGCTGCACACAGTGGTCCTTCAGGGTGCTGTGGGGAGGCACAGTGAGACCCTGCCTGACCCTGCCTATGGGGGCAGAGGGCAAGGCCAAGGCATACCTCTTGAGATGGCTGTAGATACGCAGGGCTGTCTCCTGCTCCTTTCGTGTGTCCTGCAGGTGCACGCGGCAGGTGAAGCGCAGCTGGTGCTCAGCCAGGCCTAGCTCCTTGAGGGCTTGTTCTGAGGATACCAGCCGGAAGTTCTGTGGAGCAGGGGCAGGTCAGGGAAAGTGCCAGGCTGCTCCCCACCTTCACCCCCACCCATCCACTCACATTGTCTTTCATGATCAAGGTGCCATGCAAGAGCCGGGGCTTTTTGGCCTCAGGGAGCAGCCCTGTGGGAAAGGAGACTACTGCTGTCAACACAGGCCACCAGTCACCTGCCACCAGTGCCCCAGGCTGCCCCTCATACCCTGTGCCATCTCTCGCTTCAGCAGCCCCAGGGAGATGCCTACAGGGATGCTGGGGCTTGTGGGTAGTGTCACTGTCTCGCCATTGGCAGGCATGTAGCAGCTGACCCCTGGAGGAGACAGGTGTAAAGAGAGACTCAGTTCAGCTGGCTAGCCCTGAGTGCATCATTACTGGGGTGACCCCTGCCCACCAGTAGCCTACGGAATTCCTGCTCAATCTTCTGCCTCAAGAACTCCATCTTCTTGGCCTCGCCGTGCACCAGCAGTACACTCTCTGGCTCTGCCTGTCCCACAAGCTGCATGATACCCTTGGCATCAGCGTGGGCACTGAATGACATGTATTCCACCTGCATCTTAACCTCCAGCTGCAGCATCACAGGGTACAGAGATGGTCAGCACTAGCAGAGGCCTGGCAGCCCTGCCAAGCCCAGAAGGATGAGGGTGGGACTCACCACCTGCCGCCCCTCCATCTCCAGCTTGCGTTGCCCACTAAGGATCTTGTGACCCACAGTGCCCTGCACACAGTAGCCAGGCATGATGACCTGCAGGGCATAGGTGAGGTTTAGCCAGGTGATGCCCAGCCTTGGCACATCAGGGGCCACCTCCCGGGACATCCCCACCTGAACCCTGGGAAGAGGCCAGGCTTGGAGCCCACTGTCATATCAGCTGCTTGGAGTCTGAGACCTTCCTGCCTGACACAGGTCAAATCACTTGCAGTCTGAACTGCCCTGGTTGAGCAACAGCAGCATCCTCAGGTCAGAGTGGCATCAAGCCATAGGTAGCTCTGGGACAGGATAGGTCTCTGCCTCCCAGCTCTCCACGGCTGTGGAACTCCTGTACCCACATCGGCCCACCTCACAGGCCTCCCAGGAGCTGGCCCCAAGCCCAGAGCCCTCACCATGTTCTTCTCATTTCCTGCCCACTTCCGGAAGATCTGCAGGGATTGGCCAGCATGTAGCATCCCTGGTGTGGCAAATACAACCTACAGGATGGATGGGGGATGGATGAGGGTAGCAGGCCCCTTGCCCAGCCTGCCACAGGCCCCAGCCGGTGACCCAGTCTTTCACCCAGAGACCCAAGGGCAAGGATCATATGCTAGGTGTGGAAGAGTAACTGCCCCACCAGGGCCTCACCATAGGACCTGGGTTGTCAGCAAATGCCCGGTCAAAGGCCTTAATGTGCTTGAACTCAAACATGTTCCTCTGGACAAAGGTCTTCCGGATCTTCTGATTGGTCCAGGTGATGAAAAGCTTGTAGTAGTGGTTGGCCTTCTCAGTCAGGCCCGTGGAGAAGTAGATGGGCACCTTGAGGTTCATGCGCTCCCTGTATGCCCATAGGCCCAGTCAGCACAGGAACCATAGTGGAGGATACTGCCAGGGTCAGCCTGGGATGTCTTGTCCCTGTGCTCTCTGTTACATCATAGCCTGAAGTCCAGTGAGGAACTGAGCTCTCTGCTATCTGTTCCAATAACCACAAGGCTGGAACCTTCAGCCTGTGAACTGTTAGGAGAGCTTGTAGGAGGCTCAGATTGGACCAGTGATCCTGAGAGCCAACCAACAAAACTGATGTGATGTTGTAGCCTTCAAATACAAGAGTGGGCAGCCCCACCCATCAAGACAGCAAGCAGGGTGGGTGGTAAGGGAGGGGGTGGGGGCAGGGGGGAGAAATAAACCAAGCCTTGTATGCACATATGAATAATAAAAGAAAAATGAAAAAAAAAAAAAAAAAAAGACAGCAAGCAGGGCTGATGCTACCACATACTGATCATGGGGTGCTTGCTACACCTAATGGTAGTCAGTGCTGCCTTAACTCTATAGTTCCACCCTGTTCCAGCCCATGCGTGTGGCTAGCTCTCTGGTGCACAGGTCCCACCTCCTGCCACCCACACAGGGAAGAGCTTCTTGAAGAGTAGTCCTGGCTGCACCTACCAGAAGGTCTCCAGCAGGATGCAAAGTTCCTGTGCCCGGCCCAGTGCAAACACGGGGATCAGCACCTGAGGGCAAGTAAGGCTGGCTCAGGTAGGAAAATCTGGTCATGCTGCCCAGCCCTGAACACAGCAGGCAGCAAGCTGCTTGCTGTGCCCACCTTCATGGGTAGCAGCTGCTAAAAAGATTAACCCTGTTGTGTGTGGACCCCAGCCCCTCCATTCTGCCCACAGTCCTGCTCCCAGCCACATGTGAAAACAGTGGGACTACAGGGATGCTCAAGCGGCCCTTCATGGGATCTGAGACACAAGGAGCTGGCAGTGACCAGCACAGTGTGCCCAGACCTGCTTGTAGCCACTACCTTCCCACCACGCTCTACAGTCTCGTGGACCTTCTTTAGGAAATCTCGTTCTCGACAGCGCTTGGAGTCTCTGATGGTTGTAGCGTATGTGGACTCCGTGATGAGCAGGTTGGGGCGGCATCTGTCAATCCAAGCAGCCCTGGAACAAAAGCCATGGTGGATGGTGCCCACGGCTGCAGGGCTGGGAGTGACAAAGTGGACCCATCCCCATTCACAGCCACCTTCCTGGACCACCCTAGCATGGGCTCCTTTGAATGGACCCCATCAAACATCACAGGCAGCAAAATCTGGAGGGGGCAGTAAGGGTTGGGAGGTTCTAGCCTGGACCTCCTGTGCCTGCAGCTGGACTCTAGAGGAAACTCTGTGATGCACGGGGGACACTGATATGCTAACCACTTGAGTGACCACCACGAGCATACTCTCATAGGTCTGTAAGATCCACAGGAGATCACACAGGATGGAACACACAGGCCTACTTACCCCAAATGTCGGTCTGGGGTCATATTATAATCACCCTGGCAAAGAAAGTGGCAGTAAGGAAAGTGCCTCCTCATCCCCAGCTGCCCTGCCCGAGCCCTAAGACCGTCCACTGACCGTGTAGACCACAGATTCTGAGCCCACTTTAATCTGGAACATGGCTGCCCCCAGCACATGGCCTGCATAGTAGGCCTTGATTTCCAGTTCATCATCCACCTGCAGAAGAGAGTGTGCATTCAAGCCTTCAAGAGCAGGGCAGGGAAGCAGCGAGAAGTAGATGGACATCTAAGCATGTCATCAGTTTCTGTTTTTCAGATGATATCCATAATTTGACCAAAAGCAACCACAGAGGGTAAGCAAGAGTGCAATTTCCAGACCAGAGGCCTGCGAACCTGTCTTCTAAGAGATAAATACAGGTGTGTGGCTCAAGTGGGTAGGTTGCCCAGCAATGCCCTGAGTTCAAGCCCTGGTACGGGTGGGGGTGAGGGCTGAGATTGGAAGATTACAGTTTGAGGCTAGCCCTGGAAATTTTTCAACAGACCCTACCTCCAAATCAAGCTGGAGGTGTGGCTCAAGTGGTAGAGTGCCTGCCTAGCAAACACAAGGCTTAGTTCAAACCTCAATACTATTAAAAAAAAAAAACATGTCTATATGAACAACAGTCTATAAACTAGGAGAAGGATAAATTGAGTTAAAATGCTGTAAAACTCTGTTGTCCAGGAAAAAAGGAAAAAGTTCTAAATAACTTTAATTTTTGTTTCCATGGATATATTTTGCAATCCTTACCACTAAAAAACTATCAAAAGTATATATTTTATAAAGCAAAGGAATAACAGAATTTAAATAAACAACCCAAAAAAGGCAATAAAAAAAAAGAGCAAAACAAATCAAAACAAATAGGAAGCAAATAGTGAAACAATGTAGCTAAGCCAAAGTAACCTTATTAGATGTAGAATCTAAATGTATCATCTAAATACCAGTTATCAGGCTATAATTTCAAAACAAAACTATTGGCTGGGTGCAGGTGGCTCATGTCTGTAATCCTAGCTACTCAGGAGGTAGAGATCAGGAGGATCACGGTTTGAAGCCAGCATGGGCAAATAGTTCTCAAGACTTAGCTTGAAAAAATCCAGCAAAAAAAAAAGGGCTGACAGAGTGGCCCAAGACGTAGGCCCTGAGTTCAAACCCTAGTATTGCCAAAAAACAAACAAAAAAAACCTATGTGTCACTTAAAAGAGTCATTTCAAATATGATGCAAAAAAAGGTAGAAGTAAAAAAATGGAAAAAAATACACCATTAACAAAAGGTGGGTGGAAGGTATTGTAACTATATCACTAGAAAAGTAGACTTTCAGGCCAGGCACCAGTGGCTCACGCCTGTAATCCTAGCTACTCAGGAGGCAAAGATTAAGAGGAGCACAGTTCGAAGCCAGCCCGGGTAGATAGTTCTCAAGACCCTATCTCGAAAATACCCATCACAAAAAGGGCTGGTGGAGTGACTCAAGGTGAAGGCCCTGAGTTCAAGCCCCAGTACAGCAAAAAAAAAAATAAATAAAAAAAAGACTTTTAAGATTAAAAAGGCATTATCTAATATAAACATGAGTGGTGATACACATGGTACTCTAGAGGATGAGACAGTAGGATTGTGAGTTAGAAGTCAGCTTGGGCTACACAGACTATTAAAAATATATATATATATATATATATATACACACATATATATATGCTTCAAATTGATATAAGGTTCAATTAGAAGGATAAAATGATCCAAAATGCGGGGCTGGTGGAGTGGGTCAAGTGGTAAAGTACCTACCTAACAATCATGAAGCCCTGTGCTCAAACCCCCAGTACCACCAAAAAAGAAAAGAGAAAGATCCAAACTGTACAGGCACCTAACAGCATAGTTTCAAAACAGATAAAGCAAAACCCAGAGACTCTAATGAGATACAGACAAATCCACAATTTTTTGTAAGAAATTTTGCCAAATCTTGCCCATTTAAAATCCTTCACTTCCTCCCTGAGTCATATGTCATCACAGCCTGGTACTGGATACCCTTCAGGGGTCACCATCTTGCTGTGTGGTCTCTGGATCCCCACCCAGCAAATGCACCAGGAGACCCAGCAAGGCAAGCATGCCCCAGATCCACAGATAGCACAGGTGTCCTTCCAGGAGGGGTGCCAGCCTGGCTCCTCAATGCTGCCTGTGCACAGAGGCAGGTAGGCAAAGTCCTTATGTATGTGAACACACAAACACACACAATACACACTACCTCAAGTTAAATGCCACATGAGAGCTGGAATCACACATTTACCCACTGCTGCCTCCTGGTAGACCTACAATGCTGGAAGAAAAGTGAAATGGGGTGGCTGGGGACCCTGACCTGGACTGTCTGGTGCAGGTGGACAGCCACCACCTTCTTCATGCAGTCTTTGATCATCTGGGAGGTGAAGAAGTTAGCCTCGCCCTTCTTGTCCACGGCGATCTTGCGGTAGTCCTCCAGCAGGATAGGGCATATGGCCTGGGTGGGGTGGGTCATATAGATGGGCCCATCGTAGCCTACCATCTCACTGAAATAGGGCAGTGCCCCACAGTGGTCCAGGTGGAAGTGGCTGGAGAAGATGTGGCACCAGTCAGACTGGGACCACTCTCCCCCAGTCACTCCACACCAGCCTTGGGCTCACAGGCCACGCCACTCATTAACTGAGGCCTACTGTGCATCAAACACAGTCCTGGGTACTAAAGAGTCAGGAATGACCAAAGCACAAAAACCTCTCTTCCTAAATGTACAGTCCAGATGCCTAGCAAAGCATTAATAATTAAAACCTGTATAGACAATGCCAGCCTCATGAGGAAATAAGGCAGTTAAGGGGAATAGGAATGGGAGGAGAGCCACTGTGTTTAGTAGATGGTCAGGTTTGGTAGGTGCCTCCTGGAGAAGGCAGAAGGAAGCTGGGACAGCATTAGGGCAATGTCTGAGGAGGCCCCAGAGGACAGAGGGGATGGCACTTCCCAGCCCACTGCAGGCACTACTGTGAGTCATGTCTGGAAGGAACTAAAACCACAGGAGCCAGAGCAGCTGAGGTTGCTGCTTTTAAGATGGTCTGCTAGAGCTACTGGTGGAAATGGGGAAAGTGCTATGGTATCAAGGTGAAGTCACAACAGCAGGGGTTGAGAGGGGCTGGGTCCTACAACTGGCTGCAGACTGTCTGGGGCTGGTAGAATGACTCAGGAGGTAGTGTCTACCTAGCAAGTGTGAGGCCCTGAGTTCAAACCTCAGTACCATTAAAAAAAAAAAAAATTCATGCCTGCCTAGACTGTTTGGGATGGAACATGAGGGCATGAGCAGGAAGAGGTGATGAAGATGTCTCTTCTTGCTCAGCACTATGAGGCTGGGGTGGTGGAAGTCAGTGGTTAGACGATGAGCCTAGAGCCTGAGGTGAGGGTGACACAGACGTCTGCAGACAACAAGGCTTATCACGGCTGAGACAGCAAAGGAACAGAAGAGGACAAGGCCTAAGGCACTGGTGGGAGGGTCACCGCTGTTGGCAAGTGCAGGTGAGAGGCCCAGGGAATCAGACAGGGCCCTAAGAGCACCGTGATCTCAAGAAGTGAAATGCATCATCTTGGCACTAGGGGGGTGGCCTACCTCCCCTCAGACATGGCTGCCCTAGCTCAGCGTCAACATCTAGAGCACCTGCCAGGTGTTCATAACACTTGGAGACACAGTCAACAGGCCCAATTGGCATGATATACTCCCTGGCTCCGAGGGCTGACTGCTACCCTGAAGAGTGAGCCATACAGGTTGCCTGGGATAAAACCCTGTGACCTGGTCAGTTGCTGACACACCACAGCCCATGGCCTCCACAGGCAGAGAACAAGGAAGAACCATCAAGGCCACCAATAGCACCCACCTGATGATCACACAGTCCAGGAAGTCAGTCAGCCGGCCATTCTGAGTAATATAGGAAAAGTCGGGAAAGCGCCTCTGAGAAGCCAAGAGAAATGGTCAGAATGCTGCAGGCTGCTCCCATTCTTAAGGCCTAGGGGGTCCTGCTTCCAATGGTTACAAGGAACAGGTGGGCGGTGGAACCTCACTGTCCTCTGGGCCACACACTGGAAGGACTCACATCATCATTGAAGCCCATGTGCATCCCGCAGTCCAGCATGACATTCTTGCCCGCAATGGAGACCAAGATGCAGCTGCGGCCCACATCCTGGCCAGCTCCTGCTCAAGGGTAAAGACAGGTGACAGGCATGGCCATGCCCACTTCCTCTTCCTCCCCCACATACACCACCAACTGCCCTGCTGCCTCCCGGGCTTTGCAGAGCCCTCAACTGACTGAGGTAACTGGACTCCAAGGTTCCTGCGGAGACAGATGTGTGGGCCAGGAAGCATGACCAACTCCACTTGCAGGGAAATGCACAGGAGGGAGTAAAGCACCAAGCCTGGGCCCAAATGCTCTCCCCCACCAAGCCTCCTCTCACTTCTCAAAGCCGTAGTGACCTGCTGGCAAAACACTGGGCACTGGCTATGGTTCCAAGCACGGAACAGAGGCAAGCCATTGCTCTGCAGGATGTCACTGCTGTTTACTAAGTTTGGTCAGATCACTCCTGGGCTCTCAGCCAAGCTGCAAAGCAACAAGGCTTCCTCCCTTGGTAGTTGTCCCCAGGAGGGAAGAGGTCTGGTCCTGAGTTCTGGCATTGAGTGACTCCTGGTGGTGCCACCACAGTGGGACACCCATGTGGCTGTAGCCCAGCCACAGGGAAACATGTCCCTGACCAGCAACGAACAATAACTGGCCACAGCACAGATGCCCCATCCTAGGCAGTGGGCAACATGGGCCCCACACCACTGCACTCCCTCAAGCATCCCCAGCCAGCCCCAAGAGGAGATCCTCCCTGTCTCCTGACAACCAAGCAGCCCCTTCAGCTGCTCTAGCCTGAGACCTTGACCAGACAGCAACACCCATGTGGCCTTCTGTCATCTCCCCTGGAGTCTGGGGACCATAAGGAGAGACATGGCCCAAGCCTCAACAGGGGTCTGAGGAAAGTAAATGGCCTGGTTTCCATCTTGAATTGTACATGTCTCCCTCTACCAGCTATGTGCACCTCAGCTGTCAGTACCACACACACCAGGGGACCAGCCATAGCCCAGAGCATGCTTGCCTCAGGCAGTCAGCCATGTCAGCCATAGCGTAGGGGGTTTGAAGGTTCTCCTGCAGGCCTGTTCCTGCTCCATCAAGATCTATGCTCCTGGAAGGCAGGGGCTTAGCTATCTTCTCCCCACTGCACCTCTAGCTTTGAGGCTATGCCAGGCCCTGAGGCCCTCCAAGTGTTTATAAGAGGGTAAGGGATGCCCCTTCCAGGCCCAGGCCTAATGTGTGAGGCACCCACAGACTTGGGGTCAGAACCTCAATAGAACATAAGAGAGGGGCAGAACAGGACAGAAAGCAAAAGAGGCTGAGTGGGGGTGGCTTACGCCTGTAATTCTAACTAACTGGGGGGGATGAGATCAGAATCTCACTGGGTTCAAAAGACCCAGCGTCAATATCAGAAAAACCAGGGTGTAGTGCCGTCATATGCCTGTCATTCTAGCTACTGCAGGAAGCATAAATAGGATCAAGGTCCAGGCTGGCCTGGGCAAAAAAATGAGACCCTATCTCAAAAATAACCAGAGCAAAAAGAGATGGAGGCTTGGCTCAAGTGTCAGAGCACCTACCTAGGAAACACAAAGCCCGGAGTTCAACCCCCAGTACTGCCAAGGAAAAAAGGAGGGGATGTCTCTGTTCACACAGAGCATATATCCTACAGTAGAAGGCAATTAGATACCCAGAGTGCATTAGATAGTGGTTACCGTGAAGCCGAAAAGTAATGCAGGGAAGAGGACAAGGGTGCCCTCAAAGTTCCAGAACGCAGGAAAAACAAATCCCAACGGGGTAGTGAGGGGGTAGCTAAGATAGGAGGTCAGCTGTGCAAAGGCCCTGGTGCCAGAGTGACCTGCACACTCTCAGTATCTAGACAGACAGTGACCTGGGGTCCTGAGCAGGACAGAAAGGTGCTTCCAACACCCACATGAATGAAGGAAGCAAAGGCACCTGTGCATGAAAAAAGCCCAGAAATATGGGGCTGGGACCCAGAATTTCAAGTGACTGTTTCCTCCTGAACACTGTTTAAGGCTGCTAGGACTTCTAGAAGCCTGAACCTTTTTTTTTTTTGCAAAGAGGAAAGCGACTTTTTAAATGTTGCATTGACCAGCTAAGACAAAGGCTGAACAGAGGGTTGATAGTAGGTAACCTGGGCGGGAGCAATAGATGGTGGAAGTGAACAGAAAGTCAGAGGTGAAGAGGCAGCGGCCCAACCACAGGAGTCTTGAAGCAGCTGTTCATATACAGGGGAAGGTAAAACACACCACCAGGTCAAAGTCCTATGACTGTCTCAACACCACTGCCCCACTAGGCGCATACTCGGGACCCACTTCACCTCGCAGTCACTGAGTCTCAAGCCTCATTCTCGTTTCGTTGTTAGGTAACCTAGGTTTGGAGACTGGGCCTCCTTGCTAACTAACTCATAACAAGCTCTGGGGTCAGGAATCAACCCCAAAACCCTTCAACCCCCCTCCCCCAAAGTTAGGGAGAGAAGGCGAGGAAGCACCAGCTCCGACCCACTTCCGAAGGCGTACAGCGGGAGGAGGATGGACCTCCGGCTTCGGCCCCTCCCCACTACGCGGTGCGGAAGAAGGGGGGACGCGCGCGGATCACGAGATGTGCGGGAAGGGCAAAACGCGCGACGGTCAAGGCCCCGCGCACCCTCGGGTGGCCCCGACTCACCCAAGGGAGTGACTCTGATCTCAGGCATCGTTTGGGCGACGGACCCTCAGCCCGCGTCTCTGAGTTCCCAGAGTCGGCGCGCACCGCCTGCAGTGAAGGTCCAGAGATGCCCGCCTGCTCATCCAAAACCCGGGACCAGCGACCAGAGATGCGCAATCCCGCTAGCTGCCGCCAACGTGACGCGCGGTGACATACGGCGCAGGCGCGACCTTTGCAAGCCCCGCCCCCCAACTTCCTTCTGCTCGCCGGAAACGTGGAGGTTTGCCTTGACTTCTGATTGGGCGGCTGTCAACCAATCGGAGGTGGTGCAGCGGCGGGGGGCGGGGGCCGAGGGTCTGCCCAACCGCAGGCTACACTGCCTCCGGGTTCAGGAGTGTTGGCTGGTGGGATCCTAGCACGAGACCCGCGTCGTGTAGACAGCTGGAGCCCGCGGGTGAGGACCCCACGCCAGCCGAGCTGTAGCTCGGGTCAGCCGCTCCCCACCACCGGCCTTTGCTGCGCCTTGCGCCCCTTGCGCAAGCAGAGACCAGCCCGCCCGGTGCCAGCTGTATTCGCGTCCCAGGTGAGACTTGCAGTACTTCCAGCACAGCGCCCTGGCCCGCCCTGTAGGCCTAGAGTGTCAAGGCGGGGGCCTTCTACCGGGCGTCCTCCTGGCCTCCTGCCCAGTCTGATCTTCCCTGAGGTTTAGAGGTGCCCCGCATCACCTTCCGGGAGCTGGTAGGCTGCGGACTCCCGGTTAAACAGCCCTTCCTGTTGTTCCCAACCTATTGCTGGCTCCTGCCAGCTCCTTGTTGACTACTGACATGGGCTCTGGGCAGGAAGGCCAGACCCCAGGGTTTTAGGTGGCCAAGAAGGAACCCCTGGGGCCTCAGAGACTGTCTGCTCAGTGAACAGCACACAAGCCCAGAGAGTGGGAGAGACAAGCTGGAAGACTCTGGCAGACTCCATCTTCCTGAAGCCCAGGCAGAGCCGTCCCCCATACCTGAAGACAAAGTGAGCCTTTCTCCAGGGGCTACACCCTGTGCCAGGTATGCAACCCAACCTATGGAGTCTGCAAGACCTCAACACCCATTGGGCCCCACCGTTGCTCTGGCAGCCTCGGTTGTAGTCAGGGCAGAGAGTTCAGCCATTTTCCCCAGCAGTGAAGGACTGTCATAGTGTGAGTGCAAGGCAGAACCTGTACACAGACCCAGATGTCCTGCTTCTGGCTGAGGTCTCAGCACAGCTGGGATGCTGGGAGCACTCTGAGGTAGGGAGGCCAGGGCAGGGCTCCCACCACCGAGGGGTACAGGAACCCCCAAGCCCAGTGGGGTTATCGTTCATCATGGACTAAGGTGTGATGTGGTCAAATCCTCAAGGCCTGTCAGAGCTGCCCAACAGGGTCATCCCTGGACACCAGGCTGAGGCCCTTGGGTACCTGGGATGTTGGAGACCAGGGTAATTGAAGGTACACACTCAAGGTGTGGGTGCTAGGATATTTGTGGAGTGACTGTAAGAATACACAAAGAAGCTGGACGCTGGGTGAGTCACAACTGTGAGTGGCTCTTACCTGTAATGCTAGCTATTTGGAAGGCTCAGATCAGTAGGGTCAAAGCACATAGTTCTCAAGATCCCTATCTCCAAAATAATCAGAGCAAAAATGGACTGGAGGCATGGTTCAAGAGATAGAGTGCCTGCTTTGCGAGCATGAAACCCTGAGTTCAAACCCAGTCCCATTAAAAAAAGAATACAAATGGAATCCTGCTAGAACCCAGCCCCACCTCAAAGCCTCTGTCCTGGACCACTTCTAGAATGTTCCCTGGAGCTAGTGGAAAGGTCTGTGGCAACCTTCTGTGTGTGGTAAGACTTAAGACCTTTGGTCCAGTCACCACACTGTATGGGGTGTCATGTATAGTTTCAACAGCACAAGTGACCATCTGTCCAGCAGATGCTAGCCCCACAGCCTCTACTCTGACTTTGGGAATGCAGCCATGAGCAACAAAGAGGGGAGCCTGCCCAGCCACCCTTCCCACTTTCCCCGTCTCTATTTTCTACAACATTTATTTCCTATCCTGTGTCAGAATTGCCTACTCTGAGTCCCTGTTTTTGTTACAGTCTGACTCCCCCACCCCAAATGGGTGGGCACCAGGTGCTGCCAGTGCCCAGGACCATGCCTAGCTTTTGGAAACATTTTACCCAAAGCATGAAACAGAGACTTCAGGGAGAGGAGACACAAATAAATAAGAAGTAGCCACAACTGCAGACTTCAAGAGGGTGGTCCCAGGTCAGAGATTGATCTGAGTCAGTGGCCTGAATGACAAGGAAGGGCTGTACCAATGTCTGTGGGTGTAGGAACTGTCAAGAGCACAGCAAGTTCACACTGGCAGGTCAGAGAGCATGCATCTCCTGGGGAGGGAGCTCAGGTAAGGGGACAGAGCCTCACCATGTGCTCTCAGGTGGCAGTTTCAAGACCCCAGCTATTTCTTTGGACTGATCTCCCTACCTTCCCATGAGAATGAGCAACAGAATAAGGTGACCCAGCAAAATGACCCGTAAGTTCTGTGTGATTGTTTCAGCTCATGTTGGAAGATGGATAACTCGGAGACAGAGTTCAACCTGAAAGTTGTCTTGGTCAGTTTCAAGCAATGTCTCACGGAGGATGGGGAGGTGCTGCTGGACTACTACATCGCCAGCTGGAAGGGGCTGGTCAGGTGCGTGCCTGGGGCTACCTTCCTGTAGAGGGCCCAGCCAAGGATAGTGGCTGTTCTGGTCAGCGTCCACGTGCAGCTCTTGTATTCCACCTGGCACAGGACAGCGAGGGCCGGTTAACAGGCTGTTGTCACCAGCCTTCCTTTCCCTGCCTCTAGGCAGATGTGTGCTCCAGCAGGCTCAGGCTAGTGTCCCCTGCCCCTCAGGCTGGCAGCCCAGGGTCTGGGCAAGACCTCAAGCTTCCATTTCCCCACACAGGTTTTTGAACAGCCTGGGTGCAATCTTCTCATTCATCTCCAAGGACGTAGTCTCAAAGCTGCAGATCATGGAGCGCCTGCGGAATAGCCCACAACGTGAACACTACACCAGCCTGCAGTCCATGGTGGCCTACGAGGTGGGCAGCAAGCTGGTGGACATGAATCGCCGTTCCCGCCACCCCGACTCAGGCTGCCGGACTGTGCTGCGCCTACACCGTGCTCTGCGTTGGCTACAGCTGTTCCTGGAAAGGCTGCGCACTAGCCCAGAGGACGCACGCACTGCTGTGCTCTGCACCGACTCCTACAATGCTTCACTGGCTGCCTACCACCCCTGGATAGTGCGCCAGGCTGTCAGTGTGGCCTTCTGCACACTCCCCTCACGCAAGGTCTTCCTCGAAGTCATGAATGTGGGGACCCCTGAGCAGGCAGTAGAGATGCTGGGTGAGGCCCTGCCCTTCATCGGGAATGTGTATGACATCTCCCAGAAGCTCTACGCTGAGCACTCCTTGCTGGACTTGCCCTAGAGGCCAGTGCCCAAGTCGGGTGGGCTTCCCCTGCTCAGAGCTAGGCGAGGGCACCCTGGGGCCCACGTGATCCACAGCAAAACTTTCTGGATGTCACTGTCTCCTCTGTGAGCTGAGCTTGTTAAGTACCACAGGCTGTGGCAGGAAAGGCAGTGGGCACTGGACCAGGAGAGGCACATTGTAGCCATTCTCTTGGACCAGGATAAGACACCTGAGCCTCAGCTTCCCCCTCAAACCTTAGTTACTTGTATGTTCGGTCAGGCTTCACCTCCTGAGGTGGAGAAGGTGGGGGGTGGGAACAACTCGAGAGGTGGTTTCCCCACCACCTGTGGAATCTCTGAAATGGTGTGAGGTCACATATCTTTGGTGCCTAGAGGCTTTCTCTTCTCCCCAGCCCATGTCTATCCTTCCCATGCCTATCTCAGGCCCAGGACACAATAAGAACACAGCATCGGTACCAGGCGGGCAGCCCTGGGTTCATGTGACTTGACCCTCTTCATACTCCTCCATAACCTGAGTAGGATGAGAATCCTTGGGCTGTGGTCTGGGTGCTGGCGGCTCTCTCCCTGCCCTTTACCTGCCTCCTTTTTAGCTTCTCTGCATGCCGAGCAGACCTTGGCAGCAGCAACTAAGACCTGAAGCCCCAAGCCAGGGCGCCTTGAAAGTCCCAGGAATGCCTGCCTGGTTCAGGAAAGCAGCCTCTACAGCTTCTGAGCAGCATCAGCCTTCTGAGGGACATAGAAGGTGGTTTCCTGTACTTGTGCTTTTGCAGGGTGCCTCCAGCACCACCCAAGGCTCTGGCAAAGCTAGGCCTCACTCTCCCCAACCAGCACCCAGTGAGACTGTTTCTTCTCCCCTATTCTGTTGCCTCCGTCCACATGCTGCCCAGGAGAGAGGTGGAGTCTGGGCAGCATGTGGAGACTGGGCCCCCTTGCCTAGCTGACAGGCTAGGCAACCTGGACAACCATGCCCAGCCTGGCCATCACCCAGTACTTGGGGACCTGGCCTCTCCCATTGGCTCTTCAGACCCATGGGGACAGTGACTGCAGTGCAGCAGATAAGATATAAATGCAAGCTTTCAGGTATACCTGCTCCCTCCAACACTGATACAATGCGGTATTTTCCAACATAAATAAATTAAACTTACGGGACTGGGTATGGCAGTCCAGGATTGGGTTATTGGGGCACACCAAGCACCTGATTATCTGGGGGAGGGACATCAGGGTACCCAGCAAGGGTGAGGAGGGACCTACCCCAGTGACAGGACTGAGGCATGTACTTCCCAACCCCAAGGACTCAAAAAGCAATGTGAGCCATGGGGGTGAGAGGTGTGCCCAGTCAGTGGCCAGCACTCTGCTGCCATGTGCCAGTCCTGTAGTGCTTTAATTTGGCTTGGTCCCCCCAGCCATGAGATCTGAGTTACCCTATTTTATAGGTGAAAAAACGGACTCACCCAGGGTCACCCACCCTGAGGAGCTATACTGAAAGGGCAGACCTGAGACTGGCCAGCTGTGAGAGAGGAGAGGCCTGCAGGCGCTGGCTGGTGTCTGCCACACAGCAGCCTGTATAGAAAGAGGATGCACTTTGGGTGGGGTCCTCTTGGCCCACACCCAGCCAGGAACCAGAGTTCATGTGGTGCTGGCCAAAGCCAGTGACTAGGAGGGACTGGCCTGAGAGCAAGGCTGCAAGCCAAACTGAAAGAGTGCTGTGTTCGTTTGTGGTGTACACCTGTGTGTGTTGTACCAGAATTTGCCTTACAGGCCCCCCTCACAGGACAGCAGAAAGAGGCAAAAGCCAGTTTCCACAATCCAGAAAAGTCTGCCAGGCCCCAGCTGAAGTTGAGACTGCCCAGGCCCTAACCTCAGCAGGTCATGAGCCTCCCCTCAGCTCCTCTGGATGTGTCAGTGAGTGCTCTCCCTCTCCCAGATCCAGGCCAGGAGAGACAGAGTCAGCGCCAAGAAGAGGCTAAGAGGATGCTGTGCGCCCTCCCGCCACATGGACACACACCTGGTGCAGACAGCTGCACCAGCCTATTTGGTTATGGCCTTTCCTCTTTCGTTTGCATGGACCCCTCCTTCAGGACCAGCTGTGAGCTATCCCCAGAGTGGGGCACCTGCACACCCTCTGGGTAGCAGTGCCTGGGCTGGCCACAGGTTCCTGTGACTTCCAGGTGTCATATCCCTGGCAGGGGAACAGACCCTCAAGGTGTCCGACTTCCCAGAAAGTTCCAGAATGCCTGAGAGGCCACAGCCCCCAACCCAGAGTTCTCCCCATTCCAGCTATGCTGCAGAATTCTGACTGGCAAACCATCCACTGTCTCCCTGTCTACAGGCCTAGAGGGGCCTCCCCTGAAGCCCCCTAACTGCTGACACGCTGTCTGGAAACGACAGCCAGAACCCTCCAGGGGCTGGGGAAGTGATCCTGTGCCTATGAGAAGTCACTAGGGTACTGCTACCTCCTTGCCCCTCCCAGTCAGCTGAGACCCCAGAGCCCTGGATGCCCCTCTTCCCTCTTCCTCTCCTTCACAGTCTGCCAGGCTGCTTCAGGAATGGGCAGGTGGCACAATCAGTGACCACTAACAGCCTGTCTGTGATGGTCACTATTGGCCAGAGAGCCTAGTGGTCATGTCAGGATAAGGTTTGATGTGCACAAACCTTTAGGTCTGAGATACTGAAGATACTGCTTGGGGCCTCCTGGGGCTTGGCAGCTGAGCATGGCACTGGTTTTGCTAAACAAATCCTCTGCTCCCTCCCCCTTGGACCTACTACATCTGGAGCTCCTTCCCAGTCCACCCACATACTATCCCTGCTGCAAGCTGAAAGCTGCCATGTCAGGTCTGGCTGGCCTAGGCCTCAGCCTGGCAGCTCTCCTGGGCCTCGGGATGGGAGCCTCTTTGTGCCTGTCACGGCAACTTAGGGCAGAAGGGGACTATGTGCTGGGTGGGCTCTTCTCACTGGGCTTAGCTGAGGAGGGCAGCCTCTACCACAGGACGCAGCCCAATGGCATTGTGTGCACCAGGTACAGAAGCAGGCAGCTGGGGGTGGAGGGTGGTGCACAGGCTGGGTGCCCTCAGGTCTGTGGTACTCCTAACCTGGAGACGTGATGACCCTGTGTGGCCTCAGGTTCTCATCCCTTGGCCTGTTCCTGGCAATGGCTATGAAAATGGCTGTGGAAGAGATCAACAATGGTTCTACCCTGCTGCCCGGGCTGCACCTGGGCTATGACCTCTTCGACACATGCTCAGAGCCCATGGTCACCATGAAGCCCAGCCTCCTGTTCCTGGCCAAGGCAGGCAGCTGCAGCATTGCCGCCTACTGCAACTACACACAGTATCAGCCCCGCGTGCTGGCAGTCATCGGACCCCACTCATCAGAGCTTGCCCTCATCACGGGCAAGTTCTTCAGCTTCTTCCTCATGCCACAGGTGGGCCCACCTCCCTTTATGTCTCCCCAGGCAGCCCTGCCCACAGGATCCCCCACATCAGAATGTGCCTCTTGTCCACTGCAGGTCAGCTACAGTGCCAGCATGGATCGTCTGAGTGACCGGGAGACATTCCCTTCCTTCTTCCGCACGGTGCCCAGTGACCGGGTGCAGCTGGAGGCCATCGTGACACTGCTGCAGAAATTCAGCTGGAACTGGGTGGCTGCCCTGGGTAGTGATGATGACTATGGCAGGGAGGGTCTGAGCATTTTCTCAAGCCTGGCCAGTGCGCAGGGCATCTGCATCGCACACGAGGGCCTGGTGCCACTGCCCCGCACTGACAGCCAGCGGCTGGGCAAGGTGATAGATGTGCTACACCAAGTGAACCAGAGCAAAGTGCAGGTGGTGGTGCTGTTCGCCTCTGCCCGCGCTGTCTACTCCCTCTTCAACTACAGCATCCACCACCATCTCTCACCCAAGGTGTGGGTGGCCAGTGAAGCTTGGCTGACCTCAGACCTGGTCGTGACACTGCCTAACGTTGCCCAGATGGGTACTGTGCTTGGTTTTCTGCAGCGGGGTGTCCCACTGCCTGAATTCTCCCACTATGTGGAGACTCACCTGGCCCTGGCTGCTGACCCAGCTTTCTGTGCCTCGCTGGATGCTAAACCAGACCTGGGGGAGGACGTGATGGGGCCACGCTGCCCACAGTGTGACCATGTCCTGCTGCAGAACCTGTCGACCGGGTTGCTGCAGAACTTGTCAGCCGGCCAGCTGCACCACCAGATTTTTGCCACCTATGCCGCTGTGTACAGCGTGGCCCATGCCCTCCACATCACCCTGCAATGCAACACCTCGCACTGCAATGCAATGAAGACTGTGCAGCCCTGGCAGGTGAGGACTGGGTTTTAGTCTGTGCCTGCCCCTGCAGGAGTACGGAGTCACCAGGCAGGGCAAAAGCCTGTCTTGGCTGGAGTGGCTCACGGGTTACCCTTGCCCCTACCCCAACCCCAGCTCCTGGAGAACATGTACAACATGAGTTTCCATGTCCGAGGTCTGGAGCTACGGTTCAATGCCAATGGTTATGTGGACATGGAGTATGACCTGAAGATGTGGGTGTGGCAGAGCCCAACGCCTGTGTTGCACACTGTGGGGGCCTTCAATGGCAGCCTTTGGCTGCAACTCTCACAGATGTGGGGGCCAGGCAACCAGGTGGGTGCAAGGCACATGGGTCACCATCACACAGACGCCCCCATAGCTAAGCAAGCCTCAGAGGCTTTGGGCATCTCTGGTTAGTGAAGAGAGTCTGACGGGAAGCCCCATGCCCAGGTACCAGTGTCACAGTGCTCCCGCCAGTGTGGGGATGGCCAGGTTCGCCGAGTAAAGGGCTTCCACTCCTGCTGCTATGATTGCGTGGACTGCAAGGCAGGCAGCTACCGGCAGAACCCAGGTGAGCTACCTTCCTGAGACAGCCTAGACTGGGGAGGGTTCCCACTGAGCCATGACTCTGAGGCTGATGCTGATGCTGGAGCCTATGGCAACCAAGCTGGGGAGTCTATGTCGCTCAGCACCAGCCCATTCTCTCCTCTCTTCCTGCAGATGACCTTATCTGTACCCCATGTGATCAGGACCAGTGGTCCCCAGAGCGGAGCACACGCTGCTTCCCCCGCATTCCCAGGTTCCTGGCCTGGGGGGAGCCAGCTGTGCTGTTCCTACTCCTGCTGCTAGGCCTGGTGCTGGGCCTGGTGCTGACTGCCCTGGGGCTCTTCATCTGTCACAGAGACAGCCCACTGGTTCAGGCCTCAGGAGGGCCCCTGTCCTGCTTCGGCCTGGCCTGCCTGGGCCTCTTCTGCCTCAGTGTCCTCCTGTTTCCAGGCCGGCCAGACCGGGCCAGCTGCCTGGCCCAGCAGCCACTGCTCCACCTCCCACTCACAGGGTGCCTGAGCACCCTCTTCTTGCAGGCAGCTGAGATCTTTGTGGAGTCGGAGCTGCCGCTGAGCTGGGCAACCTGGCTGCGCAGCTGCCTGCAGGGGCCCTGGACCTGGCTGGTGGTGCTACTGGCCGTCCTGGTGGAGGCAGCACTGTGTGCCTGGTACCTGGTGGCTTTCCCACCAGAGGTGGTGACAGACTGGAGGGTACTGCCCACAGAAGCACTAGTACACTGCTACATGCACTCCTGGGTCAGCCTGGGCCTGGTGCACATCACCAACATCACACTGGCTTTCCTCTGTTTCCTGGGCACCTTCCTGGTGCAGAGCCAGCCTGGCCGCTACAACCATGCCCGGGGCCTCACCTTTGCCATGCTGGCCTACTTCATCACCTGGATCTCCTTTGTGCCCCTCCTGGCCAACGTGCAGGTAATCTACCAGCCAGCTGTACAGATGGGTGCCATTCTGCTCTGTGCCCTGGGCATCCTGGCCAACTTCTACTTGCCCAAATGCTACCTGCTTCTGTGGCAGCCGAAGCTCAATACCTCTGAGTTCTTCCTAGGAGGGAGTCCCAGGGCTGCTGGAGATGCAGGTGTCAGTGGGAGCAGGGAAGGGATTCAGGGACACAACCACGACCCTGACCCAAACCAGTGACCTCACCCCCAGTGAGCCCAGTCCTAGTAGCGATCCCTCCATCCCAGCAACCCCTAGACTGCCCTCCACTGAGATCCTCCAGTCCTAGGCTTTGACCCCACAGTGACCCCTAGGCCTGTAGTATGCAGGACGGGCCCGGTGACCCCACCCACATCCTCTCAGAGGCAGGCTCTAAACTTGACCCAAGTCTGCCCAGGTAGCAGGGACCCACTGTTCTCCAAGTTGGCCCCAGAGTGTGTCTTGGAACCCTGTGGCCACACCCTAAACTCAGGAAAGACCTGGCCAGACCCTGGAACGTCAGACAGGGTAGTACTCACCTGGTTGTGCCCAGTCTGGGGCTCCCTCCCAGCACCCGTCCAAGCATCACAGGAAGGGATGGCTGGGCATGAGCAGCCAGCGGTGCAGAGGTACACTTGGGATGAAGGGTAGCACCCACCTGTCTTTCTCCCTGGTCCTACCCTAGTTGGCCAGAGGGAAGTGTGCCACCACCAGCACCTCGGACAGGGCCCGGGCAGAGGTGGGGGTCAGCACCATGGCTAGCGCCAGCCAATGAGACCCCTAGAGTCAGGTGACAGGACCAAGGACAGAAAGCTTCCCAGCATGACCCTACTGCTGGCCAGCCCAGGAAATAGAGCCACGTGACTGAGGTGTATCTAAGGATAGCACCTGTCCAGCTGGAAGCAGGGCCTCAGGTCAGAGACCCCCAGGGTCCAGGGTCAACTCTGGACCCACACACACACCTGAATCCTGGACTGGTGCAGCAGGGAAAAAGGACACACATCAGTCCCATAAAATTAAATGCATTTTAGTGTTTAAAATAGCATTTACACAGAAGCAGCATTTACACAGAAGCAGCTCTACAGGAACTAGCCAGACGCTCAAACTTTGACACAATATCTACAGTGCAGACGGTGGGGCTGCCATGCCAGGAAGGCAGCAGCATGTGTGGGTGGGTGACCACCAAGGACTGCAAGGATGGGACAGGTCCTCCCTAGGACCCCAACCCTGCAGCATCTGCGCCCTGGACTGAGGGCCACGCGCAGTGCACAGGTGCCTGGCCACTCTCCTGTCTCCCCAACTGACTGTCCTCCACACATTCTGTCACGGCTTGTGTCCCCCACATTTGCTCTGAGTCCCAGGAGGGGGGAACATGCAAACTGCCTGAGCTGGGTGACCGGCTGCCGCCCCCAGACCAGGCAGGCCAACAATAAATAAATAAGTTACACCCCCTCAGGAAGCCAGAGGGGCCTGTGGGCTACATCCTACCCCTTGAAGCCCCCTGGGCCTAATGGGCAAGGCCTATGAACTGTGGGGGGTGAGTGTTTGATCCTGGTTCAGTCTGGGGCCCTGTGCACAGCTCTAGGAGAGTGGGGGACAACATGGAACCCAAGAGGGTCTTCCTCACCCTGGAGGGGGTCACACCCAAAGGAGAAGTCAAGGGGTTCCTGAGGCTCTTGCTAAGGGGCAGGTCAGGCCCGCCTCAGGACAGCGATGGCCCCCCCATGAGGGTCTGCAAGGATACAAGCTGCTCTACCACCAGGAGCAGGCAGGATGCCAAGTCCAACCATGGGATTATGGCTGCCCTCAGCCCCTCTCCAGCCTGTTCCCACTGCCCAGGCCCCACAGCTGACCTGTCCCAGCTGGCCGCCACTAAGGCAAGCCTACAGAGCTCCCAGTACAGCACAACCACGGACTTCCCCTGCCTCAGGCAGGGCTGAAGGCACTAGCCGCTGGTTACATAATGTCCACAAAGAACTCGCAGGGATTTCCCATGGCCTTCTGGAAAGACTGGCGGCTGCCTGTCAACTCTGGGGGGACAGCGGCCAGCTCCCGGACAGGCGGCCCCCCAGGTGGCCCGCCCACCACTGTGTAGGCCTTTGTCAGGGGGTGCAGTGGGGGGAGCCCTGGGGCAACAGCTGAGGCCTGGCTGCGAGGGCTGCTGCCACGGCTAAGCTGGCTGACTGGACGCTCCCGCCAGCCAGTGCCACCTGACCCACTCAGTGCCGTGTGGTCCGATTCACTGCCACTACCCCCAGCTCCGGCTGCCCGGCGCTCCTTCTCTCGGCCCGGGGCCCGACGACTGCTCCGGGTGGACCCGCTGCTTTTGCTCCCTGGAGTTAAGAAGGGAGAGAGTGACGACAGGGTCAGCACCAGACCTGACCACTTCTAGGACCACCAGCTGCTCCCAGACAGCCAGGGCAGAACCAGGTGGGCCAAAGCAGGCAGAGTGGGAGGGATGACCATGCAGACACAGGGCAGGGCTGGCTCTGCTCCAGAAGCAGGAGTAGCTGAGAGGCAAAGGGAGAGGGCAGTGGCAGGCAGCAGGGACACTAGGGGCCAGCATGGCACCCTATACCTCACCCCAATGCTTGAATCAAGGGCTAATCTTACAACCAAGAAACTGAGGCACCAGTAAAGGCCATGTATGCTGGTGCTCCCGTCAGCCATCCTGGGTACCCCACCTCCCAAAGACCCACTGTCCACCCAACCCCAGGGCCCTGGCCATCTAATTGGCTCAGTCACTGGGATCCCAGGAAGTGGTAGGAACCTGAAGACATGGGCTGGCTGGGGACATGCTGAGAGGAACATTGGGGGACCCTGGCTTACCGGCCCGAGGGTCCACTCTGCTAGTCCTTCAGTCTAAGGCTTGCTCAGCACAAAGCAAGGGATAGCACGAGTCACACACCAGCCCAGTGCTTGCCTGCTGCCCACTGGGCCAAGTGCAGGCCAGGTTGGGCTTGGGTGGGTTCAAGGGTCTGTCCAGGGTCCAGAGACACCCAGTAGCTTCCCCTCAGATACCACCACCCCCTGGCCCACCTCTCCTCTCTCCCATCCTCTGGGTGCCCTCGGCTGGCTGCTTGTATCTCTCTCAAGAGCACTGTGCCCCTTGAGTCTTGGCCTCTGCTCCTTGGGGATGCCCATCTTCCCAGCTCTTTAATACTCCTAGGATATGCTCATCTGTGGCGGTGCTCACTGTTTTAGTCTGACTTCCTGCTAGAGTACAGGTGCCATGGGAGATGGAGCCTTTCCTCCCCTATGTCCTGGAACCTGGAGAGTGACCCTGCTTGAAACCCTCCACTACTCCCATTCCCACAAGACCCTTTGCCACACCATCTCCTGCCTTTTACCTCTGCTGCCTGGAATACCACCTGGAACATCTGCCCCCATCAGCCTCCCTGCTCCCTAAGGCTCCTCTCCACTTAATCAAGGTGAGTCCCCACATGCCAGCTCCCTGTGCCCCCATGCCAGCTCCCTGGAGGGGGCCTACCAGGGCCCAAGCACACAGCAGGAGTGCAGGGGGCAGCAGCAGGGCAGGGCAGAGCCAGGGAGCAGGCAGCACAGGTGGGGCTGGCCAGGCTCTCACCTTCACTCTGCTGACTCCCGGCGCTGCCACTGCCATAACTGAAGCCAGGATCTTGGTAGGCAGGCGGGAAGCAGGGCGGGGGCCCAGGGTACTGGTAGGGGTAGCCCTGACCCAGGGGCCAGGGTGCAGGTGGGTGGGGCAGCGGGGCCAGGGTGTCCTGATCCGAGGCTCCACTGGAGCCACTGTTGAGGTTCAGAGCTGCGAGATCTGGCAGGTAGGAAACATAAGATGAGTGAGGGTGAGTCAATGGGCCCTCAGGTGGCCCCCATCCCATGGTCCCCACTCACTGCTGCATAGGTCCCCGAAGACATAGTAGCACTGCTCAGAGAAGGTGATCTTGTTGACAGTGTGCCGCAGGAAGCCGTGCTTCAGCATGCTGCTGGCGTACTTTCTTGCCTCCCGCCGCTCTCTGAAGCCCTCCACATGTGTGTACAGCCAGTCCACCACGTCAGCCCCTGGCCACACACCCACCAGAGTCAGGCCAGCAGAGAGCCCTGGGCAGCCCCATTGGGTTGAAGAAGGACCTGGGACCCACTCCCATGGCCGGCAGCGAGGACTCACCAATGACAGCATTGGCAATGGTGATCTTGAGCCACATGCGGTCTCGGATCTCCAGCCCCGAGTCCGGCAGCTGCATGACTCGGACGATGGCACCCATGTCACTCTTCACAGTCAGGGGTGCCTCCTCCAGTTCTGCAAGACACAGACCCCCTTCAGCCCTCAGCAAGCGGCCAGTAGGCAGGGACTGGGCTCTGGGCCCAAAGCTTGGAAACTGCCCCACAATGGGATCAGGAGTGGACAAGGAACAGGGGGATTGGCTCTTCCTCTCCCACCCTACAGATGCCTCCCTTCAGGATTTTGGGCCAAAACTAGGGCGAGGCCACCCCTACCCCACAAGCCAATGCCACACGAGCAGGCCGGACCTCCTCCTCTCCCCACATCCACCTCCCCTGCAAGCTTGGGGCTGTTAGTTGTGTTAGTGGCAGGAAAGCAGAGCAGGGGCCACACATGTCCTCCCACCCCTGCTTAGCACACCCCTGGCAGGGCTTCTCCATGCTTCCAGACAGGGAGTGGGACTGGGCCATTCGAGGTGTGCACACATCTGTGCAGGGTGCTGGGGACAAATATACCATGTATCATGGACCCCAAAGACAGCCACATGAGCACCAAGGCTGGAGGCTGGAGCAGACCCTCGCCCTCGAGCCTGTTTCTGACTGGGGCTCTCACAAGCTACCACTTACGTGGGGCGCCGGGCACTGAGCTGGTTAGTGAGGAGGAGCTGGTGCGTGTGATGGCGCTGGAGCAGGGGCTCGTACCATAGCGGGGCAGGGCGCCTGTCAGTGCCGCCGTGTGGGACAGCCAGGCAGCTGGGTCGATGGGCCGCACCGGGTCAGCTGGGCAGACACCGTGTGACAACAGATGATGGGCGATGGAAGGTGGAGGGCACAGCATAGGGGCAGAGGAAAGAGGCCCTTCAGGCTGGGTTCTGGCACCCCACCCCACCCCACCCGCTCTGCGGGGTCACTCACCCCTCGGGATGGTAAAGTAGCTCCGAGGGGTCGGGTCCCAGCACTTGGCCACTGTGAGGCTGATGGGTCTACAGGGCGGGTGGGTCACATGGGTGAGGCCCGGCATGGTCCCTCCCACTCCACGCCCCTCACACCCCCATGTGGACCCCCCTCACCCCGTCTGGGACACGATCTCCCGCAGCACCCGCACAGCATCATCGTTGCTCATGTTCTCAAAGTTGACATCATTCACCTGGAAGGGTTGGGTGAGTCAAGGGTCAGCAGTGGGGTAGGGGTGTATCTTGGCCCCCAAGATCCCAAGGACCGCACCTGCAGCAGCATGTCTCCTGGCTCGATGCGGCCATCAGCGGCCACAGCCCCGCCCTTCATGATGGAGCCAATGTAGATGCCACCGTCTCCCCGGTCATTGCTCTGGCCCACGATGCTGATGCCCAGGAAGTGATGCCTCTCTGCAGGAGGTGCTGTGAGTGGGCCCCACAGATCCCAGCCTGCACCCACCCCCACCCAGGCCTACCAGCCCTGTGAGGCCTCACCCATGTTGAGCGTGACGGTGACGATGTTCAAAGACATGGTGGAGTCAGTAATGCTGCTGAACGAGGAGGCCTGTGGAGGGACCCGGTGAAGGGCTGTGGCCAGGCACTGTGCCAGGCACAGAAACCCTACCAGCCCTACTGCCTACCCGGTCCGTCTGCCTCAAGCGCTGCTTCCGCCTCCGGCGCTTGTGTTTCCGAATAAGCCGGGAGGAGGTGCTCTGCTCAGTGGAGCTGCTCAACCTGGGGGACAAGAAACCAGAGGTCAGAGAGGTCAGAGGCATGGACTGGGGAGTCAGAGCTGCTCCCCAAAGTATAGCTGGCTGACCCTAGGTAGCACAGACCAGGATGCTGGGCACTACACCCCAGGTCCCACACACACAGGTATACGTGCAGACCCCATGCAGTAGGTAAGCACAGGACACAAGCATGTGTAATCAGCCTGCCACTGCACACACACTCACACATGTGAACCCCTAGCACACAGACACATGCACACCCAGCCCACCGGCTTGTGTTGTCCTCCTCATCTGAGTCGATGAAGCTGCTGGACTCGAGCTCGCTGCTCAGTGCAGTGGATGCGCTGTCTGGGGGAAGCCCCAGGTCCCGCCGTCTTGGGTGCCCATTGGTTCGGGTAGCTGTGTGAGCAGCAGGGTGGGAGCTGACCATAGGGCTTCAGCGGCCACAGGGTCAAGATAGCCTGTGCACTTCAAGCTGCCAATCATTTGAGAGCTGCAGAATGACTATGGTGGGAGGTGGAGATGCGCACCAGGCCTGGGGCCTCTACCCAGGGACCTCCGCTGCTTGAGGGGAGTGTGGAGTGTTGGTTTGGGGTAAACTATGAGGTTCCAGGAAGGGTTGGGCTCCAGGTCTGGGCAGATGGCCAAAGTACCCTCTTCACGGTTCCGACGCCGGGCTCGTTCCCGCCGGTGACTGAGCATGGACTCTGTGCCTGTTTCATTGTCCATTCCATCGCGGCTGCTGGCCACATTTGGACTGTGGAGAGAAGCAAGTGGGATAGGGCAGGCCAGGTAGTCCTTGCCCCTGTGCCACGTGAGGCCCCAGCTCCAGCAGGCATCCCCTACCCACTGAGGGCCCCTCCCTCCCGTGGCCAGACCCTTTCCTCACAGATGGGCCTTGGGCAGCACGCACCCAGGAGCAACAGGGTTCTGCATCCCCAGAATCTTTCTTACTGGAAAGATGGGGGCCGGGAATCCCCGATGCCACCTGTCCGCTCAAGGGGTGGGGGCAGGTCCGTGTGGCTGTCAGTGCCCTGGGATCCTGCATCCGAGTGAGCACCCTCAGCTAGGACCAGCTGTGGAGGGAGAGTGAGGGATCAAATTCCTGCTGGTCTCTAGACCACCCCTGCAGGGTACCCAGGGCAGGTGACCAGCTCCTCTATCCTCCCCTCCCCCAGCTTGCTCCTTCTCCCCAGGAAGAGTCCCCACCCCTGTGACCCTGGGTGGGGTCACCCACAGACTCACCCAGGAAACCACTCGTCCATTGAAGCAGGGCAGCTTGGCGTTATCATCAAAAATCTCCTCCTTCACCACCCTGTGGGTAGAGACAGCTAGCTATGAGACCACCTGGGGCCTGACCCCCCAGGCTCTAGAGGTGACCCCCACCACTGGACCTGGAGAACGGGGTGTCCACCACACCACAGATATCATCTGTGGGGGCCCCACCCAGCACAGTCTCCTTAGAGACCCTCGTCACTCTCCATTGACCTCAGGCCCTGGCCCCAGCCACCCTGCCAACACTGGGGATAGGGGCTATGGATGGATAATGGAGGGTCAGCCCAAGTTTCCATTCACCTCCAGGGTTGGCCTCCAGTCCTCCCACCCCTGTGGGGGATGGAAAGACAAGGTAAAGGGCTCTTGGGAAAGGCCCTGCTCCTTAGCTTCCCTCCCTTTCCCTGGTTCCAGGCTCCATCTCAGGCCTATCTCCAGCCACACACACCCCTCCTGAGGACCCCAACAGCTGCCTCCCCATGGAGTGCAGCACTCAGGGCAGCTCCAGGGCCTGTTTGCAGCCTCTCTATCTCATGGTTGGCAGATTATCAATTCAGGTGCTTAGGACTGTCCCACAGTTATTCTCTAACCCACACCCCAGAGCCACCATACATCCTGTGGGCTCTAATTTCAGCCATTTCCACAAGGGCCTCTGCCTAGTCCAACTCCGCATTCATGCAGTTGCACAAGAACAGCAGGTCTCAGACTACCACCCAGCCCTCAAGACTAGGATGGGTTCCTCTCCCAACCCCTGCCCACCACACCCCACTCTGTCCCTCTCCAGAGCATCCAGGGGTCCTGGCCCACATGATGTGCATTACACTCTGCTCAGTACCTGTGAGCCCCTGGAGTTTTCCCCCGCATAGCACAGCACGCAGGTAGGCCATGAAAGCACACAGGATCTGCTGCTCTTGTGGTCCATTCACCCAGCCAGGGGACAAGACAGACCCTGTGCACTAGACCAGCGTCAATTCTCAGGGGGCCATGATCTCCCCTGATCTGAAGCCCTGGAAGGGCAGCCAGGGACAGAGCAAGCCAGCTGCATCCACTGACCAACACTCAGCTCTACCCTGTCTTAATGCTTCCCTGGTTAGATAGCCTGGGGAGTGGCTGAGGGCACCGAAGCAGGGCACAAGGGTCGGGGAACACAAACCGAGAAGGAGGTCAGATTACCTAGGGTCAGAATTCAAAGGAGGGGCCAGCTGGACAGGGACTGTGGTCTCCAACTGTGGCCTCTGAGACCCAGATGCCCCACCCCTCATGCTCAGACCTGCCAAACACAGTGGGATTTTCCATGCCTGGGACTTGGGTCCAATGAAGAAATGGGAGCCGGAAGACTAGGCTGGGCCTGAACACGCACCTGGCAGGAAGCAGCCTCATGGCCCAATGGGCCTAGTGCCAGGGGCAGGGCCTCCCCTGCCTGCCAATCCAGGTCCACTGGTCCCAGATACCTCCTCACAGCCTGTCCTGGGCAGCAACAGGTGGCAGAAGTCCTTGGAGGACTGACACCGTCATCCCACCCAGTGAGTAAGACCCTGTTCCACCCACCCATTGGGAGAAGGCCTAGAGTAGAGTAGACCGCAGCAACAGGGCCAACCTGGAAGGGAAGCACACCCCACTCAGCCCTCTATGGTCCTGCCACTGCCTCCAAGTGCCTCTGAGGGCCTCTTACCAATGAGATGGGACTCCAATAGCAGAATGAGTCATTTATCAGCAACCCCCAATGTCTGCTACCCCCCCTCACAAGTCATGGTCCTGTGGAGCTGGACTGACTGCCCAGGAAAGGCTAGACCCTCTACACCAGACCTGGGCTAAAGCAGCCAGTCTAGAGGCTGTCACCACAGGAAAACCTGGAACTGCCCAGGGAGGGGACAGAAAGCGCCTACAGTACCTGGGGCTCTGCCCATAGAAGCCGATGGGCCAAGTGCCATCTCTGAGTAACCTCACCACAACAGAGACCCCAGCAAGAATCCCTGCCTCAGCCCCCAACTTTGGTCCCCGAGCCCATCAGCAGCCTCTCCCAACCACACCCAGCCCCAGCCCTGTCTGACTCACCATGGGAAGACAGATGAGCCACCCCAACACCCATGGGAGGGCCTCCCCAGCAGGCACTGCCCTCCCCATCCAGACAGCCCAAGTCCCAAGCTAGGGTCTTGAGGTGATGCAGGGCACCTGAGGTCTCTGCCTCCTTCACTTACCTGGACACCACTACAAGGCCCAAAGGCCCTGCTCCCTTGGATGCCCTCCCCAGCCTGAGGAACTCAAGCCCTTCACCAAGTGTCAGGGTGAGAAGGACCAAGGGTCCAGGACAGCAGGGAGAGGGATAGACCAGCCCAGATCCCAGGAAGAGCCCTGTGCCTCCCGACCCTGGCCAGAGCCCCCAGGGCAGAGGCAGGAGTGGTCCCCACAGTGTGATACTACCCATAGTCACAGCACAGCCTCCTGATGATCCCAGGCGTCTCATGTGCCTGGGCTCTCAGGAGGGAGGTAGGCCTTACAATGGTCTCTACTAATTCTCCCTTGTCAACCCAAGGCAATCCTGCCGGCATTTTGCCCCCAACCTCAGAATTCCTAAGGAGATTCTGGTTAGCCTCCAACTTGTGGTTTTTGGACTCCACCTACTGCCCTTGCAACCCGCCCCAGGGAGGAATCTGCTCAAAGGCAGGGCCCTTGGAGCCCAGCACAGCCTAGTCAAGAAGGACCCCAGGACTCCTACAGACCACAGCATAACACCAGTCACCCTCCCCAGGGATGCAGCCCCTAGTAAGCCCCATCCTCCCCTATAGAGTTAGAGGCTGATAGAACGAGCTGGCATAGGGCATAGAGGCATCTTGAGCCCCCAAGGAGCCCAGCAAGCCTTAGCCTATTGCCTTACCGGCCAGCAAGCATCTACCACCAGCTACTGACCAGATACTCCTCTACCAGCCACCCACCAGGCAGCACTGATGCCCTGGAGCTGAGTCCCTCCACAGGTTCAGAATGTGTGGCCTTGAGTGTCCCCAAGCCCTGACAATGCACTATAACTGCCTACCAACACCATAAAAGCACACAAGGCACAGAGAGGCTGAGTTACTGACCCCAGACAGCATAGCCAGGGAGGGCTGAGTTGGAGTTCACTCAGACAGTCTGGACAAGTAGCTGAACACATGGTCCCACGAGGGCATGGGGAGCCCTCAACACATCTGTTCCACAGACAAGGGACCACAGAGCCTAGGGCTCCCATCCACCATGACCCTTGGTCACCCCATCTTAGAGGTAGAGAGGCTGAGGCCACCACCAAGAAGCTCAGATAAGTGTCAGGTCCAGCACGCTAGCACCAGTGACATGCCCCTGGTCCTCAGGACCAAGAGCCAAATGCCCTCAGTGCCCTGCCTCAGAGGCTACCCTGCATTGACAATCACAAGACCAACACAGGATACCTCTGTTGGGTCCACCAGAGGCCTAGGGATCTTGCCCTAAGCCGTGGCAGGTCCTAGGTCAGAACTACCATAACCTACACATGAAAAGTTGGGATGGAGGGGAACACTCACCCACTTGGCCAAAGATATGTATGGGGAGCAGGGACCCAGCCCAGGGTAGACTGCTCCTTACTAGATGACCAGCTGTGGTCTGGCACAGAAGCTCAGGAACAGTAAGCTGGGGAGTTGGGGCAAGAGATCCAGACTCACTAGGGCACTCCTCATAGCTTCCAGTCTGAGGCCACCCTTGGGACCACTGCACAGCTCAACCAGGACCTGCCTTCCCTTCCCCCAACATCAATCTACTTTCACTTGATATCCAGGGAGAACTTCCAGCTCAGCTCTTCTTTACACTATAAAGTGTGACAAACTGACTAGCCTCTGCCCTAGGAAATTTATCCACTGAATAAATGATTCTGTAGGCTAGATAGAGCCTGGAGCTCTTCAGACAGGATTCAAGCAAGTAGAAAAGGGAAGCAGTTGATGGAGGTCTTGAGGTCTTCTGTCAGGCTCACTAGGTCATCAGTCAGAGGACTAGGGAGGAAACAAGGCAAGACCCCTTGTTCTGTCTGCTCACATGCCTTTCTGTATCACCCAGCCCTGCCTCCACCTGTCTCCCAACTTTCCTGCAAATCTGAGGTCCCCAAGTTGCACCTCTAAGTTCTCTGTTGGCTCCCTGCCCCACACCCAGTCATTCCCAAGCCTGCTCAAACATCCAAAGATATTGTTCCTGCTCAAAACTCAGATCTGCTCCCTACCTCCTAGGTCAGGACACCCACAGGCCCTCCAAGTCCACCCACAGGTACGGCTCTGCTGGAGTACATGTGGGGTGGAGCTGGACTGTCTCTTCCTGGCATCCCCTGATGGATCAGGAGCAGAATGCAGTGGGTCAGGAGCAGAGTTCAGGGTCCTCTCAGGAGGCTCCGAGAGACGGTCTGGGCATGCTCCTCACCATGCACTCCCCGGTGAAATCAACTTGTGATAGAAAACATCTGTGACTTTGGTGATTTTTGCTAAAATAATAAACTAAGTTAAAAACCAAAGCGTCCAGGGCTGGTGGCGTGGCTCAAGTGGTAGAGCACGTGCCTAGCAAGTGTGAGGACCTGAGTTCAACCCCCAATGCCACCAAAACAACAACAGCAGCAAAACAACAAAACAAAGTGTCCTTTCACACACTGAATGCTCAAAGCCAGGGATGTCCAGGGCCAGAGGAGTAGAGACCATAGGAGATTGCCCAGCCAGGGGAGGGAGGGAGGACCTGTCTCTAGAGCAAGCTCCCTCAGCTCTGAACTCATGCTGGGCACCAGCACTCAGCCTTCAGACTGCACAAAATGCCCCCTCCTTTGCTTCTTCCTTGTTGTGGGGGCTGGGTGGGTAAGAGAGTCCAGTTGTCCAAAAGACACCCCACCCCTGTAGCCAGAACCACTGAGTGGCCCAAGTTTGACCTGATTCAGTTTGACCTGACACAGGGCTGCCCAAGGGACCATGCAACCACAGAATCCAGGAAATGGCCTCAATGTCAAAGTCCCAACATGCAGCCATACGCAAGGACATGGCTTGCCTGCGGGCTCTGGGTGCACCTGCTCCACCCACAGGGCCTGAATACCCTCCTCCCCCAGCACTGCTGAGCAGTGGACTCGGGTTACTGTGGCTGTACCAGGTCAGGCCTCTAGTGGACAACCAGTGCCCTGCTCCCTGTCCCAGAGGCCCAGCTCAGCACAAGTGGGAAGTCCCTTCTCCTGTGACAGCCACCAGGCCAATACAGCTAGGATACACTGGCCCAGAGGCTGACACCTGGGCTCCTCCCAAGAATGCTAGTGCTGTGTGGCTCAGTAGGGACAGACCAACAGTCAGGAACCTCAAGACAGGGGAGCTGGGGTGAAGCTCCAAGATCCTCAGGTACTCTTGACCTCTACCCTGTCATAGGGACCCTAGAGGAGAGGACCAGGATGAACCTGCTTTTAGCCTCCTGAAACTTCTCAAGTCCCAACAAACAGATGGAAGTCCCTGTCTCAACCAGCCCACATCCTCCCACTCCAACTAGGGACCCCACTGGGTGCTAGGATCTGGCTCACCCCCACTTCTCCTCTTTGACCCTTCCTGACCCCACCCTACCCCAAACTGCACATACCACCCGCCCCCCACCCCCCCAGGCCAGCCCTGAGCCCTGGGATTCCCAGCCTCAAGAAAAGAAATGCAGCAGACCCTGAGCCTGACCAGAGCCAAGAAAGGGGCTGTGGGTTTGGGGTGGCCCTGGGCATACAAGCAGACCTGGTCAAGAAGCCAGGCCCCTCACCTGTCAATCGTCCAGAGCTGGCAGTCAGAACCCCAGGGTCCCCAGCTCGGCAGACAGGTGGGTGCACACACTGACAAGAGCCACCAAGAGGTTCACGCAGACCCAGACCCTGCCCACACCCGGTGCAAACGTGCAGCAGGGTCGCCGGCGCCCGGGGGCTTGTTGACAGCCCCAGACCCCAAAGCCCTGCCTACGCAGACAGGTGCCCACTAGTGTCCGCGCGGGGTCTGGTCGGCGCCGGACGCGCTCCCGAAAGGGCCGGCACGCCCGCCCAGGCCTTGCGGCCCACTGACCCGAAGTCCTGGTCCATGGACTTGAAGAAGAATTTGTAGGCGTGCACGGGCCGGTTGCTGAGCACGTTCTTGAAGTCGGCCAGCGTGACGCGCTCCGGCGCCACCGGCAGCTTGACCAAGTACGGCGTCTCCTCTTCATCCATGTGGTAGATGATCTTGGTCTCCGCCATGGCGCGCGGACGGCGGCGCGGGGTCCGCGCAGCGTCAGGGCCCGGCCCGCGGCTCGGACGCGGGGCGCGCTCCCCGCCGCCGGCCGCGCCCCGCCCGGCCGCGCCGAGGTCCCCGCGCGCGCCCGCCCTGACCGGCTCCGGCTCCCGCCCGCGCCCCGGCAGTTGCCTCGCGGCCTACGGCCGCCCATCCGCCGCTGGCCCAGGAGCGGGCGCGAAGGACGCAGGTCGAAGGGCCGCTGCTGCCCGCCGCCCCCTCGGGCCGTTCAAGGATCGCCGGGCTGGCCTGAGTGCTCTGCCGTTTGGGGGCACCCGAGAGCCGGTGACGTCACCGGCAGCCCGCGGCGGGGGCGGAGCAAAACTGCGCACGCGCAGGACGGGCGGGGCGGGGCGCGCGGCGCGGGCGGGGGAAAGGGGTGGAGTTCGGGGGCGGAGCAAATCCGGGTGCGCCGGACGTGGAGTCTACGCTCGCGCAGTCTCTCCAGTCACTGGCCCAGGCGCCGAGCGTCTCTCCCTGCGCTCCTGGCCAGAAATTCCAACAGACGCGCCGGCTCTAATCCCGGCACGGGCCTGGGTTTCGGCCAGTGGGCAGATGGGAGCGCCTTCCCCCGGCAGGCGAGGGCACCTTCAGGAGTCCCCCGTCCCCACCTGCGCGTCGCGCCTTTAGGGGTTGGAGCAAGACAGTGTCCCGACCACGCCACGCCCCCGAACCCAAGATCCGCCGCGGCGCACGGAAGTGTCTCCGAACTGGTCTCGGTCCTCCACTCTCTCCCGGAGGGTCTGGGTGCCCAGAGTCCGGAGGCCCCCGACTACTCTGGCGGGCTTCGAGGCGCTTCGCAGGAATCTGATGATACTTATGTCCGGCCTGTGACAGCGAGAGTCGGCCACTGCGCTCCGCATCAGCCCCAAGCTCGTGCGCTTCCTGGTTCCTCGGGAAACCAGGTTCCTGATCCAGGAAACTCGGACCGAGTGAATGCAGGTGTTCGCGTGGGTAAGGGAGCTCGTGTGGACTCGAGCGTGCACAGTGTGTAGGATGCAGCAGTTGAAGCCAAAAGGATTTTTGCCCTGGCCACTGTAGATCTAACCACCCAGGGAACCTCCACGGAGCAAGGGAGACCCATGGCGCCCCTCGGGTTGTAAAGGGTTCGAATAGCTTCAAGCTATTCGTCCCTGATTCCAGGAGGAAGATATGAGGCCACCAGAGGGAGTCCCATGCTAGCCTGAGTGAGGAGGGTAAGGAAGTCCCTAAATTGTGTGGAAGTGACTGGGTGAGGCCTCTAGTGACCTGGGACTCTCCCCATCTGTTTGGTCATGAGCATCCTCAGGCACTGGGTCAGCACAAGGAAAGACCCCATCACTGCCTGGAGGATACAGAAGTTGGACAAAAGTCCTTGAATGGAGGCTAGAGGCCACCCCAAGTCAGTCTAGCCCAAGAGTCTTGCCCCTGCCCCCTAATCTCTTATGGATGGGGCCACCAGGGGTCTGCTGTCCTAGCCACCCACCTGCAGCTGGGCCCATTCCCTTCCAGTCTTATTTTGTGTAGCGGGAAACCTGAGGAAGCCAGGCAAGATGACCTTGGAGGGTCTGACCCTAAAAAGGTTCTCTGCTATTGCCCAAGAAAGAAAGTAGCCAGTCCCTTTCCTCAAGCCAGACACTTAACGGTGTCTTCTTGTCAGAAGAAATGGCACTCAGATGCCAGGATCTGCAACCCAGCTGCCCTGGGTTCCCACCTGATGCTCAGCCCAAGTTGTACTAGAGAGGCTGGTAGGTAGGAGCCCTGCCAAGGAGGGCTGGGTGTGAGGCCAGAGCTCTAAGCCCTTGAAAGAAGTGCCTTGTTCAGAGACAATGTGGCCATCTTTTAGCAAGTCACACTTCCCCAATCCAGCTTTGCACCATGGGGTCCTTGTGGGTGACTGCCACCCTCTTCTGTCCCCACTATCCTAGGAGGGGACTGGAGGAGGAGCTAGGGTAAGGAATCAGGTCTGGGGATACTCAATTGCTCCCCACCTCCAACCACCATCCCTGGTCTGTACCAAGGACACAACCTGCAGCAGGAGCCTAGCCATGACTGAACCCAAGAGATCAGTGCCAATCCTGTTGGCCAAGTCCTGCAGCCTGGGGCTCTTTCTGCTGAATCTCCTTCACAGCTCCATACAGGGTCAGACCTGCATCCAGGTGAAACCTTCCTGCCTACTCCTGTTTCTACATTTTATCCCACTTTGGCTCAGCCCAGAAGACTGAACCAAACACAGTCTCCCCTCTCTGTCCTCAAATGCTCCCACTCCTTCTCCAAATAAACATTCAGAAGAGGAAATGAAACCCTTTTATGATGCAGAATTAGCTCCCGTGTCCGCTTCCCAGGACACATACCTGATTCCTAGAGGACCCATACCTTCCACTCAAGGGAATGGGGAGGACAGTGGAACTCCAAAGGAAGTAAGGAGAGCACCTGGGGGTTCCCCAGGCCCAGAACTGCATCCTCCCAGAGGAGTTAAGGGGGAGTTACAGAGGCATACCTGGGGCCAAGTCTAAAAATCAGATGTGCCTTTATTGTGATGTGGTAATTCCCCCAGCAGGAGCAAACATGGGTTTTCCAATGTGGCAACACAGGCCACCAAGAACCCTCTTCACTTCCTCCCCACCCAGTCCTCAGCCAAAACAGGCCAAATATGGCCCCAGCCCCAGACTCCAGCCAGGGAGGGTTGTCAGGGCCAAAAGTCACATGAAACCCAGTGACTCTGGAGGAAGCTCATGGAAAACTCACTGCAGAAGAAGCATAAAGCAGAGAAAGGGCCACAGGCTGGCCCCAGGTGGCCCAAGCAGCACAGAGGACCCAGGAGACCTCAGTGCCCACACAGAACAGATGACAGCTGGGCTGGGGCTCTAACTTGTGCATGGTACAGTCTGGAAAGGCCCCCGGGGGCTCCCCTACAAGGAGTAGGGGTGCCATCCCTGAGGCTGACCCCAGGCCTTGAGTACTGACTGAAACCCTCTGTTTTCCTGTCTTTAGGAGACAAAGGTCAGGGGGCCCTGAGAGCCTGGTTGACATCAGTGGGATCTTGGATGTGCCAAGGTAGGAACAGGGACCAGTGGTTGAGAGTGGCTGAAGGGCCACACTGCAGCAGAGTCCCTAAGAGCCCAGGATTGCTTCAGAGGATGAGGGTGACTCCTGGGGAAATGGAATGCAGGCAACCACTCTTGGCCAATCCAGGCCAAGTTCCAGAAAAGCGGGACCAGCCGCTAGGAGCCAGGAGAGCCATGTGAGGGTCAGGGAAGATGTCCTCGGAGTGAGAGCTGCTGGCCCAGCCAGGAGCCAAAGGTCCCTTTATTTGCAGTACTCCTTCCTGAACTCTGGAAGCCAAGAGAATGGTTGGTATCTATTTTCTGCCCCTCAGTCTCAGTGGGAAACTCAGGGCAGACATCGACAGGACTTCCCAGGGACTTCTGAGCAGAGGGTCTCCTGCCCATGGGGCTGGCTGAGGCCCTGCATTCAGGGGTCCTGGGAGTAGGCAGAGTGGGGTATGGGCTGGACTCAGGAACAGGCTGAGGAGGTGGCAGGGATCTCCCTCCCAGTGCTCACCTTTGTCCAAGTCGATGTTCTTGGCAGGCAGGGGGTTGTGGGCCAGCTCAGCCCTTTCCTTCAGGATGTTGTTTTTGTAATCTGGTGTGAGAGAAGAGGATGAGGTCCTGCCCAGAGATGCCCAGGGGCTCAGAGTGGGAGCAGCAGTGTGTGCCTCAGTGTCCCAGCCCCTCCTACCTAGCTGGATGTCCTCAGTCCTGTAAAGAGCCTGGTCCCCTGTGGCCACAGTGAACTCTGCCATGTTCATGTCCTTCCTGGGGAGGAGGGGTGGCAGTTTAGGGAGGAATGGGGCAGGCTGGGTGTGAGGGCCTGGAGGGGGGCACTCACCCCTTTGACTTCCCCGACTTCTTGTCCGAGTATTCGTAGCCTGAGGAGGGAGACTTGAGTTAAGGGGAGCCTCGCCCCGTCCTGAGGAAGCTGTCTCTGTTGCTGCCCCCCAGGGCTCCTGTGTGGGATGTCCCTTCTCACCTCCACGACGGCGCTGACGGGTGGCCAGGACCACGGTGATGAGCAGAAGGATGAAGAGCAGCAGCGTGGCCAGCACATAGCCCAGCTGCTGGAAGAACTGGGCTCGGCCCTCAGGGACGATGACATTGATGACGCTGCGGCCTCGAGACAGCGTGGGGTCTGCGGGGATGGGGGTGCAAGCGGGCAGCGTCAGGGACCCTCTGCGCGCTGGCCACGTCCCAGGTCGCCGGGAGGAGGGTCGCACCAGCCCCCACCACCACCACCTTGGGCCAGGCAGGCGCCGGATCGGCACCCACTCCCCCTGGACGACGCGCGCACCTGGGGCGGGAGCGCTGCTGTGACCGGAGCCGGAGCCGTTGCCGGGCGAGGTCCGCGGGGGCGGCTCCTCGAGGGGCTCGGTGACCCGCAGGTGGAAGACCCTGCGCTCGTGCAGACCGCAGTAGTGGTGGTGCAGGTGGCAGGAATAGGTGCCCTCGTCGGCTGGCTCCAGAGGGCCGATGCGCAGCGAGAAGTCACCGCGCGCAAAAGCGTCGGCGCCCACCGCCACGCGGTCACGCAGGAAGGGCGGCCCGTAGGCGCGGCGCTCGCCCGACGCGTACAGGTCGAGCAGGCGGTCGGCGCGGTCGTGCGGAACCCCCGGGGGCTGCCGGTCCCAGTGTACCACCTGCTGCGCCTCCTCCAGGTGCCTGTCGGTCCACACGTGCGCGCGGTTCACGCACGTCAGTAGCGCGGGCGCGCCGCGCGCCGCCACGAGCACCTCCTTCTCGCCGTCCCAGTACGCGCGCGCGGCCCGGGCTGCGGCGCGGAGGGGAGGGGGGCGGTCAGCGCCGGCCGGGGTGGGGGGAGGGGGAGGGGCGGGGGCGCCGCGGGGCACACTCACGGTCGTCGGTGACCTCCAGGCGGATAGCCAGGCTCTCATAGAGGTGGCAGTAGTGGTGGTGCAGGTTGCAGGTGTACAGCCCCTCGTCGCTGTCCCCCACCGCTGCCCGCAGAGAGAACCCCAGCCAGCATGAGCTTAGCGGCCCTCTGGCGCACCCGCCGCCCCAGCCGAGGTTCCACCCCATACCGCGAATGAGCAGCGAGAAGTTGCCGTCGTGGAAGGCGGAGGGTGACAGCAGGAGACGGTCGTGGTCGTGCGGCTCGTACACGCGCTGCTCGCCAGCCGAGTACATGTCCACGAGTCGGCGCCCCGGGCTGCCCGAGCCGCTGCTGAGGTCCCAGTGGACCACGCGCTGTCGGTCGTGTAGCCGGTCTTGGGTCCATACCATGCGTGGGCTCTGGCAGCGCAGCACCGCCTGGGTGCCCACTGCCCAGCTCACAGCGGACTCGGACACTACCGAGCTGCCGGCCGTCACAGGCCCTGAGGGCCCTTATGGGAAAGGTGGAGTCAGTGAGGGGGGACCCAAAGAAACAGGTGTGGGTGGGATTAGCAAGGTAGAAAGGGGACTGGTAGGGTTGGGAAGGGGAAGACTGAGGGGACCAGCTCCACAGCTGGGGAGAGGATGGTCACTAACCTGAGGACAGGAGGACAGCAGAGCCTGGAAGGAGAGGAAGAATAAGGCTGGGAAGGGGCCACCCACCCAGCAGGAATCCACTTGACTCCCTGGGTCCCTCTTGCAGTCATGGCAAGGCTGTTTACTATGAGGTGGTATGTGAAGTTGGAGAGACTGGAGAAGTCTGGACACAAGGTGGGGGCTCCTGCTGCCAGGCATGGGCCCCTCTCACACAGCCCTGCTCACCCTCAGTGCCTCCCACTCCTTCAGGAGTGGGATGTAGGGTCCCCCAGGGAGGGTTGATCCCTTGCAGGCCTGCTCTGGAGTGTGTGCTGGTCACCAGGGGCCACCCTCCAGCCTCTCCAGTCCCCCCCACCCCATCCCGTCTAGAGGTGGCATGTGTACCTGCAGAAGATCATGCAGCAGAAGCCCTGGAGCTCCTTTAGAACCTCCTGCACTAGAGCCCTGCTCCACATGACAGCTCAGAGTGGAGACCCTATGAGCCTTTCCCAAGGACAGGGGCCTAAAGCCCCAGCAGTGGACATGGGGAGTGAGCCCCCATCTGCCACCCACAGGCCCAAGTTCCTGCTGCTAAGTGGCTGAGCGCCCAGAGCTTCTTGGAGGAATGTGCCGGGTCAGCAGGCCAGCCAGGGCGGGCCTGGGGGCCCTGAAAGGGAGCTGGAACAGACCCTGCAAGACCCCCTAGCTTTCAAGCCCCCCTCCCCACATCTGGGAGTAGTGCAGACTGGAGGGGCTGGTCCTGGAGCCCCAGCAAGCATAGGATACAGGAGGACCCCGCAGGAGACACCCAGTAGCAGTAGCTTCCAACTCTTTTTGGCCCTTTGGGCTCCCGGCTCCCGCAGGGAGAGCTCTGTCAAGAGTCCACCGGAAGGCTTCACAGCTCCCAGGTGAGCGGCTCTTTTTGAGGCCACCGGTCCAGTCCCCTTGCTTGGTGAGGGCGCCCTACCCCACCCAGCCCAAGCCCAGACAGGCGGCTTTGCCTTAAACATGAGTTCCCTCAGACCCCCCGCTGTCCCGCACCCAGTCCCATCCTCCCACACTCACTCTGCAGAAGCACGAGTTTCCACAACAGGACGCGGGACAGTAGCTCCATGGTGCTTGCCCCAGCCCCGCGCCTTGCTTTGCTTTGTCTTACTCCGGCTCTAACTCTCCAGAAAAACAGCCGACCCCTTCCCCCTCCCAGTACCCGCTGACATCACGGAGCCCTGGGCCGGGTCTGTGCCCCGCCCACTCCGCTGCTCCGGCCCCTAGGCCTCCCCCTCCATGGCTGCCCTGGTGGAGCGCGGCGCTGTAGCCACCCTGTCCCAGACCGGGTGGTGGGTGGCTGTTGGAGCAGAAGCCAGCCCCTCACTGGTCAGTCCTGGGGAGGGGCAGTAGCCCAGTCCTTGGAGGGGTAAGAGAGCCTGAGGGATAAGGGAGGTGGAGGTAGGGGCTCTGGGCACAGGGGCTGCTCACCAACAGGGCAGAGCCTAGGGTCCCTGAAACCTGATCTGGGTTACCTCGATTAGGTAACCCTGATCTCCACCTGGAGACAGGAGATGTGAGACACCATCCCCCCCAAGCAGAAAGAACCCCTGGGACCATGTGAGTGCCAGACATCTGGGACCCTTCCTGGGCTGCTGCAAGGCTGGGGTTCTAGGGTAAGGGGCCTGCACCCCCAACCTCCAGCATTCTCCCATGTGAGCAGCAGGGCCACAGTGCCAGGGCAGGGTCCTCCCCTCTAAAGGCATCCCCACAGCACCTACCCTTCAGGACCTGGGCTGCCTTCCACCTGCTCAGCCCCTGTATCCTCCCTGCAAACCAGGTGGCTCTTCGGGCTCTGGCCCTTAGCTGAGGGTGACTTTAGCATGCCCTTCTTTGGGGGGCCATGGTGGGCTCCCTCAGAACAGCATGATGGGCACAGCTACCCAGTCATCTTTAAGATTAAGAGCAACCAGCCAGGGAGGTGGGGGCAGGGGCTCTGGGCACTGGGACCAGTGAGTGGGCCTCTCCCAAGGCACCAGAGCTGTCCACCAATGGCAGAGCCTAGAGTCCCTGAAACCTGACCTGTGTTGCCAAGTTCAGAGAGACCCCCACCCAGAGGAAGGGGGAGTGGGACCCCCCTCCAACAGCAAACACAAATTTGAAGCTCTGGGAAAACTTACAAAGTCACATAAACAAATACAAAATAACAGAGCAGGCACTGTGTACCAACCCAACCCCACTAGTTAAGTAAACCTCAAGACAAGAAAGAAAAAGAAGAATCCAAACAACCACACCACAGCCCTCAGCGCAGTCTCGGCTGCCCATTTTGATGGAGTGTCATTACAGGTCCCAACCCCGGGGGGGGGGGGGGCTCACCCTTGAACCCTGCCCTGGTCACCAAGTGCTCAAACAAACCAGAAGCCCAGCCCAGCTGGCTCTCTCCAGTTACCACTGGCTGCTGCATGGAAAAGGAATGTGAGTGGGGAGTTGGGGGGCAGCAGGGAGGACTGACTGCAAAGACACAGGAAGCCCCCCAGGACCTATTGGACCCATCACTGCAGAATCCAGACTGGGCGAAGCATGACCACTTGTTTTGTTTTTTTTTTTTTTTTTTTTTTTTTTTTTTATTGTTTTTTTTTTTTTTTGTTTTTTTTTTATTTGTTTTTTTTTTTTTTTTTGTTTTTACTTTTTTTGTTTCTGTTTTCTTTTTTTTTTTTTTTTTTATTGCTTGGTTTGTTTTTGTTTTTTTTTTTTGTTGTTTTTTTTTTTTTTCTTTTTTCTTTTTTTTTTTTCTTTTTTTTTTTTTTTTTTATTTTTTTTTTTTCTTTTCTTTTTTTTTTTTTTATTTTTTTTTTTTTTGTTTTGTTGTTTTTTTTTGTTTTTTTGTATGTTATTTTTTTTTTTTTTTTTTGTTTTTTTTTTTTTTTTTTTTGCTTTTTTTTTCTTTTCTTTTTGTTTTTTTTTTGTCTGTTTTTTTTTTTTTTTTGTTCTTTTTTTATTATGTTTTCTTTTTTTCTTGTTTCTTTTTTTTTTTTTTTTTTTGTTGTTCTTGTTTTTTTTTTTTTATTATGTGTTTTTTTTTTTTTTTTTTTTTTTTTATGTTTTAATTTTTTCTTTTTTTTGTTTCTTTTTTTTATTTTTTTTTTTTCCCTCACCCCACCCCCCACCCCAGCTCCTCCCAGGGCCTTTCATTATGGAAAAACAAGCCCTGCCCTGTGGTCCTCAAGCCCGCCTTTCCTGGCCACCCCTCCTGTTTTTCTAACTGGTTTCCATCAGTGCTGGTGCCTCCAAGACAATGTCTGTCTCCACCCCACACCCTGGGGGCTTGACCTCTGCTGTCTCTGTCTCAGTCTCCCTGCCACTGTCTCAGGTTGTTTTTCTCTCATGTTCTCTGTCTCCCCACCGAGGGCAAAACTCCAGGCAGTGATGGAGGGAGGCAGAGACTTCTTAGTGCTGGCCCTTGGTGTGGCTCCAGGTGCAGGACTGACGGGAATATGGGTGGTTCCCAAGGTTGAGCCACAAGGAACCTGGGATGCTTGGTTCATACCTCTGCTCAAGCCAGGGCTCCCTATGTCCCCTGCAGGGGCCCCTTCTCCCCTCCGGTTCCCTGGCTTCTGGCCCTGCTTGCTGAGGTCCAAGAAGTGTGGACCCCAACAGCCCAGTTGCAGGCCACGGGCCAGATGCTGATATCTGAGAGGGCCCTGACCCCAAGAGAGCCATATGGGAGCAGCTGGCCCTTCTTTCCTGCCATCCTGTCCTCTCTGCTTCAAGCCAGCGGAGCCAAGATGGGCAGCAGAGGCCCACTGCCCACCCCCTTCTTAGCAGGAAATAGCCAGAGATGAGAGCAGAGGCCCAGCATGCAGCCTGGGCTGCTGACCAGGCTACCTGCCCCTCCCATGGCCAAAGGCCTGAGCCCCTCCTGCTCTTTCCTGGCCTGGACTGTGGAGCCCCTAGCCCCCTGGGCTGCTTGCTGTTCTGTGAACACACAGCCTTGCTAGCTAACCCGACCTGGCATCTTCAGCCCTCCAGAAAGAGGACAGGCCAGTGCAAAACCACTGACCTCATAGTGCTCTGGCCAAGCCCCAGCCAGTCCAGGGCCCTGGAGCCACCTTCTCTTTTCCTAGGGGCGTGTCCTGGAAGGGGGTCAACCAGCCCACTGGGCTCAAAGATTGACAAGCCAATGTTGGCTCTGATTCCTGGTGACTCGGACATTCCAGGCAGCCCGGCTCATTGGGAAGAAAAAACACAGGCACAGAGACATAACCAAACCCAACCAGGCCCAGACACACACACACACACACACACACAACACACACACACACACTCTCTCACTCTCTCTCTCTCTCTCTCTCTCTCTCTCTCTCTCTCTCTCTCTCTTCTCTCTCTCTCTCTCTCTCTCGATCTTTCTCTCTTTCCCTCTGATGGTCCTACAAGGAATACAAGGAATAAAGTCATAACAGACACACCTACAAACCCATGCTCATACACACAGCTGCTCAGGCATAAAGACTTATATTGGTTCTTTATTCAGCAAGCACTTACTGAGCACCCACTGTATGCCAGGCCCTGCTCCAAGTCCTGGGGATTCAGTGCTGAACAGAACGAACATATCTGCCCTGTTGGACTGTTGACAGACCTCTTTTATGATCATTTTATATACTGAGATAAGTACTGTCAAGAAAATAAAACAGGCAGGGTGCTGGTTGCTCACACCTGTAATCCTAGCTACATAGGAGGCTGAGATCAGAAAGATTGTTGTTCAAGGCCAGCCCCAGCAAATAGTTTGAAAGACCCCATCTCCAAAATAACTAAAGTAAGCCAGGCACTGTAGCAGGGAGGAGGCCCAGAAAAGAAACAGATAGGCTGTGTTCTGATAGTGAGGCAGGGAGAAGAGATGGCAAAGCAGAGAGATAAAAAAGAATTAAAACATGAAGAAGGTCGCATAGCATTGGGCAAATGAAATACCCAATGAAGTCTCATGCAGCCACAAGTGGGTTGAGCTTTGCTTTTTGCTTCTGTAACCAGCTTGCAAGGGTATATAAGGTGAGACCCCTTTGTTCTTGGGGCTCAGCCTTTGGACACGAGTCCACTGGGTCTGTGCTGACACAATAAACATTGGTTCCTTCTAAACTGCCACAGTGTCCTGTAACTCAGCTTGAGATTCCTGCAACATTTCTTGGGGGCTCCTTGCCAGGATTGTGGAGATGGTGAGTTATTGCCTCCTTTATCACCAGGGTGCATCCACCAGGAGAAGATTCCACCAGGTGCCAAAAGACAGTTTGATCCAGAGAGGCACGCATTCTCCCAGCAAGTCAGGGTGAGGGCCTCGATGCACAATGGAACTCAGCGATGGGAGGGGAGCACCACTCAGCAGACTGTAAGAACCCAGGTTTGAATTCAGGCCTGCCTCAGGAGGCAGAAGGGGAGACTGATCACCTCCCAGAGACTCCCTAATAATCCTATTTGGGGTGAAACCAGGTCTCTCAGGTTAAGGGAGTGGGGTAAAAGTGTGTAAGACACCTCCATGAGTTAGGGGTTATGCTTTTCCCAGGAAATAGTCACAACTGAGGTTAAGGGATGGATAAAAAATTCAGTTCCAAAGTGGAAAGGCTCCCAAGAGAACAGATGCATCATCCACCATTCCACCAGATAGTCCTCTGGGTATAATTTCAATGTTTTTTTTTGAGAGTACATTCTAGTGTGTGTGTGTGTGTGTGTGTGAGTGTGTGTGTGAATTTGTTTAAGGCACTGGGCAAAATTTAATTTGTTCCTGGAATTCCACCTCATCTTATGCATGCTTGAGTTGACATTTTTTCCTGGCATACTTAATTTACAAAACTTTTGTGTGTGTGTGTCTATGTAAGCATCTTCAAAATGGTTCTTGAACTGCTGTTATAAGGTTAACAATAAACCCTGTACTGGTGTTTGAGCTATCTCTCTGCCTCTTCCATGCCTCTTATTTTAAACAGTTTATATAACATTTTCTAGATGACCTCATGGTTAAACACTGTTGTCTTGGGTGATTCTAATGCAGTCAGTACTGTATATGTGACTGGGCTATTTGGGTTTACTAAAACTGTTCTTCCCCCTACAACTGATAAAAATCTAAGGTTTTACTTCAAGAACAACAACTAAACTAATATGTATATATAACCTCTATAGAGCTATGATGCTATTGCTGGTTCCTTATACCAAATATATTTATGTTTTTCAAGTATATCAAGCCTTCTAACATACAAAATTTAGATAAACATGGTAACAAAAAGTTAATGGTACTGATGTACTGTTCTGTTAGTTGCTAAATTGTCCATCAGAATTTTAACCATGGCTCTTTTAAGTTTTTGTCATTACAGTTCTGATCCTTCTGGGGCATTTACAATCAAGTCCATAAAAAAATGACTCTAATAAGTGCATATGTGTCTACCAGATTAGCTTTTTAGACATCTGCTTTTGTTGGATTTTGTTTTGTATTTCCTTGTCTAGAAGCCTAAGAGCCACTCCTTCTAAGCCTCTTTGTTGCTTAAATTTGGCCAAAAGGATCTAGTTGGCACTGACTCCCACCTGATCTGCTCATTATTTGCCCCCAACGTGGGACCAAAACCAACCAAACAAACAAAATCCAGGAAAGAACAAATTCTTGTGATGAAGAAAAAAATGACCAATCAAGAAAGATCTTCGGTCTACGGCCATACCACCCTAAACATGCCCAATCTCATTTGGTCTCAGAAGCTGAGCAGGGTCGGGCCTGATTAGTACTTGGATGGGAGACAAATCTTCAAAAGAGACTGCTCAGAGACAAGCAGGTTGGAGACAAGGGGGGGTGGGAATGCCATCAAAGTTCAAATGGAGTCACTCGTGCCAGACCTCTCAAAAATAACCAACACCAAGAGGATTCAGGAAGTGGTTCTTATGCACGTGTGGCCATCTGGCATTAAAGCCCTTCCAGATACAAACTCATATGTTTTAGACAGGGTCTTCTACTTAAATAGAGACAAAATAACTATGTTTACTGGCTCTAAACATGTCCTTTGATATTTAAAGATGATGGTGTTAACTTTTTTTAAAATAATGCGTTTTGTTGGACATATATACCAATAATATATTGTTACTGTGTTAATTCTACACAGTTAAAAAAAATCCTGTTTAGGTAAAAGAATAAAATGTCCAGCCATTAAAATTCCATCAGAGAGGCCCTTTTGTTGTTGTCCTGTCTATCCCCACTACAGTTAAAGTAGC